GGCGCGAAGCACATTTCGATGTAAAAATGCACACAAGACACCAGGTCCGGACCACTTTTGGAAGTTGCGATGTCGAAAAAGTGCACGCCGTTGTGGCGCGAAGCACATTTCGAAGTCAAAATGTACAAAACACCACATTGCTCGCGCCACTTTTGGACGTTGAAGCGTCGTTTTGTGTGGCAGGCGCAAGGGATTGTGCACCTTGTCAAGTGAGCAAAATTTGAGGGTTTTGTAGCATTTCCAAAAACGATGGCAGGCGTGGGACTTTTGAAGAGGATCTGCCAAGATGAATTTTCCGTGGCAGTCGCAGTACAAGAGACATGTTTATCAGAGATGCTAGGAGGTCCAGGCGCTGATTTCCTGAGTGGTTGCATTTTGGAGCATCAGATCTTCAGTTTTGGGAAGATGATTTTGCGTGACAGGTGCAGCACTTCGTATGACCTGGCCTCACTTTTTCGTGGCAGGCGAAATACTTTAGACAGGTGAAGTGGAAAAATCGCAAAATGCAATGGTACGAGGCTGCCAGCTCTGCACTCAACTTTCCATTATTGAAGGAAGTCTCGCAGAATTGCTTCGTTTTTGATGTTGTCAACTTCGAAAAATGAGGAAGTCTCGCAGACCTGTTTCGTTTTTGATGTTGTCAAGTTCAAAAATCCAGGAAGTCTCGCAGAATTGCTGCATTTTTGATGTTGTCAAGTTCAAAAACTGAGGAAGTCTCGCAGAGTAGATTCGTTTTCAAGCTTGCAGATAGACAGATAGATAGACAGACAGATAGATAGATAGATGGATAGATAGGTAGATAGATAGGTAGGTAGGTAGATAGATAGATCGACAGATAATTAGATAGATAGATTAGATAGAATAGATAGAATAGATAGAATAGATAGAATAGGTAGAATAGATAGATTAGATAGATAAGATAGGATAGATAAGATAGATAAAATAGATAGGAAAGATGGATAGATAGATGGATGGATGGATGGATTGGACTGGATTGGATTGGGTTGGGTTGGATTGGATTGGACTGGACTGGATTGGATTGGATTAGATCGATCGATCGATAGGTAGGTAGATAGATAGATAGATAGATACGTAGGTAGGTAGGTACATAGATAGATAGGTAGGTAGGTACATAGGTAGGTAGGTAGGTAGGTAGGTAGGTAGGTAGGTAGGAAGGTAGGTAGGTAGGTAGGTAGGTAGGTAGATAGTCAGAGGAAGAGAGAGAAAGAGAGAGAAAGAGAGAGAAAGAGAGAGAAAGAGAGAGAAAGAGAGGAGACCTCAACCACCTTTCAGTCCATCAGTGGATTGGCTCTGCCATCCGTGATTCACAACAACCAACCTCTCCTACAGGTTTCCTATTTTTGAAACTTCCGCCACCGCCTTGTGCGGTACTACTGGTATATATTTATATATAGATATCGTTCTGATTATATCATGTTATATTTACATTGTGATTATTGCGATTTATTTTGTTTGATAAAAAACAATCACATGCCGTGGTCAAGAGTTGGATTATGCAATTACCCATTGAATCCCATTGAACATTTCCCATGGATTTATCATTATGTCTGGATCCCATTACTTGTATGGGATGGACAACATCCATACTTGATCCATAAATGCTATGTCAGCGGACCATGGTACATGTGGGCCTCTTTGTGGTTCGTCCATTTCCAACTTTGGCAGGAATCCTTGGAGGAATTGCTGAAATACTATGCGGAAGTTGGAGATGTGCAGAATGCAGAGAAAACTTATCAGAGCCTCCGGCGGCTGCTAGGGAAGGTGCAACAGAAGAGGACGGGAAGTCTGGAGACACGGAGAATGAACATGCAGAACTGTCAGCTATATAAAGTAGGGTGTCAAAGTTCGATCTACAGAGAGAGAGAGAGAGAGGGAGGGAGGGAGGGAGGGAGAGAGAGACGGGGACGGAGGGAGCGAAGCATAGAGAAACTACTGAGAATGGGAACCACTGGAAACAGAAGCGCAATGTCAGTCAAGCTCTCTAGTAGCGTTCAAATGGGACGAATCTGCCGTGGGTTTTCCCTCCGTGTTGGTCTTGAATCAAATCCACGGTCGATTCACCTGCGAAATGAGAGGAGAATGTACCACAACACCTTGATCAAATCCTGCGCCAATGCTGGAAACTTGCAACGGGCCGAGCATTGGCTGCACCAGATGGAGGAGTTGGGCATCCAGCAGAACGTCAAGGGCTTCGGTAAGTTGATGGAGGCAGATTGATGAGTCGAAATTTAAAGCACCTTTTAGCATTGGCCAATGATCATGGGTACCCATGGGTGGGAGGATTGATTTCCGGTAATCGAGCGTTGCAATGGGAAATTCCCGATCTAATTGAGCATTTCAATGGGAAAATTATCTATATGTTACGTGGTCACAAGTTAGATTGCATACCTATATTGGGAATAATTGGGAGATGGCCGGGTCATCAATAAGGAATTATATATTTGTAAGGATTCGCATTGTGGGAGTATGACTGTAAACCATATACCATCCTTTGACCATGGCCCATATGGTGGGTTTCCATTGACATGTTTGATTACCAGATGGTATGCCTTTTCTGAAAACTGACAAGAATGATGTAGTTGACCCTTGGCAGGCAGCAAGCAAAGCCGGAAACTTACAAAAAGCAGAGGACCTGTGACCTGAATAGGTCGTTTGCACACCTGTCAGTGTTGAGACATGTCGTGTCACTAGTCACTGGCAGGAGTACTTTGAGAAGCAAAGCCCCCATGACCAGATGAGCACAGGGACCCTTGAGCCAGCAAAAATATCCTGGAAGGGTTCATATAGGGGTTATACATGGTTATACTATGTTATACTAACTGCTGTAGTCATTGGGGAGAAGCGAAAATGAATCGGGTACTGAGCTGGCAGTGCCTTGGGAGTGATGGTGATCCCCCAATGACCATCATATTTGTTCGGGATGAAACGGCCCAGAATCAATTCGACCTGGATTCAACGCAGGATGCAATTGGTGTGCCTTTTGAGTCACTTCAGATATCAGGATTTGTGGAAGACCCCAAAAACCCTGGCTTAGTGCAGGGCATGTTCATTTTGAGGTTCCATACCAGAGGCGATTCTAAGGATCAATCATGTCTCCATTCAATGATTACCTGGTTTGGTGATTTTGATGCGGATACCCCGTGGAGAATCCTGGGATTTCAAAGCGGCCTCGGGCCCCAGAAAGGGGCAGTTGTCAGGGTCTACAACCTGGTCATTGACGCAGCTGCGAAAAGTTCCTCGATGTTGCCAGCAGAATGTTCTCACAAACGTCAGCGTGTTAGGTCGTGCTAAGAAGAATCATCACGAAATCATGTTTATATATTTCAGACCGGTGAAAAATCTAGTTAAATGCAGATTGTTTTGTTTTTTTAAGCCTTTGTGGTGGATGCAACTCATTTGTGTTTTGGTGATATCAAACACAATGGTAGCAAACCACACACCAACATTTGGAAAATGTGTCCAGCAAGTGGCCCAACATGGGCATACAACAAGAAGATATGATCTACTGCTCAAACGTGCAGATACAAGTAAGACAATTAGGGTTCATATCCACTCAGCATTGAGCATGCAACAAACAAGCATGGATAGGTGGTGCTTCACAAAGGCTTATATATATATATTTATTCATATGATTTGACATGTAAGATGGGTGTGTCTGAAAAACATGGATATCCTAAAATTGCATAAACATGCTATATCAATGGCAACAAGATGATGAACACTCTTTTTTTTCGGGGCTGGTTTAGGTGTCACCAAGAATTTGGACGCCGTTTGGCACAACCTCTTTTTATGAGAGTTGAGCTGAGCTATGGAATGATTTGGAATGGGCAGGTTTCCCCTCTTGTACTCAAACATGGTAACATGGATGGGACATGATGGGACATTCCCAACTAAATGGGTATTTAGATGTATTCAGATAATGTTAAATATATGTCTTGGATTGGCAATTCATCCAATACTGCCGGATAAATGACTATTCTGATCTATTTCAATGGGATAATTCATCCAGATGAGAGTCATGGGGTGTCACCAAGGTGCGAACTTGAACTCGGCAGTGGCTTGGTGGCGGAAGATGGAGGAGAAAGGCCTCCAGCCCGACAGACACTTGACTTGGCGCGATGGTGACCTGGGTGACCTCTCCTGGCTTCCAAAGTTGCGGATCTGCTGGCTGTTCGCGTCCTGGTTGAGGGATTTTGATGGTATATAGTATAGTCAATGTCTATAATTTAATAATGATCGATAGTGTCTATTAATTCAATTTCATGTAATTTATGTGTTCTGCCAACTTGCGGAAATACTCGCCTTGCGCAGCCTCCAGCGTTTGGCAGTTTCAGCTTTGCTTTGTGTTATTCAGTGATGCACTTGTACCTCCTTACGTCTTTCAGTTGTCAGCGTCCATTGGGCACTGAGGATTAACGCAACTTGCATGAATTGGAGAGGACCCTGTTGCAACGAGTGCAAGTGCCAAATATCACTCTGGCACTGCAGATTCTGGCAAGGATGGGCTGACACCCTGTTGTTTTGTGAACAGACACATTAGACCTGTGCACAAGGTATCAAAATCTTCTCACAGCTTGCAGCAATGCAGCAGATAGCAGTTCTGCCCTGGAAATTCTCGACGAGCTGCAGAAAACTCGTGCCTTTTTAAAGCACAAAAAACCGGTGGTTTGGATCCCTAGTGGTCCATTGGGGAGAAGCCAAACCCAATGATTTTCGCGCTTCCAAGAATATAAATCGTAACTATATAATACTATATATATATATCTAACTATTAACTATATCAATCAATTACTATCAATTAGTTGGGTTGTTTCCCGCAACTTCTGGCAACCAACACCCGGACCAGCATGTGCGCGCGCGAGTCCCAGTTGTTGAGTTGTTGTATTCCAACTGGTGTGCTCGGATGCCGGTACCGACCTGAACCAACAAGATCCAACATGCAGAACTAATTCAATGCCGCTTTGAAGTTTGTTATTTATGTATATTTATGTTAGTTGCATCACCAATTGCTGATGATTCCCTATTTTTTGTTGTTTGTCATGTCAGACGATTGTATATGAAATTGTATTTATGGTTCTTTCCCCAATTGTCGCAGTCTATTTCCCCATGAAACTAATGGGTTGAAGTGTTGACCCCGGAGGGGGGGGGTGGCATTTTCAATTACTGGTTGGTGGTTTGGAACATGGCTTTTATTTTTCCATTATATTGGGAATAATAACCTCCACTGACTTTCATATTTTTCAGAGGGGTAGGTATACCACCAACCAGATATAATTGAATGCATTTGACTCTACAAATTATCATGATTTTGGGGGGAAGAAACCATGGGGAAACCGACCTTCCCCCATGGCTCAGGTGAGGTGCCCGATGCAGTGATGCGCAACACCGTGATCAATGCCTTGGGACGAAGCAGACAAGTGATGAAGGCAGTGAATCAGTGAACCAACCAATACTGGGTAAAGGTTACCCTTTATGTAACATAACCATCATATTTAGATGGCCTACTTCTAGATTAAAAAAATGTTTTATTCAACATCGTGATTTTCTATAGCAAGGTAAAATAACCAGAGGGTAAGCAACAAAAAGATGAAGAAAAGCCAGAAAATGGCAGTATGTGGAGGCTGTCATAAAGTATAAATGGGGTTCGATTGCCAGCTACCAGAAGCTAATGGCTTTAATTGAGGGCATTGAAGAGATCAAATCATATATGAGAGTGATGTGAGAGATCTAGTTGGTTGTGGAGTTGGTTTGTTGTTTCCAATAATGAGGATGGATGAACATCATATCATATTTCAGAATATTATAGAATATTATAGAATATTATAGAATATTATAGAGTGGTTGATTAAAGAAGGTTATGTAATGGTTATGTAATTAAAATAGATTGCAATGATAAGACACTTACAACATGTCCTTCTAGGGCTGCCCATGTCCATTGGCAATCATGAGTCCCTCTGTAGTTCACCCCTTCAAACAGCTATCGCATGTCTTTTTTTTTGTTCACAGATTGAATGCCCTGGTGCTTCCAGACACATGCACGTATCATTGTTTTGTTATGTTTCGTTGTTGCTGAAGGGGGGATGGATCCCAACCCATTCAACAAAATATTGAGTGGAATGAACATGCATTCACCAACTATTTGGGCGTTCACCAAGGTGCCAAAGTTTGACACCCAAATTAAGACGTGGGTTTGTCTGAAAATAGAGTACCCAAAAAAATTGCCACTGTATTCATTATTGTGTCCATATCAATGGCAATGTTGTGATATAGTTACATACAGCATTTCGATCCAAACACACATGTCATATCATGTCACATCAAGTTGGTTGGTTATCCCCTTAAGATTCCGTTAAATCATGGTTTATAGATGTGTTTCCTCATGAAATCTTTTTAATCGCCAGTTTTTTCAGCCGTAGAATGAGAGGGGGATCCATGGGGGATCCATGGGGGATCCCGGGGATGACTGAGCAGGCAGATGAGATGTTACGAAGCGTGTCCGAAGGACAGCTTCGAGTGGATCCTTGGAGTTGCGGTAGCTGGGGCCCATGCTGCATGGTATAGCCTCTCGTGTTGTGCTTCGGGAATATCATCGAAATGGAGATGTTTATAATGTATATATATATATATTATATTACATATAGTATTAATGATTTTAATGGGAATGTCATGTATAAAATGGATGGATGTTTCATTGCTATGTTTGATTACCGAAGGGTAGGTTGGTTTACACCTAGGCAAACTAGGATTTATCTATATATATATAGTTGGGCGTGTCTATAAACCAACATAAACTGACTTATCACTAGGGAGCAACAAAGTTCCAAATTCTCCAAATTGGGCATAATAGCTGAAACCCGACCGTGACTGGTCTGTTCTGCTTATTTTGGGGAGTTTCACCACGAGTACAGGCTTTTGACACACAGCCTTTAGATGCTTATAGCGCAAGATTATTGGCACAAACAATTAGACAGACTTGTACTACAAATCGAACACATGCGGTTACACTGGTACTTCATTATTGAGCTGTAACGAAACTGCGAATGAGGAACACACCATATTTGGTTGGGTTATAACGCTAACACTGGAGAACAGAACTAGCCCTGCCCCCATGGAATTTCAATAGTTTAAACAAATATGGAGAGAACACATTTAGAAATGGCAAACTTCATAATCTGTGGCTCTGTCCGCAATATTATGGAATAAACATGAAGAAACCCCAAATCTGTTGAGGTTGCCCAGTAGAGTCAGATGACACGGTCCCGTGTTCGGACACAGCCGTATTACAACAAAGGGAGTACAGTGAGTACAGATTCGACCTTTGCTGATGAAACACTCCCAGCTCTTGAAATCTCTTGATAGGATGCTGACTTCGAGAGTAGGATTTCCAGCCTTAGATTTGACAGAATTAGACATGAACATACATGAACTAAACTCTATTAATATATATATATATGTATATAAATAATATTATGTAAAAATATGTATGTTGGCACTGTGAGAATCAGGATGCGATTGCATACACCAGCGTGCTGGATGCTTGGGCAAGCTCTGGACGTACGGAGAAAGCACTGAAGACCTTTCGAGAGATGAAGCAGAAGAGATTTGCTTTTGCTTGAGGTGATGTATTTTTTTTTCCCCACTGAAAATCCACCAGAAAAAAAATCGGAAATCCACCAGAAAATTGGAAATCTATATAATGTTATTATAAGTTGATAGTCTAAAGTTTAAAGGGAACCTGTTGTTGGTAATTTCGGGAATCCAAGGAGATTGGAAATGAACAGCCTCACCTACAACGCCGGGCTGCCAAGATGAGCGCATCAATCTTGATGTTTATGCCATTTATGCCCATTACAGGCCAGCCAAATATGCTGTTCCACAGGGATTTTGGCCACTGACGTGTCGTTTTGATATAAGGCTTTGATGAAAGCCTTCGCAAAGAAAGCGGATTGGAAAGAAGCAGAGAAACTTTTGGCAGAGATGAGCACAGCCGCAGTGGCTGGACAAAGTATATTCCGCTTGGGACCCAACTGTCGCAGCTGCATCCTCTCACTAGCTCACCCCGAGCCAGCATGTATTGGGATCCAGAGTTATTGTTCTTCACCATTTGATGAATTAAGATCGCAGTGGAAATCCACACCTTCCAATCTGCAAAAACTGTACCACTTGAGGATGCAAAAAGTGCCACCTCTGGCATAGCACGCTGATTGTTGCAACTGCAAACCCAGGTGAGTCCGACGGTCATTACTTACAGCACTTTGATGGATGCATTCGCTAAAGCCGGAAAGGCCTTTCTGCCCTGCCTTTGCTGAGTTGGTTTGTTCAAATTAGTTTCCCAATAGGAAGTCCACCATGACTGCGAAATCTGTCAGAAATTGTTTTTATTATTGTGTTTATTTTTGGGGGGGTTTGGATCAGCAAATCCAAAGAGTGTGTCCCAAGTGTTGGCAGTCTTCGGAAAAAATGTATAAAGGGAGTTCGTCAAGATTGGCCCCCCCAAAAAAAACAAATCAGATTTTGCTGGAAGCCCATGCTTTGGGTACCCGGCCGTCTTCAGAAACACTGGGAAGCACCCAAACAGCTGGAGTGGACACCTGGAAGGCAGCCAAAGCAGAAGAGCTCTTGAGCCAAATGATGGTTTTGACAGTGCGACCAAATGAGTTCAGTTCTTTGGATATATAATTACAGTGTCGACAGGTTGCAGCTAATTGATTCGAAATCATGTGAAAAGCACTTAGTCCGGACATTTCGGCACAAAATGGCTAGAAGATGCTAGATTAAAAGTCCACCTTTGAACATTTTGAACTTGAGGAGCACAAATTAGATTTGGATTGGCTCACAACTGAGCCCGCGATGCAGAGATTTGCCAATTTCAGATTCTCGTGGCCAAAGTTGCGGTCCCTTGCTGTGCAGCGAACCCAGTCGGCCGAGGCTACACTGCTTTGATCGATTCCTGGGCCGAAGCGGGGAATGTGGAGAAAGCGGAGGCAGCTTTGGCTGTGACTTGGTGATGTTTTGGAGATTTTGGTCCAACGTGATCCCACATGGGATAGAATATGATAGAATGGCAAAATCAATGAAAAAAATGTTGGCTTGGTAGTTGTTTGTTGTTCCTTCCTCTTTTAAGGCAAGTATCAATTTCATGCCATTTGAGATATGTTGACTACATGAGATGATGAAGATTGGCTGAGAATACCATTGAGAGACCGTCACATTCAGGAGATTTCCAGTGTACAAAAATGGCTCAGGAATTGGGAAAAGTGGGTTTTCAGCCGAGCGTGCGGAGCTTCAATGTACTTCTGAAAGCTTCCGCAAAACGAGGCGCTGACAATTTCTGCAACATGTTCCCATCGTTTTTTTTTCAGGTTGTTTGTTACTTCTCTGCCAATCAAACATGGGTTGCTGGAAACTCCTCGATTTAGTTCGATGATGTCCCCATTTCGTCCCGTTAGCACCATTTCGTTCGGGGATTGATGTCACTTCCTCCATGATTTGATGATCCAAGCTGTGAATAGCAGGTGATGTTCACAAGTCAAAGGAGATTCTCCTAGCTATCGGCACGAGATCTCTTGAAGCAGATATCTACAGCTACAACTTGGTCCTGATTTTGGGACAGCAGATAGCACGAGATATGGAAAATAGGATGAACATATGATGGTTTTTGATATGAACTTATATATTACTATAAACTCTGTACAGTAAATGGTGGGAATGGGGGGGTTCATAATGTTTGAAAGGGAAAACTGACATGCGAAGTTTGCGGGGGTATCGATGGCTACAGTATGATTGGGGTTCCTCCCGGGTTAAAAGCAGGGATGGCACCCAAAATTCATGGCCATTTGAATGCCACCAAATGCTTTCTGCGCCCTGCGGTTTGAGGAATGTGTGTGGGAAAAGAGGGATGGCATTGGAAGCTGAAACAATTCTGGAAAAGTTATTGACGAGTGGAGTTCAAGCAGATGTGGTCTCTTGTCCGCAAGTGCTTACAAAGCAGAAGGATTCCTGGCTATAGGGCATGATGTACATATGGTTCAAAGTGAAGCTAAACATTGGATGAATGACACTATCTCTTATCCACTTTAACCCATAGATCATTTGTGAAGATCGCAATCAAAGGCTGTTCGTTGTGCCAGGTGAGCTACAATTCGCTCATCAATGCCTATGCCAAGGGGTCAGATGCCACCAATGCGTGCCAGAAACTGCAGGCGTTACCAGGGATGGATCTGAGATCAGATCATTGAATCATGGACTGCCAAGAAAGGACACCTTTCCACACGATGGTAGCATCGCCAGGGGAGCCCCTGGGGATGAGCATGATGAGCGCCAGGAAATGCTTCAGAGCGATCTCCAACCTTCAGCGATCAGTTTCAACTCAGCACCTTGGACGCACTCGTGGGCACTCGTGGTTGTAGGGATTAATGGAGAAACATGGACAAACCATGTATGTGTGTGTATGCATTCCTGTTGTATCCACAGTCCGTGCCAGTTCTGGCATTTCTTTCTTTTCATACTTCATATGTCCATATATTTCCCAACATTTCAAAATGGGGCAGCAAAATCCACTAAAAACACTTAAACAAATATATATATATATATTATATATCTCTTTGACATCTCCCAACGACTCACAGTCGTAACATCCCCGTCAGGCACTGGACGCCTGCGCGAAAGCTGGAGAGGCACAGAGGTCCAGCGAGTTGGTGGAGGAGATGAAACAGCTGCGCGTGATGCCAGATGCTCTCCGGCGATGGCCATAGAGCCATAGATGGGGCAGATTCGGGCATCGTTTTTTTTGTGAAGGGAGATGTTATATAATAATATATATTATATATATTATATAATATATATGTTTATATGTAATGGATATATATATATATATATATTGGGATGTTCAAATTGCATGGTGGAGTTAAGGATGCTGCTTCATTCTATTGGATGGTGTTTCAAGTCGGTGAAAAAGGGTCCAAGAGTTAGAGATGTACTGAAAGGGATTGTTCTTTTGCTTGGAGATGTTCGGGAAATTCTCCCTGTCTCCGCATACAAAAGGACACTGTTGGCTCCTTGAAATTGATTTTCATAAAGAGTTTGTTCGTATATTGTAAGTGTGCATTATTGATTATCATTGATTACAGTATTGTTCATTCATATTTGCAAAAAATTGTACAATAAGATAATGATGCTATTGATGATTCACCATTATTCACAGCTTCCACGCCGCATCCCCATCACCGTGGTGTCAGGCGTTCTCCTGCACCTCTTTGGTGAACGCCTATGCCAAGACGGGGGAAATTTATGAAGCGCGTGCCAGACTGGAAGAGATGAAGTGGTCGGAAGTGACTCCCAACGAGTTGCTGGTTTGGAAATGGCTTGGAGATGGCCATGGCATGGGTCAAATGAGGAATTGTTCCATAACTTGGGCTTGGGATGAGTTCATCATGTAAAAATATCCTGAACAGTGACGAATTTTCTTGGCCCACATCGCTTGGTACAGCCATTATTGACCCATCCCATCCCATAACCCGGGGCCCTGTTTTGGTGAGGACGATTCTGTAGTGTATTGTTTCCCGGCGATCACTTCGGATGATGGCCCTAATGATGAGAAAATGATGGGAATGTGGGCATGGATTATGCCACCTATGGGACCAGCGGTTGATATAATGATAATGGGCGGCATGAACATCCAGCTAGTTCCAACTATTGGCAGCGATGCCCCAATTTACAATTTCCAGCTTGGAATGATTGCCACTTTCATGGAATCCATGTGTTCAAGGTGGCCCTGCCACTTTCATGCCGGTGATGGCGAGGTTTGCGTATCCTCTCCTAATCTCCGCTTGCAAGAGACAGCACGAAGACGAGATGGCCGATGCCCTCAAGGTGCTGCACGGTGGTGTCAGAACGGGATGTACAAAGGGACCTTTTATCAATTTATCATACCTGAATCATATAACTATGTGTCATAACTCATAAATATCGTATTGTGTTGTAAGCATATCTATATAGAATATATATATATTATACATATGTGAAATTCAGTAAGTATAGATGGATCACAGGTCATCATAATTCATTCTCCATTTGGTGAATCTCAGCGCCAGGAGGAGATGAATCAGCTGGGATCCGCTCGACGCCAAGCCGTTGAGTCCCGGCCGCGGCCGCGGTCATTCGATGTGTCTCGGGCGCGGTCATGGGAAGGGACCATGAAAAATGGGACTTACCGGAAGCTGGGATATCTAAGAATTGATGTGTTGAAGACATTTTGAGATGAAAGTGATGAACATTGATGAACCCTCCAAAAAAAAGGGGTCCTGGATGATGAATCTTGTTGGGCAATTTTCGCTGCGCAGCATGGGAAGTTGAGACTGGCAGTTGGTCACGAGTCTGTTTGCCACATTTTTTCCGTCCAGCAGTTCTTGTCACATCAATCTGAATATCTGTTTCTAACTCCAAACATCATTTATTATCAATTCTAGACTTCTATGACACGGGCGGCAAGCAGTAGCCAGCTTGTGTCAGCAGGTGTGACAACCCTGGTTTTCGATCGAGATCCTAGGTCACTAAGGAGCACGAAAAGAGGTGCGCCGATTTGATGTCACAGTGTCAGCTTCAGCATTCCAACCGGTGCCCATTATTGGCCTGTTTGGAGATTGATCATTTTCTTAGACCCTATAAACAAGTGCAGTAATTATTCTATATTCTACATTCTATAGTCCAGTAAAACCGGTAACAATAGTTTGGGTCCATCAGTGCCTCTAGTTGCTTGCTCGCATTGTGGCAGGCTATTGCAGATCAAGCGCCCATCAGCAGGGAAAAAGGAGCGCGAGCGTGCGGCTGGAAAGTTTCCTCACAGCAACCATCTGAAGAAGGGTGTTGACTCATGCCCAATTCATCGAAAAATGGGGGTTGAAATCACAGCAACACAAAAAAATACAAAAAAGAAATGGAATTCAGACCCCATGGCTTTTCACTGACAAAGACATGGTATTCACAGTGACGCTGAGGTCACGTTCCTCCTGGGTCTCTTTAGGACGTCCTTGCTGAACTGGGACGTGACAGATGCCAGGAAGATGTTCATCCCCACAGCTTCTCGGATCTAAAAGATACTGATGAGACTTAAGCAATCATTCTGCAGTATGATCTATAATAAGTAAAAGACCTACTCAATACATATAATTATATATATATGATGATAGACATATCATATATACATATATGTATATATATATAATATATATATTATTGATGATTTGAGCATTCCGATGTTCCAATATGGCGCCATCCTCTTGAACATTTGCCATCAACCTCTTGCCGCACGCTGAGATCTCCTGGGGTGCATTGATCAGCCTGGTGATGCTACTGGTCTCGCAGCTATACGTCAGGGCCTATGCTCAGAAGGCGGCTGCAACTGAGGCGGGGTCCAGTCTGGGTTCACTGGTTTGGCACCGGCACACCCCAAGAGATCATAAGGATGCAAAGTTTGGGTGATGGATGGTGATGGCATCGGTATGTTCTATGTATTTTTGATGCTTTAGTACAAACATGGACCAGTTTGGCTGAACTTGAATGGTCTTGTCACAAGGTCACCAGTTTGGGAAACAGCCCGAAGCCACCAAGCTGTACACCTTTTTGGTGAATCTTTCGAATTCAGCCAGATATATATATATATACTTGAATTATGTTGAATCGATTAATTTCTGCACAAGGTATCACCGTGGACCTTTGTGAAGGTGGAATTTTCTGAGGCCATGACACCGACACCTCCGGCACAAAAATTGCCAGGCCTTGAATGCTCCAGAAGAGGTGCAATGACTGGACTGGTGATCCCTGAAAAATCTCCGGAAATAACTATTCAAATTATATTCAACAATGACTCTTCATATGCTTGTTATGTTCGGATGTTATTTTCGGATATGTTCTGAATATGTTCTGAATAATGCAGTGTTGCATCATAAAGAAGTATACTAATAATTAGTCCCATATCATCAGCCAATCAGCATCCCATGGTTGATCTCAGGCCGAAGCGGAGGCGGAGCACAGCCAGTGCCCTGGAGATGTTGAAATGGACAAAATGTGGGAAAAAAAGGTGGAAACATGATCATGAATCATGAACCAAGGGATTTTGGGGAAGTGGAATTGGAGAAATGATGCAAACTGACTAATTAAGAATGTGTATACAAGACATGATTGAGTAAACATTATTAACTGATTATAGAAACATGTTATCATCTAATTATAGAAAATCGATTATTAACCGCTGGATTTGGGGATAGTCTACTTTTGGACAAACCCAAGAAATATATGCATCAGAATGGAATTTATAGACCCACCATGATCCAGATGTTCGTTGAAATATAAGGGGATGGAATTGGATGCTAAAGTTTCAAGATAGGATACTATAAGAACCTCATCATGGAGTAGCTGCTTGGAGTCTGGTAGTGAAATTTCCAAGTGCAGCAAATTGGGAGCAGCTCAGGGCGTAGGTGATAGCTAAGTGATGACAGGGGAAGTACCCCCAAATAGACCCTCCAACGACCCTTGTATTCCCTTGTGATCGTGTATATTGTCATGTTTACTTTGCGAACTGTATCGACTGATTGGTATTATCATTGTTATTTCTATTTGGATCTATTTTGGTGGTTCCACCCCCAACCCACTGACAGCCGAATTTCTTCAATTCGCTATTGTCATCATTATTGTCATTAGTGGTACCTTTTATTTGCTAGTATTGTCATTTTTAGTACTAGTACTATTTTTGCCCTGATGCAAACATACAAAAACATATGAATAGTCCGAGATCTCTCATTTAAGATTATCTACAAATGGCAGATGTTCGATTTTTGTTGTATGTTTGCTGCAGCGTATGTAGCAATTGCCGACGTGCTTCTTATAATGACATTTGCTCGATTTTATTTTCAAATAGTGCAACTTACTTAATTGATACGCTGTGCACGTATGGAATGTTCACCGACAATTACCAGATAAAGAAGGTCCAAACATAGGTGAGACCATGGTTTCTAATGTCATTGGTCATGTAGCAACAATTGATTCTTATTCGTAATAAGAAACATGATTTTTGACTAGATCATTCATGATTCTTGCTTTAATTGATCTCTTAATTAGTATGATTACACAATTACTATTCGTATTGTGATTATTATAGTTTTTCTTCTGATTATTCTATATCAGTGTTATTATCTTATAAGATCATCATTATTGTCATTATCATTATATTCTCACTGTGTGCATGTTAGAAAATTATCAGTAGAAGATTCGTTAGAATATTATAAAATGACTATATCCTGACATATTCTGACTATGAATTGTTATTCTGACTATATTTTAGAATAATGGGTATGTCTAATGTTATGATCATCCGCCAAGTGCTGAAAAAACAGGTACTCCTCGGCCTTGACCTTTCTGCAGACCGTCCGTGCAGCTGGGCCGAAAAAAAAGCCATGAGAAATGGGAAAACTGAGGGGCAAAAGCCACAAAAGCATGGGGAAAACCCATGACCCATGAGAAAACCATGAGAAAAGCCTGTTTCTTTCCCATTTCACGGAGCTTGAAAGCTAGGAAAAAATGGTAGAAAGCAATGGGAAAACCAGGGGAAAAGTATCTATGAATGGGATTGATTGAACCAACTAAACATTGGGGGTATTGACCAGTCGGTTGCTGGACATCAAAAATCAGAAAGTAGACAACGGTAGACATCACGTTTTTAGAATTTGTTGTTGCATCATCGATATGCACATGCTGCCTCTGAAGTCATATGGGGATGAATTTGAAATTAAGCCCTGACCACAGGTCCTAGTATATGTTTGATATTCATCATCCAACTATCGGGGGTTAAAAAATATTCTTTTCACCCATACCCCATACCCAGCCATAGCCATATCAAAGTGATGCTCCGAAAAATCGTTTCTCATTCGCCTTGGTTTTCTGAAAAGGTTAACCTCCCCAGGAAGAAGTGTGCCTTCAGGTCTTGAGACCCTACTTTTGGCCCACTTCTGGAAGGCCTTCAGAGGCGCAACAAAAACTGGCGGTATGTGGCGGTTTCAAATGTGTTTTGGGGCGAATATCCCTAATGACTATAACAAAACATAACAAAACTATTGCACAGCGGTTGAAGCCACTAGCAAAAGGGAATGTAATGATTAGGGATTGGGATGTTAAGGTGATATGAATGAGAACCAACCAGCATTGTATGATATGAAGTTAAATTGGGGTTATTCCAAGCTTATGTAATTGTAGGTACATGATTGACAGAAGAGAGGGAAATTGGCGACGGTTCATAGTTCTTATTTCCAAGGCATTCATGAATTCCCACTATTTATTGGTTTGTTTCCTTGTCTTACTCAAGCATAGACTGATTCCACTTGACTATAGAAGAATATCGAAGAATTCTCAGTGGGTTGGAAACTTTGTAAGATCCCTACTAGCAAACCAGGGCTCAAAGGAATTGGCGCATGCTTTGAGGGACCGCATTTGCCCTCGCAGAGTCCGGGCATGTCCGGGCCGACCATTCCTGCTATTTATGATATTTATGGATGTCCATTCCCCAAAAAATATGGTATGCCATAAGTTAATGCCATATTTATGCCATATTTATGCCATGGTATGTCGTAGGTTATAGTCCTATTCAGTTGGCATTAAGTTCTCATGGCCCGCTGGGATTTATGGATGTGTCCACACCCAGGTGCTCATGAATCGAATCCGTGCGTTGACCACCTGGCTCTGCGTGGTGCTTTCGAAGGCCACGTTGGGGTCTGCCGGGTCCGGAGATCTCATGTAAGACTTCAATTTTCTCTGAGATCTTCTCAGATTTTTTTTCCTTAGAAGGGATTTCGATGGATTTGAATTGTTAAATGAATACTGCTCAAATTGTTTGATAAATATTGTTTAACATTGTTGAATACGCGTCAGGCTCTTGATATGTTCATAATACCCGAAGCGAAGAATCCCAATCTCGGGCAATGTAGAATATGCTGCCAGAGAATGTTCAAACACCAACCGCATATCGAACGTTAAAAAAGGAAAAATCAATAATATGGAGAAATACAATGTAATGTAATGCAATGTAATGTAATAAAGGCCAATGGAATGTAATGGAATGGAATGCTATGCCATGCTATATTATGTTAGTTTTTGTTATGTGGTGTTATGTATGTATACAAGTATGTATGTGTGTATGCATGCATGTATCTATGTGTGTAATGTTGTGTAATTTGCAATGCAATGCAATGTACTGTAATGATTTGTAATGTACCGTAATGTAAATCGATGTAATGGTTTGTAATGTATTGTTCTCTACAGTTTTTGTAATATTGTTACAATACATGAATATTTATGTATGTATACATGTGTGTACAGTAGAGATTCCACCAACATAGGGTTCAATCCATAGAGCCCTAGTGACATACTTGTAACTAATCAACTTAGCTGCACCACCTTACAATTTAAACCATATTATAACATTGTATCTACATATAACATATGAATATTCCATGTGACTTTCACATTATATATATATATATATGTACATGATATTAAAAATATACATATTACACACATATATATATATATACATACAATATAACTATCTATTTGTTTTGTTCTATACTAGTAACAATAATATGTTGATTCTAATTGGATAGTTACAATATAAATCTCAGTCCGATGTCGTCTCCAGGTCTCCAACATCATTTCGCCCATCTTCCTGGCCCGTGCCACCAACGCCTTGGCCTCCGCACTCACAACACGCAGCTTGGAGGTCACGCCCGAGGCCGAAACGAAAGGGTTCCAGCGGCGAAGGAACACCGATCTGGAAATCTATAGATATCTATAGTTTTATAGTTTATTTTGTGTAATAGTATAGATAGATAAGATAAGATAAGATAGATAGATAGATAGATATGGTATTTTGTTGATATATAATGATATATAGATATAGTTATAGTTACAGTTATAATTATAGTTATAGATATTATGTTTATAGTTTTTTTGATGTAATAGATATCGATATAAATATCCAATAGTGGTTTTAATAGGTATATCATATTCAATCCATATTAAGACTGACTAGAGATTCTTTCTAGATATTTAGACTATGGAAATCTTATGATGGATACTTATAACACCTATTTTATAAATATTTATATCACCCGTGGAATCTTAGACTCTACTGCTTTTTTTCAGATATTTACCGTACCATGAAAATATTCTAAGGATTGCGATTATAAGTTATATTTCTATTTTGTTTATATGTACTGTATATTAAGTTACTTTTTAATGCACATGTATACACTAAACACAATATGTGAAACATACTTGAAATTTGTAGAACTAATCATGAAATGGTCTTTTCTCCAGCAGAGCATGGCGGTTTGAAATTTTTGAACACGTTTTGATCACTTAAGATGTCTTTCAGACTGCCCATGCTTCACTCTGCAGATTTGGTGGCCTTTGGTGGAATACGCAGCCCTGGTCTTCGTATCCAAAGCTTTGAAGGCGCTGGGGACGCTGGTGGTTGTTTTTGAAAGGGAATGTTTGAAGGTGGAATGATGCGCCGGCAGATGCAGCCACAAGCAAGCCAAAAAAGTAATTTGTTTTGTAGTTCTGGGTACGTAGTTGGATTGTCTTGGACACTGCAATGTTTGAGCATGTTTGAGTCATGAAATTTCCTCCGGTCCTCTGTTTGGATGATTTTGTCAGGGTATACCCTCCGGTATTCTAACGTTCTGGAACACCACCATCAAAACAATAAAATCAGCTGCCAGCTGCAAGCAGGCCATCTATATCACTTCGTAAACTGTACAGCCACGAACACCAGTGGCCCAATCCCGGGGCAGGAAGCACAATCCTTGGTCTACATCAGGGTTCAGCAAGCTGCGCGACTTGGCCATAGAGACCTTGAATTTCCGAAGCCAACTTCTAGCATATATGCAGCATATCATAATCCAGTACTGGTAGGGAAAAAGTGGGAACTACTAGGCATAGAATAATCCACTTTAATTATACGCATAAATATTATATATATATAATATATGTATGATTATATATATATTATTATATATATATGAATGATTATATATATGTTTATCAATATATATATATATATGATTATATATATACATGATTATATATATATATGATTATATATATATATATATATTCAGTATGTGTAAATGTAGTCTAGAATCATGTTCAGGACTCTTGGGTTTTGCGTTATATTTCTTCAGCTCATAGCGCTTCTGATCTTCGCGTAGCTTATGTCATGGTGGTTCTCCTGCTGTCGCTGATCTAAGCGCGCCGCTGGCTGAGGTCGATTGAAATCGCGGACAACACCTTTGCTCATCTTCACAGTTTATCTTTGGATTGGCATTTGAGAAAGAAGATGGGGCACCACAGCCATGTTTTTTAAAACAGCATGTTGATGACACTTGATGCATGTTGATGGTCTGATTTCGGGGGACGCAATTCGGTGTCCAAACGGGTTTTGTGGTGGAAACGGGACGTATCTTCGACGAGTTGTCGACTCCATGGCTGTTTCATGGCAGTTCCTCCGCCGGAGTTGTGATGATTTTTGGATGCAGAAGGTAAAATCTGACTGCTGACCCAACCATTTCACAATATTATTATATATTATATATTATATATATTATATATTATATTATATATATTATATTATATATATTATATATATTATATCTAGTATGTATATATTATATATATTATATATATTATATATATTATATATATTATACGTATATATATTATATATACTAATATGTATGATGTATATTAATATCTATAATATACCTCTTGGCTCTTAGTTTCTTGCCGCCTAAACCCCAGTATCCATCACCATCGCTTCGCGAAACGACCGTCCTTCGCATGACAGGCAAACGGTGCGTTCCATGGACCGAGGAATTCAGGTCTGTTCATTGGGAATGGCACAGGGAATCCTGGCTGATGGTTGGAGATTTCGCAAGACGGAGCAGATGATTCTCTTATTGTTTTTATCAACAAAAGATGAATGGTGAATGGATTATAATTTATGGTTCATGATAGTTTTTGATTGTGTTTGATTGTTTTTGAATGATTGTGTATGATTGTGCATGATTGTGCATGATTGTTTTGTGGTCTTATCAACTATATGCATATAAAGACATGGACTGGAGATCTTGACCAAGAATGATGTCTCAACAAGAGTTTCGCCATGGCTCATCCTCCGCCTATGCAAAGCCTATGTTACCATATTTGCAGGGATGAACCATCAATTGTCCAATTATTGTGATGTGAAAACCAGGGGGTTCCATAGTTCCATAGTTCCATGGGTCTTGACCCGCACCCAGCCAGTGGCTCCGCTGGCTCCCCAGGCCGCGCAGCAGACGATGCAGTACGTGGTTCTTTATTTGATCCCCACCTTAGTGGAAGCTCTGGCCGTGCTCCGGTGATACCATCATCAGGGGATATGACTGGGAGATTTTGGGAGCCCCTCCAATGAGGTAAGAAAAAAAAACAGTTGACAGTTTCTGATGTTTCTTCGGATCTTGCACGAGTCCTACTTCTCCCATTAATGATGTGGATGTGTTTAAGAGAGGAGTGTTGCACCAGAAGATCCAGCGACTTCCCAGTGACTTCCCAGCTTACGACTTGGATTCGATGTCTCTTTCAGTTCAGGTGGCACTGATTTTTGTCTTCCACTTCAAGAATCTCCAGTTGGCAGTGGCTCTCCTGCAGATTGAGGATGCTCCAGTTGAGGGTTCCAGTGACTCCACCAGAAAAATTTGATGAACCACTGAGGTCTTCGTCCTTTTGAATTTGATTGCTTACATGTATGCAACCATCAAAGTCACCCTCTGGAGGAAGAAGCACCCCCGGCTGAAGTTGCAGCAGCGAACCCAGATCATCCTTTTTTTGGTGTGGTAGATTCACCAACAGTTGCAGCATGTTTACCCCAAATCAAACGTGGCTGGCTGGAAAATCATCCATTCCATGATTTTCCCAGGAAAGCCTCGACATTTTGAAACGTTGATTTTCCAGCCACGTTTGATGACCGTTATTGGCCAAGAATCAGCCAAACCAGACAACGCCATGGCAGGTTTCGGACAGCGACCACAAAGCATGACAATGACCTTCATGACCGCCTCACGGATTCGTTGGTGAACTACGAGGTTACCTGCCGCGTGTTTTGATATGTTTTGATCATTTAAGACATTGATAATACCCAAATTGTCAAAGATTTGACAATACTTGATAGCAATGATAGTGATAATAGATACAATAACTATATATATATATAATTATATATATATATTTATATATACATATTACAATGGTGAGTGCCTCACCTGCACACGCGAGAATCAACTCGTTTGAGCACGCGGGTTTCCTACACATCCTTGCACGCGAAGTTACTCCAGTTTACAATTGAATCTACGCTACTTTTCTCCGAAATTTTCTATTCACTCTACTCTACTCTTACTGGACCCCACATGATCAGGGTGCAGTGCCTGTGTGTGCAAGTGATGTTATTGGCACCCCCCACCCCTGTGTGTATAGACGAGTCAAAGTTGTGTGCACAGAAAAGCCAAAAATGATGAGAAATAGTAAAAGCCTTGTGTGCGCACTGCGCAGATGAGTCACTTTTGAGTGCGCAAGTGAGTCCCTGAAATTCCCTCACCACATATAATAGTAGTAGCAGCAGCAGCAGTAGTAGTAGGAAGTAGTAGTCACCATCATCGTCATCACCATCATCAACATCAACCTCAACATTAGTCGCTGATGCCAGCCTGTCAGACCGTGAAGTACTTCACTGCTGAAGACTACGAGCGAAGAGAGTACCTCGCCAAGGTTTGGCCATCGATGACCGTTTCCTGTGACCGTTTTTCTCAAGCATTCTTGAGCCCTATTTATGAATAAATCCTTTCAATTATTGAAAATCAAGGGTTGTAAATGTTCGTGTTAGCATCCAATCTATGATGTGAGAATTGATGAACATCAAGCTGCTCATTTCAGGGTGTATGCTCCTAATAGTTGATGAACATTGCTCATTGGTTTTATCACAGACAGCTGCAGCTTAAGCATCCGATGAAGCCCTGTCATGCCCTGTCGATATTCAGAGGTACAGATCTCTGGTGGCAAGTTACCAAAAGACCTCCATGGCGACCCAGGCGCCATGACGGGATGGTTGAAACAGTAACGAAGGGGTTTTTTGGGATCTCGGAATGATCCTATGGAACCAAGGTTTCTGAAATGTCAACGCTAGGCTGAAAAAACCATTCACATCCATTCACGTCTCCGAATTCAATGCTTGGTAAATAATGTTGTTGATATGTTGATCCCTGCAGATCTGTGACTAAGTTGTGACCCATCTTCAGTGTCCCATTGGGGTGTCCCATTGGGATCTCCGAAATCTCCAAAACGGCTAGGCATCGTTGTCATTTCTCAACATCTTGCAGCAGCTGATTGTGAATTTCACCCTCTGTGGTGGAATGTCAAGACCTCAGGGATGACATGCGTGTTATGGACATGAAAAAAGCGTACAAGGTGGTGCCCCCATGTGCCCCCTGGTTATGATAAGATGTTATAAGATGTTGTAAGTTGGTGTATCAAATTCATCCAAGTGCAAAAATCACCATTAACCCTAAGTACATGAGTAAACAAAGCAACTTAGCTCACTATGGGGCACCAGTTTTTAGCCTCAGGGTTGATGGGGAGGGCCGCCATCCTTCACGGTCCGGTCCGTTCAGGATACTGGCCACACTTCGGGTCTTGCAGGCAGCGGACCGGAACTTTGTTTCCTCAGAGATCAAGCATCTATAAACATTATGGGTTTCTCCTGCTATGTTATATGGTAATGATATGCAATGTATCGTAGGAATATGAGGAAATATGATGAAACATGTCTGAAAAATAGGGGACAAAATGTCCATCGCATGGAAAACCTGATTTCCCTTTTGATATTGTCAATTTCAGGAGAATCTCACTATCGTTTGGAGATTTGGTGACCCTCAATCCCAACCATCCATCGACCCCTGCAACGAGTCAAAGCTGTCAGACCAACGGAAACCTCGGCGACTTCGTCGCGGTGAACACGTGCGCTGAAAGCCAGTCATGGTATGGGTTTTTGAGTCCTAACTTGCTTAGGTTCAAACTCAGGTTTGATGTTGATGTTGTTGTTTTTTTTAGATTTTGGATGAAATTGGCATTTATATCATGAAAATCAATGAAAATCCATGCCATGTGTTTGTGCTTGGTGGAATTTCCATGGACCATTCCCATAGAATACACCAGCACTGGATTTTTCGGGTCCGCCCCTAGTGGGCGATCCTGATGCCCCCAAGATCCCCCAGGATCCCCCAGGTACATCATCAACGTCTTCACTCCATTGAACTTCCTGGGGACCATCTACAACATGGTGTGGGCCCTATCAATGCGTCGGTTTTAAGATGTTTTGAGCGAAAGTTTCTGATGTGTTTTCGATCTGATACCCTTGGAAGATCAAACCTGGCCGCTGGGAAATTCCCAACAAAAACGCAGGGTTTGAATGCGAAAACATGGCAAAAACCATCAATGGGTGATGTACCTCCAAGTTATGGCTATTTTGATGGGAAACTGATGATTATATAACAATGTTTTGATGGTGTTTCCCCTGTAGATGGAAAGCCATGGAACGCCTGTTTTGCCAGCATCTTCGAACATGACATTGCTCCGAATATACGTCCCAATTAGTCATAGATTCAACCCACTGACGGTGGATAGTGAAGGTTGATAGGAACCCCCTTCAAAGGTGATTTTCCCGGTGGTGTCAGTTTCGCAACTTGTGGAGATCGGATGTTTTCTCAGGTCACATTTAATTAATCCTGAAGAGCACCTAATCTGATGGTCAATCATCATTTTTCCAATATAAATGACGATTTCAGGGGTATTTGCAGCATGTTTTAAGCAAACCAATAAACCCCGTATTGTTAGTTAGTTATATCCCGTATCCCATGATATTCCCACGTAATAGATTATTTTCCCATGATCTCCTTATTTCTGATGGAACTTCTTGCCAGGCATCCCCCCAGTATGGCCCAGCGAGGCCATACCAGCGATTAGCAACGCTGCAGGTGGTCAACGCCATCGTGGACATGAAGAATTTCGGCCAACTCTTGGCAGAAAAGTCCGAGGTCCAGGCCGGACGGATGCCCACAGGATGTCCCTGGTTGCCATGGTCCTGCCATGAAGGTCTGGAAAATCATGTCTGTTCCAGTTATCCTATGTTATCCTTCTTTGATGTGTTTTGAGGTGAATTCTGAAGTATTTGAACATTCGTGGAACATTAGTTGAGTTCCTCAGTGATTTCTCCGCCAGAAGACCAAGATTGAAGGATACAAAATGTTGGACTCCCTTCTAGATAATAAACAACCCATGCACAGAAACTCTGGTTTAGGGAAAAAAGTGTTCATTTTCTGCTATTATTTTCATTGTGTTTCATTCTAAGGGAATTGGAATAAATCCCATCTTTGCTTGTCATAGATTCCACTTCTTAGTGGCTTTATCTTCATTGAATTAGGCTTCCCACCTCCAATTCTGGGTCAATAATAGGTTTGGAATTAAAGAATTTAAAATAATTTATATAAAGAATGTTTCCCACCTCCAATATGTTTATATAAAGAATTTAAAAGACACATAACTTCGACATCACCCCAGATTGGCCATGATGTGAGTTTAGAATCCCTGTCGGTTGATCAAAATTATACTACCCAATGGGTTGGGGATTTTTTTTTGTATCCATTACGGCAGTCTCGTTCTTAGTGTAACCAGCCAGTAGAATGGAAAGACATGTTGATATAATATATATATAATATATACATACATATATTATGATATACACATAATATATATATATACATAATATATATATATATATTGATCATTTCGGGCTTTGAACACTGCTTGTTTCCTACATTCATTTTTTAAAGGTTACGCCGCTTGCCAGGATGTCCCGAACGCTCCAGCCTTGAAGCTGCAGATGTCTCCGGACGTGCCCATGGTGGCCTTTGAACAGGTGTGCTTTCACTACAGCAAGTCACTGGGCAGATGAAACTGGAGGATTTCCACAAGAAACATGGAGATTATGGGAAAAAACATGCCTATGATATCCAAAAGATGATAAAACATGTGGAGATTAAGGGAAAACATGTGGATGGATCCAAGGCAACCATTGGGCCGGGCAATCAAGGACTGCCTGAGGCTCATTCATCATTGCCTACTTCATTTCACCAACATAAGAATTCACCAAATATTCACCATCACCTTATTTCACCGTCGTCGTCATCGTCATCATCAGCATCATCAGCATCATCAGCAGCAGCATCATCATCATCAGCATCATCAGCATCATTATCATGATTATCATCATCATTATGATTATCATCATCATTATCATCATCATCGATTGGTCATTTCACCCATCCCTCCCAGCAGCAAGACCGGTAGGACGTGAATTTCCGCATCCCGCCGGGGGGCTCACTGGCGTTGGTGGGTACCACCGGGGCGCGGAAGACGACCATCACCCGGCTGCTCTTCCGCTTCTACGATGTGGTCTCAGGATGGGGTGGCGCTGGTGGATGGAGATGTTGAAGTTAGGATTGATGACTGTGAATTATACTTCAGTTATCAGTTAACTTACATTATATGTATGCATATTTTATGATACACGATAGTATTAGATATCAATGCATATTGAGGGACAAAAATGGAAATGTGTATTAATGGATTTGAATGGATATCAATCGCGGATTAAATGGGTGATAATTGAACCATCATTTCATCTCATCCCCGGATGATATTGCATAGATGCACAACCATTTTATGGGACCCCAAGTCATGAATAGATCCAATACTAAACCAGAGACTGAAACAGAAACTGGAATTTGATGCTTAGTAATTCATTGGAAAATATGTTCAAACATAGCTGCGAGTGGGTTACAACTTATGACCTATACATAACCAAGTTTCTACAAACATTTAAACATTATTTCCTTCAGGAACCAGACCCAATGCAATTCTGATTTTGGGCGATTGATAAACCAGGAAGGAATTGATGGTTCCCTCCTTACAATATTTCATGATATTGCCCCTGAGCAGGACCACGGATCCAATGCTAAACCAAACTTTCTGAGAGGTGCTATCCAAGGGGCGAGCCATTATAGCGAGACCCAAAGCGAGCAACGAGGCATGAAAATAAAAAAGAGAAGAGTAGGGGTGAATCAGTTTCTACCTTTTTTTTGGAATCATATCTCCAAAGCGACGCAGTTATTGGGTTCTACCCATGCAGCCCTCATGGTGCCTGCCAGGATGTGTCAGGGTGAATGGACAAGATGTTCGGAAAGTCAGTCAAAAGAGCTTGAGAGCTGCCATTGGGATGGTTCCACAGGAGATCTGGACAGCATGCCAGTTTTTTGGATGGGCACCTGTAGGGTGAAAAGAAGGCATCCAGTTTTCGTGTTTGCACCAAGAGTTTTTAAACAGGACTTCTTTGATTCTAGCATGTTATAGCTATAAAATCCAAACCCAGCTGTGTAAATCTACAGCTTGCATCAAAGATTTGCGCCGTTTTGGGTCATTTTGGACCATTGTTGCCGATGTTCAGTGCCCGCCCCGCTGCCAGCAGGATGTCGTGCTGTTTAACTCCACCATTGCACACAATCTGAGATATGGAAACGTGGACAAGGCCAGATTTTCCACAGCCTCCACAGCCTCCAACCCAGGCAGAGTTTTACCATGGTCTTGACCTTCAGGATATGATGTTTTTTTGGGGGGCAAGGACCTGGGGAAGAAGATTAATTACCAACCTTGTTTTATGAGATTTCCATTGTACTGTCATAGATTGAATGGAGATGAATGGAGTATTGGATCTTTTAGATTCTTCTAGTTAATTGGATGCGCCCCGTACATGTTCGAATTGGTTTTCTACGTCTCCAGCGAGCCTTCTGTGGCTTTAAACAGGCTCAGCTGAGTTTGTTTTTCGTTGGGGTCACTGTCTGCTGGAAATCTCCAGATCAACCAATGGCCAGTTAAATTGGTAAACAGCGATTAGTCATTTGTGGGGCTCCTTTGGTACCCCAATGGCTTGACATTGACTCATCCTCATACAACCAGTGTCAACTACTATTTGTTGATATTTGGAAGTCCATGGGACAACTCCAAACTTGACTCCGTCTAGAGTCTAGAAGATGTGTCCGAAATGTGTCCGAAATACTGTTCCCAAAATTGCATGAAACACGTTTTCGAAATTGTTTCCAGCACGCTGTCCCGCGGGACAAATCCGAAATTGACTTGGTTTGCAAGATAGTTGCATGTTTCCCATATACAATTGAAACATATTTCCAACAATCGCTTGAAACATATATGTCTTGCAAAGTGTTTCCAACATGTCAACCTATTTCACTATAAATCGTGATTTTTGAATGAAGGTTTCCAACACATTCAAACCAATTTGGCATTGGTGTCCAAATTTTATATGACAATCTCAAATTGTTGTTGTTTCTTGATAGATCCTTAGATTGGCGGAACATAATCTGAATATCTGGATTTACCATGATTTACCTCAATTTTACGATACGTCCAAATCGTGATGTTCCCATGGTTATTTCGATGGTAGTTTCGCATTAGAAAAAAAAGTGTACATTCCCATAAGAATCCCTATTTGATTCCCACTACATCCCAATTGTTCATGGGAAACTCAACCTGATTGGAACTCACCCCATCTTCCAACCCCATCCTGCAACGTTCCGCAGAATCAAGGCGTCTGAGAAGGACATCCAGAAAGCCGCGGTGGACGCACAGCTGGACGCCTTCATTGATCAACAAGCCCAGGGCTACGACGCTCTGCATGGCCATCGGCACCGGTGTTGGGAACGGGCTGGGCTGTTGATGTTGGCTGGGCTGTTTGTTGCTGCGGATTTCTGCCTGCCGTGGACCTTGGGATTTGGATCTTCAGTCAGGTTTGGGGCACTGAGAACCTCACACCTCCAAGAAGGGCAGGAATTTGACCGCTGATAGCCCTTCACCAGGATGGTGGCTGACAGATTGGGCAGGAGCTTTCCAGTCAAATACGCCATTCTTGGATATTGTTCGCTGATATGCCACTGTATTCCTGCTGCGTCCAAAGACATATCTGAAGCTGCTTAAGCTTGTTCAGGATAGTGAATCTCCCAAAACAATGAGAAATCATTATCATCATCATCAACAACAACATCATCAATATCAACATGAACATCAACATCACCATTAACATCAACATCGATCATTATATATATATAATTATAGATATATATCAACCAAGCAATCAATCAACCAATGAAGCAGTCAATCAACCAATGGACCAATCAACCAATCAAACAAACAGATCAATCGTTCAATGAATCATTCAAACATATTCAAACAATCAATCAGCCAGTCAGTCAGTCAGTCAATCAAGCAATCAATGAATCAATGAATCAATGAATCAATGAAGGAATGAAGGAATGAAGGAATGAAGGAATGAAGGAATCAATCAATCAATCAATCAAACAATCAAACAATCAACAAGCCAATCAAACAATCAATCATCACCATCATTCCCCAGTCTCCATTGTCTCCATTGTCCCTAGTTTAGTGAGATTTTGATTGCTGCCCCGTTTTGAGCCATTTCAAATTTCAATCCAAGGAGACCATGGTGGGAGAACGTGGCTTGAAGTTGAGTGGGGGAGAAAAGCAGAGGCACCATGGGAGTTTCTCGAAATTTGGGGACCCTAAAATCATCCAACATGCAACTTCATGTGGGCTATGTTTGTCTATATCATCCTAAAGATTGCCATATTTACAGTGGCTCTTTAAATTGAGACCCCTAAACCATGGGTGTGACTCTTTAAAATGACAAATTTTGGACAATTTTGGGGTTCCCCCATTTTGCGACTTTGGTGAAGTTGATGAAAAGACAAACAACCAGAAAGTTCCTGAACACTCAGAGGGAGGGAAGCACAAGGGTCATGTTTTGCATTCAACATGATGGCCTGTATCATTCCCTTTCCTACTGTTACTGTATCAATTATTGCTCAGAATGGTTTAAAACATGGTGGCGCCGACCCCACGTTCGCCTACATCCAAATAACACACCCAGACAACTACTTGTCACCTGGGGATGAACAAACGCATTGGCTATGTTTTGGAAAGATAAAACGCTAGCCATACGCACGGACTTGAGCATGTCAAAGGATATGTGGGATCGGTGGTGGGCAAACGTAGGGGTTGCAGCGAACATGTTTAACCAAAGCTATTCTAGTCTGATTACCCTCTGGTAATTTAACATAGCTATCGAAAATGACCATATATAGTGGATTTTCCCATCAAAAATGGTGATTGTCCATAGCTATGTTAGTTTACCAGAGGGTAAATTTTCCAGTGGTCATCTCTGAAGAATTCCTTCCCCCTGAACCCAACTCACGACAGGGTCGTTTAACCTCCTCCGCAGGTTGGCGATCGCGCGCTGTCTGGTGAAAGATCCACCCATCGTGGTACCTGAGCAGCATCTGGTTGCTGATTTGTGTCTGCAACTTGGGGGGATAGCTTGGGGGGTTTACATGGGTTTACCTCCAAGCTATGGCCATTTGAGTGGGGACACACTAATGATCAACCAATAGGATCAATAGGTTTGGGATATCCATGGATATCCACGGATACCCTATCTTCAGACACATTCAGTGGGGGCAAAAAGTATGTAAGTATGTTGGGGTTGCCCTATTTTCAGACAAGCCCGTTTGGGAGAGCTTGATGATTTGGGTGAACACAAATATAACCACCTGACCACGACCGAAGCGTAGATGGTGAGTGCAGCCAGACCCAAGTGCCAGAGAAAACCTGGTCTTTCACGGGTGGCAAGACTCAAAAGCACATATTTGACATCCTTAAAATGGCTTCCCGAAGGTTCTGCATTCACTAGCTGATTGTCGTTTGCCATCACCTTTGAATGAGCTTCGAAATTGGTATACAGTAGCGTCAATGATTAAACGGGCAATAGGTTGGCCATCATTTAACCTATTATTCCATTCAATGATGGGATAAATGGCGGTATTTGCACATCATTAACAATTCCATGCCACTAATTATATGTCATACATATATCAGGATATTGGGAGATAGATATATATATATATATTTAACAAACTTAACCGTTGGGACCACAGTTTCAACCAACGGACAACGGTTTTTTTTTCATCGGATTAAATCGGCAAACCCCTTGAATTGTCCAACTCGCATATTTATCCATAACTTTCTGTGATTCGCCATTTAACCATCAGTAAGATAGTAACAAAAGTCATACCCACCCTGTCAAACTTAAGATCTCTATGGCAAAATCAACCCTGTTTTAATCTAGAAATGTCTTCCAGGGGGTCACCCATGGGGTCAGGTTTTGGACGAAGCGACCTCGGCGCTGGACTCGGAGACGGAGCAGAAGATCCAAGAGGCCCTGCGGGTGCTGAGCGCCTCGCGGACCGTAGCCTGGTGGCAGATGTCGCGATGACTGGGTGACCGAAAAAATGGACGGGAAGATGTGGGAAAACAATGGAAAACACCAGTATATGATGTATTAATGATGTATAAATTAAGGAAAAAGCCCATAAGAAAGCCATAGAAAGCCTAGCATGTTATCCATTCAAAATTTGGGGGTGTTGGAATCACCGATGACTAGTTGGGAGGTTGATCACACTTCGAGACCAGGGATCCCTAGGGTAAATAGCTGGGGAGCACTTGATTTGAAAAGTCGTGCCTTTTTAGTAAAACGCATAGGAATTGCAATGTTTTGTTGGATTTGGTCTTTGGAATAGTTTTTGTTAATAAATCTTGCGTTTAGGTTGTGTTTAGCATCAAGAGTACCTTTTCCATATTGTTAATAAATCTTGCGTTTAGGTTGTGTTTAGCATCAAGAGTAACCTTTTCCATACCAAGTCAAACTGGATGTGAGTGTAGCGATGAGTTGGTGTTTCTATCTTTTTCTTTCCAGTGTGCTGCGGCAGCCATTTTCACTTTTCACTGCGTGCTCAACGCGGCATTGTGGCACTTCAGCGTGTTGCTTGAGATGGAGGTGAGAAGGGTCATTGTTGTGTCTTCGTGCCGGTTTTAGTTTCTTATGTGGTTCCGCAGGCGGGTGGGCAGAGAGCCTTTCTTGTTATTTTTTGACGTCGTTTGCTACGTCGTTCGGACGTCGTTCGGCACGTCGTGGTTTCAAAAATAGGAAACCTATAGGAGAGGTTGGTTGTTGTGAATCACGGATGGCAGAGCGAAGCCACTGATGGACCGAGAGCAGCAAAGCGAAAAGAGTCAGCAAAGGGAAAAAAGTCAGCGGACCGAAGCGGCAAGTATTTCTCAACCCCAGAAACATGAACGGTAGAATGCAACTGTAGACGGATTTTTGCGAACATTTGATTTTCCCAAGTGTGGAAACATTCTTCTTATACATACGCGATTCCATTGTGTTTTAAGATTTGGGCATGACTTAGGCATGAGTTTCTTGAAACAGCGATTCCATGGTGATTTACTGGCAAGTTTTGACCCAGGCATGAGTTAGGCATGGGTTTGTCGTTTGACTGTAAACGTACAAAAAGGATGGCGGGTTAGAACCCACCATTTAACTAGAGATTTTCCTAGGAAAACGATGTTTTTTTTTCCCAGATCTATGTGGAGTTTACCATAGTTTACCCCGTAGGGGAAATACGTGGAGCAGCCAGTTGTTCGGATCAGCGGTATCTCACCCACTTCCTCGAGGTCATAGCCATTGCCCATCGTCTGAGCACCATCAGGGCCTACGATGAGATTTGTGTCTTGCAGAACGGAGAGATTGCGACTTGGTGAAAATCCCAACTGGGTGGTGCCCAGTTGTCAGTTGGTTTAGAAGTTTAGATTATATCATATTTAGATATTTATATATATATGGAACTATATTTATATATATTATAATCATATTGACTATAGCTAATGAAGCCTCTGAATAGTTCTATTTATATAATATTACAAAGCAATTTAGATAACGGGAATCACCTTGCAGCTGGCTGCTGGCTGCTGGAGCTTCTATGAGAAGTATCCGAAAATAAGTGTTTTTGTCGACAAAGCAGGGATACCGGGATACCCCAAGAATCCCCGAGATGGTTTTCCAAGTCAGGAATTGCAGGTATATATTATATATATTATACATTTATATATATTTATATTATGTAGATATAATTAAAATATAATTACCATTAATTACCATTGTTTGACAGCCATGTGAGTGACTGGTTGACAAAGGTGCAGTGGTGGAACCCCACGGAAGCCCGCAAGATGAATCCATTCCTGGAACGGGGACGGTTCAGGTGGAACGTGGCAACCACGAAGCGTTGCTGAATGCTGGTCAGAGCTACAGTAGCATGTGGAAGAGACAAGCAGCGGGGATCATGGAAGACCCAGACAGTCCTCGAGAGGAGGATCGATGTCGAAAGATGTCGAAAGGATGGGGTGTGGATAGATGTTTCATGATTTTTCATTGGAATGGAGGAAGTATGGTCAACACAATGCATCATAATGCAATAAACCTCCGGTTTTTTTGATATAGTACAATTTGGGAATTTGGGGATGATTCATTACTGGGTATCGGCAACTTATGGTTCTGGGTAAAAAAAACTGCGTTGTCACTGGAATGACGCTGTTCGGATGGAACAGGGAACCATCCATGACTTCCATGACCAAACATTTCAGCTTGGTGAAGTATGAACTATTCATGAGTTTGGGGATATGGATGGATATGGCCCCAAGTGTTGCACAAAACCACATTGCCGTGCAGGGTTTTGCTTCGGGTGTTTGTTTCACGCATCATGTACCATAACGCGAGGACAACATCACCCAGATGTTGTCAAGAGAACTTTCTTCATCTCAATCCAACCACATTGCCCATAGCGATGCTATGGGCCTGGGTCAAGATTGTTTGACTGGAGATGACCTGAGAAAGATGTCGGATCCGCAGATTGGTGGGTCAGCTTTTGGGTGATGAGATTTTTGTATTTCAAGATGCCCTTACCTGTAGAATTTGTCTTTGGCTGTCTTTGGAACCTGTTTTTGGGAATGAACACCCTGAATCAAAAATATCAAAGGAGCGTTTGTGATGTCCTCAGGCCTAGCCCGAATCGCAAGATCCAGAAAAACAATGAAACATCCACCGTATGTTTGGTGTTCCAATTTCTCCAAGCAGTCAGCATCCACTTAGATCATGTTGTCCACCAATCATCACAGCGCAGGAGACTGGGGCTGGCCTTGGTCTTGGTCGAAGTAATGGCCAGACCTAGATCCGTGACTCGTTACCACATGGGCTGGTGTTGTTCAGGGAAGATATGGGAAGATGGAAGTGGATGGAAGTGGATCATAGTGGATCGATGGATTTGTTTTGGAAGATGTAAAAATATGTTAAGAATGAATCGACAGAGATCAAAACGAAAGATCTAAACCCGCGGCCTCCCCAAGCCTTGGATGGAACATCACCAGAGTCACCGATGCCAGAGCGAACTGATCCAGGTACCAGGGACCTCAACATGCGCAAGTCGTTGCATGGATCGATTTCATGGATAAATGGACAGGGCTGTTCCAGATGTTTCAAGCCTCAAAGCAGACCTGAATTTTCCTAGGAAATTCCCATGGGAATGTCCTGCTGGAAAAAGCTGGGAAAGTGAAGCCGGTCTCATTTCCTACGTGACGTGGGATAGCAGTTTGGATGTTCAATATATCCAAGTTCCATCATTGCTCCTGACATCGTAACTTGCTGGGAGAGAATTCCGGTTCCACTCCTCTTTTGTTGATTTGCAACATTCAGAACATTTGGAGGGTAACAGGGTATTGCGCTGCAGATGAGCATAAAGATCATCTTGGCAAAGGTTCTTGTCGAACACAGCGCCTGGCATGCGCTCATGCTCAACACTGCATGCAATATTGCTATACGGCTTTTGCTATGACAGTTGGTTCAACATGAAGCATCATGTAGCCCCCTGCAACCAGTTTCATCCAGTTTCTCTCTCTTGAATTTACTGCAAGATGGATCAAGATGGCTTGTTGGTCCTAACTAGAGTGGCCGACATTCGATGCCCGCAGCTGCTTACAGCCAAGAGATGATTGAGGCAATGGGAACATACATCAAGTAGGAAGAGGACCTCGGACTACTTACCTTTTGCGTCATGTGAGTGGAAACAGATTGCCTGGATCTGTTTTATTCTGTTTGGGATCTTTCCAAAATATAGGGTACTCCACAATCCAGTGGCCAGCAATAACTCTCTCCAATGAAGGGCAATTTTGAATTTTGCGGTGTACCCCAGTTCTGGACAAATTCATGTGGCGCAGACATGGAGATCCGTCCCCAAATGGTGAGTCGGGGAGACCAACATGTTTGAAGGCTGACCTATAATCAACGACCATCAAGTGGTGATTTGTTGTGATTTCTTTTTCTGTGTGTTTTCAAGTTTGGGAATAACAACAACTGACATTGGTTGTCTCAAAATGATACCCCCAAACAATGGATCAAATACTGGAAAATGATCAGCCGATCAGCCATTCCTGGGGCCCATTGACACCAAATTTTTGATCCAATCCCTGACATGGAGCAGTCTCCAAAGTGAGACGCGGAACCAAATGCGTAGCCTGCGCAGCGAAGTATGGCGGAAGATGCCGAGCGTGTGCAGAAGCTCAAGGAGAAGTACAATCAGCTTAAGCAGGTCTGGCGGGTGCCGACATTGCGATGCTATGACTTCAGTACCCTTTGGTAAACTAACTATTATATATATATATTTATATATATAATATATGAAAAATCACATGTTTTATAGGTAAATCATCTATAAATATGGGTGATGTTCCATAATTAGTTATGTTAGTTTACTGGTATGTTACGATAGAATTTTGACCAAAAAATCGCCATTCGAATCCGGGGTCATCCATGATTCACCATGGGATGACTCTGTAGATTTCCTCTGAGCGTTCCGTATGTGCCTTCGCTGCATAGGCCAATGCAACTCTCAAGAAGGGCTTCCTTGATAAACAGGAGGAGCACCGAAGACAGCCTGTGGCCTTGGAGTTTGTCACAGTTTGTCATGGGCCGATGTTCTGAGTCTAAGATAGTCAGAGTTCAGGAGCCACTCGGCATCCCTTGGCCCTTGGCTTTGTTGAGATCGGATCTGTTCGAGAACTTGCAGCAATTTCTGACTGCAGGAGTGCAACCGCTTGGAGGAGCAAATTAAGGACCGGTCGAACCTGGATTCGTTGGTTTCTGTTTTGGCCGCAATCAGCAATAAGAAGATGTGATTTTACCAAGCTAAACCACCACAAAATAGATCAGAAAAGTTGATATTATATATATATGTATATATTATTATATATTGGGTATATCAACTATAATGTTAATAGATTTTGAGTATATATATCAACTGTTAAATAGTTGTTATGTTGGTTGATGTTGGTTAGGTGTGTCAACTATTATCAACTATATAATGATTTGGTGTGGAGGAAACTCTAGGGACCCCCAATAGATTAGATAGAACACATGGACCCCTTAGAATTATGACTGAAACTGGTTGGTGGTTTGGAACATGGCTTTTATTTTGCCATTGGGCAGAATCATCCCAACTGACGTTCATATTTTTCAGGGGGGTAGGTACTGTATACCACCAACCAGGAAATATGATCCATCCAATCTGGCATTTTTGTTGTTCTATTTTTTGGGGGACCACTATGCCCTATGCACCATGTTGCTCCATCCTCCAGATGTTCGCCCCTGGACTGAGACGCCAGAAAGTCATTGATTTTCGCATCAACAACCAGCGGTTCTGACGATGGATTCACCTTCATCAAAGATGTGTTTTTTTTCGCATAACTAGGCCAAGGCCAAGTAGGAGTTGTGTTGGGCATACATACAATATAGATCAATATAGTAAGTACTTGATTGAAGAACCATGAAGAACCTAAGAAACTCAGGTTAACCACAATCCATTCATGACATTACCATTTGAAGCAGGAGAAGGAGACCACCATCCGACAGCAGCTGGAGGAAATTGATCGATTGCAGCAAGGACTCCCGTTGTGACCGTTGGGTGATGTTCATCGCCAACCTTGGATGGGTAGTTGCAAAATCCTGTAGTTTTTGGCTATTGAAAATGGCCGTTGATAGTGGGTTTTCCCATTAAAAATGGTGGATCTTTCCATAGTTATGTGGCAGTTTACCAGAGGGTAACCAGCCAACCAGCAATTTTAAGTGTTGTTTCTGAAATTATGAAAGATTGACCATGATGTTGTAATTACACCATATTACACCCATTGTTCTGGTGGATGTAGCGACAGTGTGTATATTTCTATGTGATTTATAATTTGTTTGGGAAAGCAACTTATATAATAGACACAGGTGTGAAATACATGTTGTTCAAATATCCCAATGGTTTGCAATCGTGCAACGAATGATTCTTGGTGCTGTTCGTCGCAACTTTTTCAAGAGACCCTAGACAAAATTCATCTTCAGAAAATACCTGATTGAAGTATCAGTATCGTAAAATAAAAACATCGGCGGTATTGCATTGGGTTTACCACATTAGAATCTAAAGATCAAAATCGCAGATTTGTTGAATGTTGACTCTTTCGACCTGCCTAGGTACCAAAACGGCCGCATGACCAAACAGGTCAGCACGTTGACGGCGCAGGCACGGTGCAGGGGATCTTCTAGAAATGGGCTGAATATATACTGGTTGGTGGTTTGGAACATTTTTTTCCATATATTGGGAATAATCATCCCAACTGACGAACTCATATTTTTCAGAGGGGTAGGTATACCACCAACCAGTATATGTTGCTTTTAATGGTAGATTTACTTTGGGAATATCCTTTAAAAAATCCATGGAAGTATGGGTTTTGTTCCCATTTTCGCAGATCATTTCTTTGGGGATGGGGCAATTTTTTGGATACTCCAAAACAAGGATTAAATTGGATGATCAATTGATGGGGCCTGCTTGGCCATCAATTTTGACCCATACCGATGTGTTTATACATTACTTGTTGATTGCTCAAGGTGTAACAAGTTCTAAGTACTGTTATATTGCGTTGTTTCTTTCCAAAATTAAAATTGTTTTTTGGTATTTTTTTTGTTGTTGAGCTTTGAAGGGGGAGTGGTAGTCTCTTGGGACCAAATGCTCCGATTTCAATCCATTTCATTTACATTTGGGCTCTTGCCTAGAGGGCACTGTGCAAACCATTGGTACAGCCACATTGCCAGAAACCCTCCAGACCAGAAATGGGTTACAACGATCCAAAAATTGGAGAGTTTTTGGCATTGGGTTTACTAAATTGGAACTGTTTGAAAAGGTAGTGTCACGGGTCCTGTGGCCAAGCATATTTAGGCCAAGCTGAACAATGGTCCACTCGAGAGGTCGAGGAGCAGAAGAAGACACACACCCAAAGCACATGGTCCAAAGCTGAGAAGATCCCACTTGAGCAATGCCTGGCAACAGTTGGTGGGTCATAAGAAAACCTGTGTAATGATGTTTTATCTTGCTGGGGATTGTTACAATCCATAAATATGGTAAGATTCTTATAATCCAACGTGGAAGCAGTAGCAACCAACCAGTCGATGCCGGTAGAAGGTGGCAGAAGCTTTGGGCAGTTCCTCCCAAGGATGACATACCATAACTTTCACTTGAATCTGGAGAAAGTCCAATTTGTTCCCCCAAACCTATGATGTTCCCATGGAAAGTCCAGATAATTTTTTGGTCACTGGAGCCGAGGTCCATGGGTGGCTTGATCTCAGGAAAGCAGCAGCAAGAGGCAAAACTTGGGTGCTCGTTCTGAATTTCAGCACCCCGTTCTGAACGTTCTGTGCATGATATTAATGATCCTGTGGTATCCATCTTGTGGGTTCTGAAATGTTTGAAAAAACGCTAAACTACAAATGCCCTCCGGATCCCTCCAGAAATCAAACATGGAAATGGACAAGCCCACATTTGTTGATGAAAATCCCATTCAAACCTCCATATGTATAGGATTCTATAGTGATTCTATAGGGTATTATAGGATTATAGGGTGTTTTTTCCCTTGCCATGTTTGATTATCAATTTGGGTGGTCCTCCCTTTTCAGAGACCTGGGATCCTTCCAGCCATGGCCTCAAAAGAGGCCATCCAGAAGGCCGAAAGCGAGTCGGGGAGCCGAAAGATTCCAATACATCCCACTTGAGGATTGACGGTATAGTATGGTATAGTTATGTCACGTTGTTTCTATATCTATATATATTATATATTATATTATATTATATTATATTATATGTACTGCGTTGCAGTTCCGATATATCTGAAGAATGATACTACGGTAGTCATACAAACCGTTTACTAACACTTAAAACCACTGGATAAGTCCGTTGTGAATAATCGCATATCTCGTCGCCAGGTGCTGATGAATTTCCTGGAGTTCAGGTTCTCCCAAAGATGGGAAGATTCAACTCTACACCTCTTGGAAATCATGAAACAATGGATTGGTTAGTTTGTTGGGGAAATCTACAGGAAACCAGTTCCCATCTATTTAGGTATGGGGCTTCAAGCAATTCATTGAAACATCCACAAACTCTGCGTGAGCTGGAAAACTTCCGAGTCTGGCGGTCTTGCGGGACGAGCTGATGATGAAAATCCAAGAGAATGAGGCGCATCGAGTCGGATGGGGAATGCTGGGCTAACTCAATGGAGCCGCAGAAACCTGGTCAATTCCTGGCTGCTTCCTGATTTTTCTTGATAGGAACCACAATATGAAATGTAAAGATAATTATAGATATAAAATGAATATTGAGAACCAGTTTTTCTTCTTGATATGTTCTTTCTTCAATGGAAATCTATAGATATAAAGTATGGCCTCTATCTCCACATCGTGTGGACAGCAGCTCCTTCGCTTCGACCAGGAGCTGCACATGCGCGTCTTTGAGGCGCAAAAACAGCACAACGAAGAGGTGCAAACACCTGGATATGCCCGGAGTTTAAGGTTGTCAAAGAAAGATTGCTAAAGTGAGGATTAAACCAATGCATCATGGGAAATATCATGAAAATATGATAAAATATGCGGAAATATGTTTATATCAACTTCTGGCAATTTCAGGTTGCGGACTGGAAAATCACACGTTGTTAGTGTATAGGTAAATCAGCGAACTCCATGGACTGACTGGGTTATTTTCCATAGCTATGTTAAATTACCGAACGGCAATGGGAACTGACCTGAAACATGGGGATATATTTGGGATTATTTGGGTAATTTGGGAGAGACAATGGGGGATATAAATGGGGACATAAATGGGGGATGTGAATGGGAATATATGGTGATTATAGAAACCAAGAAAGAATTTATCATGATTTGACCATCGAACCTGGGGATATACTATGATATGCTGGGTATACAGCTACTGATGATGTGACCAGCTTAGGGGTTTGTAGGGGGTGATGATCCCATTTGACAAATGTTGGTGGGAAAATAGGTCACCAACCAGTTGATGATCTATGTTCCCATTGTATACAGTATATCATCCGAGCTTTGTGGAATGGGAATATCTCTGTATTTGTTTATGGCCCCCTTAAGCAGATCCAAGCTTGGTACCAACATGTACCACATGGGATCACATGGGTGATCCACGTCAGATTTTGAGGCAGAGCGCTTGAGAGATACCGAAGCCACCAGAGGCCGAGTCATAGGGTTTCACTAGGGGGATCTGATTAGGGTCGTGGGTGAAGAAAGCAACATTGTTGAGGTTGGGCAACATGTTGCAGAATCCCTAGTGAATGATGTGAATGGGCCTGAAATATGTGCTGGGAAGATTGGAATTGGTGATGTCCATTGATATTGGAATGCTTGCACAATACTTGTTTTTTCCAAATTTGATTCATCTAAAGGATGGGGAATGCAGAATTCCTTCCTTGAATATGAGTGATTTCTCTAACGGACATGAACAAGAATGAGTATAGAACCAAGAACTTGAAGTCGGACAAAGAACAACAAAAATAGTCGACTCGGGTTCCCCCAATCGCAAGGTCCAAGTTATCAAAGTTTGGCTCCAGCCATGGTTGGCTTAGCCTAGCCGCGCCATGGTTGGCTCGGTCCTCCCGCCAGGTCGAGATCTCGAGAGATACAGCGCACAGCTGAAAGCCTCCAAGGAGGAGGCCATAACTGGCATGACCTGAAGCTGAGCGGTGAGAAAGATACATAGATGAAATATGATGAAATTACTCTGTGTAAATGTAATATATGTATAGGATTGTATAGTATAGTAGCGTATAGTATAGTAAAGCAACTTGAAAGACAGACTTAGACTTTGAGCGATGTTGTTGAAGCTTCCAAAACCTTGAGTGGGTTTCGCTTCCAGATGAACCTGCAGGTGGAACGACTTGGCATCGACAACAAAAAGATGGTCCTTGTCTCAGAATAAATGGATGCTGCAGCAAAGGCACCAAATGTAAACCTGTTTAAAGGCCCAGACGCATATTGACACTTGGTCATGTTGCGTCATACTGTGCACCATTCTTGAGTGATTCTTTTTGGTTGGGTAACTGCTGTAGAAGGCAGAAGGGTATGAGTCACAACCGTCGGGGGTACAGTACCCCAATTGTGACCCGTATTTAACCGGTTTAACCATGTTTAACCGATGGCTGCAGATGCCGCTGCCAGTATTGGTAGTTGTGCCATTCTTCATTGGGCTCAGATGGACCATCGAATTGATGGCAATGATAAATTGTCCTAGACCCTAGGAGCTGTTTGGATTGTTGACAGTCTGTCCATTTTATCACATATTTGCTGGTTAGACCCTCCTTGTTTAGGTCCTCCATGGTAATTTGACGGATTGTCATGTGTCCACTCAGGTTGAGAGGCTTGGTACCTTAGACGCGGGCTCAGCATGTTGGTATGCACGAACTCAAACGAGGTACAATACCCATAGGATCCATGTATGCTATATATGCTAACATTGGGGGTATATTGATGGTAAATGTTACATAATGTTACCATATATAGCATACATGGATCCTATGGGATAAGGACCCATCAACAACGAAGAGCGCCACTCCAAGGATCACCAGCTTTCGGCCTCTGCTCAACTCTCGGAAAGCCGCGTGCCCCAGCGGTTTTGGCTGCTGTGGTTTTCCAACAAAAAGAGTTCATCACCCTGGTGAATCATTATCCCGACCATAGCTATGTTCAATAACCAGAGGGTACTATAGATCCATATTCGATCCATATTAGATAGATCCAGAAATCAGGATTAAAATCCATATTAGATCCAGAAATCCATTCCCATCTTACCGAGGCTTGCGACAGCAGCTGGACCGCGAGCGCTGCGAGGCGCAGAACGTCAAGGCGGCGCTACAGCGCCGCTTCGCGCGCTGGGCCCGGGGACCTTGGGGGCTTGGGCTCGGGGCGCGGCCATGGTTGAGCAAGGGTTTTTTTGGGGCTGGGATATGGCACTAAAGAACCTGAACTTTGGATAAACTTTGGGAGCTGGGAGGTTGACTCTTTGAAACATGAAGGATGTTTTGACCAAGTAAGAACCCCCCGCAACATGGAGAGAAGGATGGTTTTACTCTCAACGATGAGGGGGTACGACAGTGGGGAGAAAATGGTTGGAGATCCATAGTCCAAAATTCCGGATGAGTTCGCAAGTTTGTAGGCCATGGGTGAATCTACAAAACGTTCTTGGATTTGGGAAGGGGCAGCAGGAAACTAGGACTGATTAGGTAGGCTGAAATACCCAAAATCCAATGTGTTTTCACATAATTATGACGTTTTCGGTGGTTTGCCCTAGTTCTGGTCAAACTTCAAACCCATATATCACCTTAATTTGGTTTATGTCATGTCCCCATATCCCCCCCATCAATATCCATCATAATATCCCATGGAAACCTCATGATTTGCTCATTTTGTCACCAGATATTTGGGCTTGAACTCCTCTGTGTCGCTGTCGAAAATAGGTGCCATTTGACTGGGCACAGCACGATCTCTGGTCAGGGCCTCAGCCTCGATGGTCTTCCTGGAGATGTTGGTGCTCTCAATTCCAGCTGTTTTTCAATTCATCAATATTCTCTAGTTGGTGGTTTGGAACATGGCTTTTATTTTTCCATGTATTGGGAATAATAATCCCAATTGACGAACTCATATTTTTCAGAGGGGTAGGTATACCACCAACCAGTTCTATATATCCCATTTTGTTGGAAGAATGGCAACTGGAATTTTCTACAAGATACAGTGTAAGATTGTGACGGAGTTGTACGAAAATAGGCTATCCCTTCACATTCAGAGGTTCATTTTCAATGATTTTGCACGTAAGCATTGCCATAATTTGGGGTAGGCTTACACCCCAAACATCATCCACTGGGATCACTGGTTGGTAAAGCGGGGAAAAACCTTTGATGAATACTTCTGAAAAACCATGTTGTTTTGGTGGTTATAAACTGCTTGAGATAGATCATCCTAACCAGCAGGAAAAACACAGTTGCACTCTGAATATGTATGAGTCAAATCCCTGTTTTTTTGATGGCTTGATCATTGGCAATCTTATGGCTGAATCCCTCATTTCCACATCAAATCACCAAACTTCCATGTCACGTGGTTGGATCACGGCAGTTCCACAGAATGAACCATGTTAAACCATGTCAAACCAATCTGACATGGAAAGAGCCGACGTGTCAATCATTTCCACAATGGCTATGATCTTTTTAAAATCTATCATTTCTGGATTTCAAATATGAATTTCATGGGTTGTTATAGCTATCACTATCACTCATTAAAAGGTTACCCTCCGGTAATCAACCATGGCAATGGGGAATTTCTCATGCTTGATCCCCACAGGGTAGATATATCGATAGACAACCAAAAAAGGGAAGACAAGTGATGTTCACTAATTTTTGCATGACATTGGTCAATAGATAATTACTATAGATATATAATTATCCAGTTTTCATGGGATTCAATAGATAATTACTATAGATATCCCATGGTGTCATGGGGATTTTACTGTTCTTTTGGTGAAAATCCACTATAGATTTCCCGATCACGACACCCGGAAACCCAGGACGGGCTTCAGCTTCAGCTCGCAGCGGGGCCGCATGGCCAAGCAACGGCACCAGGAGCGCCCACTTGTTTTTTTTTTTTTTCTCGGAGATGTGGTTAATACATTGGGGTATGGATCAATACCTATTAATACCATTTTTATTGGGATGAACATCCATTTACCAGCTATTTTGATGTTCACCAGGGGTACAAGGTTTTGACACACTGCCATTTGATATCAAGTATGTGGTTAATACCTATTCTGATTGGTAATAATCATCCCAACTGTTACTCACTCATATTTTTCAGAGGGGTAGGTATATCACCAACCAGTATTAATATCAGGATTACTATTTGCTATAGGTGGTTAATAACCTATTGATGTTGTCATACCATGCAAAGTATCAAGTATGTGCTTAACTATCAATAATTTACTAGGTCAGGATTAATCCCTATTAATATCAGGTACATTAATATCAAGTTTTCAATGTTGATTCATCCCTATTAGCATTCAATAGGTAGCTTTCAATGATTAATCGACTTCTATATGTGTCAATTGATGATCAATAGGTGGTTTTTGATAAATACTATTTTATAAACAATTGACCACGTGTCAATTTATCAATAGTTAGTTTGTTCACTCAACAAGTTTAACCAGGTAATATCAAGAAATGATTATTGTTTTCAAAATGTGATACTTAGTTTATAATATATATATATAATTATATATACATATGTCAAGCAGGATTGGTATATGGCTTTGTTTGAACATTCGGTACCCTTCAATTCACTGATCATCGGTTTGCCTATTGTATAGATTGCAAGTTTGGGGGTATACTCCTTTGTTAGACACGCCCACACCAGAATGGTGGTGGGATGACTATGACCCACATGTCATGTTTTGACCCTGGCACGTATAGCAACCCCCAAAACGAGATATATTTAGAATTGGAGGTTACTTTTCTGCATCTACAACCCAAGATATCCCAGGTTTACATATATATATATATACATTTATATAAGTAAACACCGTTCAACGGGGATATAATGGAAGAGAGAGTTCTGTTGTTTTGTTTCTTTGCAATCACTATTGAACCATGTACGAATTTCGGATCATCCAAGTGAGAGATATATCTCAGGGGTACCAATGGAGCCACGAAATGGAGTGTTGTTTGATGTGTAGAAGCATCCATGTTTCGGGTATGTTTGAGCTGCCAATAGGGTTTATCATCATGTGATGGGGCAAAATTTCAGACCACTGATTTTTTGCAATTGGTAGTAGCATCCCATTTTGAGGGTAGCTTTGTATTTAGCCATAGCCATTTAGTGGGAGACATTTTGGCATATTTTGGCCGGCATTTTTCCCATTGAAGTAGCCATTTTCCGGGGTCAACTCGCCGCTGGAGGCCCTACAGGATCTCTATAGCGCAGTACAGCAGGCCACAGCATCAGCCCAAAGCCCTCCAAGTTGGCAAGTTTAAGAGGGAAAATGATGATAAAACATGAACTTTAGGTATATACCCCACTTTTGCTTTAAACTACCAAAACTTTTAAAACATGTTTTGCTTATGTTTTTTCCCCTCTCCACATCGGTGTCCTTTATTACAAGCTGCTTTAAGGGATCAAATCATTGACAATTTGTGTTGAGGCGTGCCGCCACTGCTGCGGCGCATTGCAGACTTGGCCTAATGCGTTGATTGGAGGCAGAATCTGGACAAAGATTGGGATCTCCCATCAGATCACAGAATTTCTCAGAAAATGAAGTCATGTCTGAAACTTGGGTATACCGTCCAAAAATCATAATTTTGATTGGGAAATTAGATGAAATTAGGAAATATGCTACTCAACCATTGGATGTTGGGATATTCTATTTTAAGAATATGGGCTTCAAACTGCCTGGAAGATCTGAATTCGCCCCAGGTGGAGACGAGGAATCGGTCAATGGCTAAGTGGAGAATGTCCATGGCTATGTTTGATTGCTAAGTGTCTTTCATATTAGATTTCCAGAATATATATATATATAATTATATATACATATATATTACATATATATATATGTCATATTGAATATGGGGGGTTCAATGTTAAAATTTCTATATTTCCAGAAATTATATGTCGCCATGATATGCTATGCTTAGCCCTGGCAATTTCTGCATTGGTTATCATAGCTACACCCCTGCCTTCTCGAGGCATCACGACTCCGCATCCGCGGTAAAGTGGTCCCTTGATGAATTTCGGGTCGAGCAAGTTGAGGGCTTCGGAGCCAGTGGCGTCCAATGGTATCCATGATGATGTTAACTGATTGTTTTCATGGTACTATAAATATGGATAACCAGTTAACAATGGTATCCAATGGTATCCTAATGTTCCAATGGTATCCATGATAGTTGATGGGTGAGAAAATATATGGTCTACAAAATACTATAAAACGAGAATTATGGTACTGAGGTAGTTCGGGCCAATGATTCTGTATATAATTCACCCTGCACAATTCTTGTTGGGCATTCACGTTGACTCCACCCCGGATACGTTATCTATACCATTCACATATCGTACCCATGGTGCTCGCAACTCCCAAGCTTTCTCATCGATTTTCTGGCAAATAAGCCCATAGGGGTTTGGCGTAAACAGTGGTTGTCATTGGGAAAATGGATGAAAATGGGAAGTTTGGCATTTAAACCCGGGGGGTTGGAGGTACCCAAATTTGAACCTCGAGTTTTTTCGAACTGAGGCAGATGTGGCTCAGGAGCTTTCGAGCTGCATTCAGCAGGTGCCGATGATGGCGGAGATGTGCCTGGGCGGAAAAAGATAGATACCTTCATAGCAAATTTGGTGGTGTTGTGTGGTTTATCAACCACCCAATTCTTTTGGGGTACCCAATTTTGACCTATACCAAATATTATATACCAAAAATATATAGTAGAAATGTAGGATTGAACCAGAAAAAATATTGGCAAAATGTTTATCAACGAAAGAAAATAAGAATAACTCAAACCATACAGCAGGAATGTCAGCCACAGACTGGGATTGACCAGAAATCGGATATACAAAGCAAACTATTGCCATTTTGATGCGGGAAAATCAGGAGTTTTGAAGCGTTGGATTTTTCGGCTGCGTACCTTATTTGTTTTGAGGGGCAAACGAAAATTCCCTCCGGTGGTTTCGCAGATGGCCATTGGGTCAAATTACAGAGTCCCAAACATGGAATTGAATAGTTTAAATGGGAAAACTTGATATAGAACTTGACCAAATTCTCGAAATCATTCAATTTCAATATGTATTTTCAGTGAAATGCGGTGAAATCCCAATGTGTGATCTTTAAAGCACCATTTTTCATGGTTGAAATGTCCGACCTTCCCTGCGTTGCGACCTAGGCTCGGTTCCCATGGCTTGGTTCTGCAGGACGCAGCAAGACAAGAGCTGCGAAGGCACCTGGCTGCTGATATTTTCCCAATGGCCGATCCTAATGGGATACACGAAGCCTGAATGATTGGCGGGAATGATTGGATGATTGGGGTATCACAGAGGGATCATTTTGCCATGCAGTTGATTTTCATGAATGATGGGATGTTACCACCAAGGAAAACAGGGGGTTACAATGGGATTTGAATGGGATCTCACGAAGCAAAATGATGGGATTTTACCATTCAGCAAACTGACATGGCTATGAAAATGACATGAGTTTACCGGTGTCCGAGGACGTGGGTTGAAAGCCACTGTTGGATGTCGTTAGCCAATACTGTTGGATGCTGTGCAGAATGATCCATTGCCGCAGTCAACTGCGAAGGCGTTCCAACGACTTGCTGGTGATACACAGACGGCCAGCAAGCCAGAACTGCTTGAGCTGCTGGGTGTTTGATATGTTCTCATGTTTCTGGCGCAGCCAATTGAGAACATGTTATGTTCGTGTAGGCATCTTAAGGATTCCCGATATTTTGGATGGTTCACCCCATTTACCATCATTTCTGACCATGCCTACATATAGTCAGTATACAGCCCCTTAAAAGAGGAAAAAAAGGTGGGAACTTCATCAACTTGTGAGGTGGGTCCTCTACCAATCCTTGCTGCTGCATGATTGGTCCGGACCCAAAGAGGTTTCATGCACCACTATTTAAGGTGATGTCAAATTCATGGAATTCCATTCCAAAATAAGATGAACTATATATAATTATATAATCATACTAACTTTCTGCAACCATAGTGGAATTGGTTCCAATCGAATATGTCGTGACATTTCCGTGGAATCCTTCGCCCCGGAGCAGCGCTCAGCACTCGTTTTTTCTTGCTGAGCTGAGGCAAAGCACTGCGGGTCGATCTTCTCAAGAGGAGGTGCTGGCGGCCTTCCTGTCAAGACGTCAATTTCATGATTTGGGGCTTCCTAAGTCATGGGGGTACTCCCTTCCCAATCATCCAGTCATGAATGACCATGACTTAGTAATAGAAAGCCATGATTTCGGGATTGGGAAGTAGCCTATTTATATTAATTGGGAATTATTGGGGTATAACCAACAGAAAATGGTGATATCATATGAGAATGTGATGGAATTATGGGATTCATGGATTGGGGTAGCTGGTAACTCCCCAGATGAGGAACTTTTGAGGTTGGTGAATATGAAACTCTGCCAGAGTTGATGAAACTTGATACACATTTCTGCGGTGTGTTGAAGGATTTAACTCAATCAGATCAGGCCGAACAGAGGAAACTCCTCCAGAGGATTAGTATGGATTATATAATGGGAACGGGTTTCCTGTAGGTTTTGCCTGGAACATGGATGAATGAAATGAGGAGTGTTGACCCGAAATGAGGTGCAGCCAATGCCAACCTGTCGGCCGACTGCCGTCTAGGCTTTGGCCCAAAGCTTTGTGGACTGCCTGTGGCGATTGCCGCAGCCTTATGGATACTGTGTTTGGTAGCCTTTTCTACTTTGGCCCACATGAATGAAAAGTGGAACTCCTAACAAATGGTTTCGTCCATACCGTCCTTTTAAATCTCACCCTTTTCCAGACTGGGGCAGGGCTGCTTCTCGGAGCATCATGGAGCTGAGGCACCGCTGTGTTCGCAGCCTGGTGTCGCACCTGCGCACCTTGGCTTTGGGTGAAAGGGTCACTGGAGTGACGTTCGGCTAGCTCCCAAAACTATCCCAAACCCTGCATCAAATGCTTCAAAACTATCAACAATCCTCATTTGGAATGGCATCGCATCTCAGCCAAGGTGTGGCAACCCTGTTGCAGCTGCCTCAGTGAAAGGATGGCGAAGTTAACTCAGATTTCACTGGGGTTTCTGGTGACTGTACTTAGATGGGTTTATAAACCAACTTGTAGTCACCACCTCGTATGGGATGGTACCAAAGCCTATGGGTGAACATCGAAAACGAACCAGCTCCTTGGACATCCTTCGACATGAGAACCACACTGCTGAGGCCAGATCTCTCCACAGGGAACACCAGCGCCGCTCATTTTGCTCTTGCCAGACGGAAATTGGGAAGGACCGGCAACACGCGACACTGCGGCTCAGAACTTGGGAAGCTGTTTGAAGCTGCAAATTTGCTCATGTTTTTTGTAACTTATATCTAACTTATATCAGTAATTTGGAGATATAATTTTGAGCCATAAGTGGGCAACATGAAGCAGAAGGGATTTATACTTAGGAGGTCATTTAGGTGTTTAATATGTGCCGGGATGGGGTTGCCATCCCAATACTTGAATCCCCCTAGTTAGACATTAGATGCTTTCAGTATATTATAGATTGTCATAGATTGTTATAGTATGTTATAGTATGTTATAGCTTTATCCCATTGTCTTCCATTATATCCCATGATATCTCATGATATCCAGTTATATGTCACATTATAATACATTATAGCTATAATTATATCCCAGCGTATCTTACTAATATAAATCGTAAAGTCCTACAAAAAAAATGTGAATCCCATGATACCCCATAACATATATGTAACATATGTATCTAGTTTATTATAGTTTAGTATATTCCATTAAACAAAAACATGAACCTAGTCCAATAAACAACGTCTATCATGGTTGAATCACATCCCATTGGGCTTCTGAAAGTTCGACACTGGGATGACCATGCCAGGAAGGGCGGAGCCAGTGGAGTGCCTTGGCTCCATCCTTCAGTTGTTCTGCTTTGGGAAGGTGGGTATCAACAAAAAATGCTAGCAGGATGTAGCAGGAATTTAAGCGCAGACGATGATTGAAAACGAATATCCGTTCATTATCGTATCTGTCTATGCACGCACATTGCATCCTCAAGTTTCAGGTGAGTTCATTTTGAAAGAATACAGGCCCCACTTTGAAGGGCATGGGAGGCCCCTGTTTCACATAGTGAACAAATCACACACCTTTTTGCATTGGTCCTGGGAAGCCTGTTTTTTATATACCCCAGGGCCCACACTTGTTGGAAGGGTTAGGATTTTGTTGGCCAAATTGCCAAATTGGGTCATTCAGTATCCTTTGGGGTCAGAACAACGAGATTAATTATCCCAGAAGCTGATGGCAAAGTATCAAGTTTTGTTACATCTCTTGTACACTAGAGAGCCTTCTCCCTTCGACATCTTGGAAGATGATGATGCCTGACCATTGCAAAATGGTCTGACCACACATCCGTGCAAAAAGTTCCAGGCATAGATGGTTCACACCAAAGTTTCACCTTTAAGATCAATAGAAACATCAAAAGCAAAGGGCAAAAAGGTGAAAATTGCAGAAATTCTCTATTGATTTTGACCTTTGAAAACTAGTTTTTTCCTATTGATTTCTTCAGCTATGAAATCAATATTTTCTATTGACTTCATTTTCAAAAAAAATGTATGTTTTTTCCCTATTGATTGCAATCAATAGAGGATGCTCAGGGAACAGTTGGGGTTGGGCCTCAGGGCCGGACACAGGGTTGCTGGAACCCGAAACACGCACCTCCTAGTGCGCCGACCCTCATAAAACGGATCTGGCGGCTCTAAACAGAAATAGAACTACGCTACAATTAGGAGCTGAAAAATAACGTTGCAGCCGTGACAGTGTCAAGACGTGCTATTATTTCGTTCGGTTTTTGTCGTGGTCCAAAACTGCAGTGTTAGTCGTCGGATGGCTGGTTTCTTGAGCGGGCGCTTAAAATTGATGTTTGATCGGCGCTTGAACTTCGTCTCTATCTAAGCCCAGATCACTTTGAAAACGGTCCCAATTTGGTTTAATTGAAATTCGGCCAAAGCCCATGGTTCATCAGATATATCATAAGGTTCCCATATTTCCCGGTGGGGACTGTCACTTGTATGGGGGAATTCCCATTTTCTGACACCCCGCTGGTTGGTGAAAACCAGCAAAAAGCAACTCAGGCGGAGACAAAGCCACCAGGTTTGCAGGCGGCGGTGAGGGGATGTTGCAAACCACATGTGCTGACAAGCACCCCCGAAATTAATATGGACCCCCAAGAATGGCATTATTCAATAGTGACATTATGTTTGGCAGCGCCTTTTCTTGGTCTCAGGTTCAATTTATGGGGGTGTATATTCAAGGCCTTATTCATTGGCCAGCATAGATGATATCAATAACTCCTATCAGCTCAAGCAAAGGATCTAAGTATTCGCAACTATACTTTTGAAAAGAATATAATCCAGTACAATGCAATACGATTTAATATAGCATAATAGTGTATATCTACAATGTCAAGTAACATAGGCTTCGTAGATCTATTTCTAATATTGTTATTATTAACTCCCCACCGGCCAGGTAGATTTTATCAAAGTCACTTCCCTCCTTGCCTCCTTCCCTTCTTCCCTCCCTCCTTCCCCCCCTTCCTTCCGCCAACAGCGAACTCCAGATCGCAGTGGGCACTGTCGGACTTCAACCGCGAGCTCCAGATTAGGCCCTGCCGTACCTCAACCGCGGGGTTCAGAGCTCAGTGGGCACCTGGGCAACCGCTGGAGCTCGCGGTTAAGGTCCGTGCACACTGAGATCTGGCGCTCGCGGTTGGGCCCATGCCAGAGAGAATGTCAGAACAGATGCCAGAAAGAGTGGCAGAATGAATGCCAGATAGAATGGCAGAATTGACTATCAGAATAGATGGTATTTAGAATCCCATAATAGAATGTCAGGTAGAATGCCAGCTAGAATGCCAGAATAAATGCCAGAAAGAATGTCATAATAGATGCCAGATAGATAGCAGAAAGAATGCCAGAAAGAATGCCAAAGAAAATGTCAGAATGATGCCAGAAAGGATGCCAGATAGAATGCCAGAATAGAACGTCAGGGTAGAATGTCAGATAGAATACCAGACTAGAATGTCAGAAAACATATGCCACATATTCTTCTAGAGAAGCTGTCAGAAACTTGAAGAATTTGTCACGGTGGGGATCACTCGAAGTAAAGTAATTTTAAATATAACTTACCGATATATGTGCAGTATATTTCTCCTACATACACAAAAACTTTCAGTAACTAATAGCAACATATCCTACATGATATATCCTTTTTACATAATTCTATAGTATAATTTAATGTATAAACTAAAAATAGTGTATTCCCTGGGAGGAACCAACCTAGACGTGGAAAGCCAATGGTGTCCCGTTCGGAAAATGATCCCAGGCCGCCCAGCGACTGTCACTGGTGCAACGAAGCTTGGCAGATGTCTCTTGACGGAGCCCAGGGGGATCCGGAGTTGCTGGGGGCCAGGGGGACCGGCCGGGACCAGGGTGGTTCAATGGGGGAAGTGAATGGTGACTTCATGAAATTATATAATGAGCAATATATTATAATATATATATATATATGTGAATGCACATGTATATATATATTATATATATAATGGAATCTTCAATGTGGTTTTACTGGGGGTTTCATGGTGATTTCTTGGGGGTTAATATCTGTAAATGGTGAGATATTCTATAAATGCGATGTAATGGGGATACGGGGCTAGAATTCTCCGACTTGATTACTTGATATGTTCATAATCCATAAGCGGGGAATCGCCCACTGTGTTGAGGATTATAGCCAGTCCATGATGGCGGCCAGTGAGTTTTTCTCGATGCTCACTTGAGCCCCGTTCAGTTATATAACCCCTGTTTTAGTTGATAAGTTGATGATTGTAGGTCGTTAAAATTGTTATATTATCCAATCTATTGGAGATTATCATCCATGAACTGGGAATCCCTACCACCAGAATGGAATGAGAGTGTCATATGCTTGCTAACATATTCCCAGTATATTCCCTTTTTTTTATCCAATTGAAAAATGGAAATCCCCTGCGTCCTGCGAACATGGCGAGATGGAAATCCCCGAACTCTATCCGGAGCTTTGCCGGGCAACAAAAATCAACGGAGCTTGGCGGATTCGTAATGCAAAACAGTTGACACCGTACCGTAAACACACATGACCATTTGTCAAAAATAGTTGTTTAGTAGTTTAGTATTGGTTGTTGATAATTCATCTGGATCTACTGTTTGATGGTTTGACGTTGCACCACTATTGGTTTACTTAGTTTACTTGTTCCAGCGTTTTGCTGGAAAAATCCCAAGGTGTCTCATTGCTGGAAAGCACTGGGGCGCTGCTTGTCTTCCTGGGTCGGCCCTGACATGTTGCATGACACATATAAGTGGAGATATCCTGTCAATCAGTGGCTTTATACCATGGATATTGTTCACTTACTGGCTCCATTTGTCTCCCAAGTAAAGGTACTATAATTTCATGGGATTTGTTGTGGGCATCCTCCGGTAATTTGTTACGTGGCTATGGAGAATGGATATAGATGATTCAGCTGTCAATGGTGATGTAGTAAAATGATATTGTTTCTATCTTTGGGGGTTACCATAGATCATACTTCTGTTCATATATGCTCGATTTTCCATCCAATAAATATGTCATGATGATTCAGTTGATGAACTAACCAATCTTATCCACTGTAACTGAAATTAGAATGCCATTTGTGAAACTTTCTCTGCCTCAGAATCTTCCGTGACTGCAACCAGTGGGTGGAAAGGCAAAGGAAACTCGACAGGCGGCACTATGATGCCGTCCCCATCAAGGATGAGTGTAATAGACGAAAAATAGAATAAAAATGAGTTGCATGAAAATCCTAATAGAAAATTCCCGGTATATCCCGGTATTACAATTAAACAAATGCATTCCTGTGAATTCCCACTGTGACCCAACTCCACCCGCCAGGCCGCAGCTTCTGCGGGAAGCACGGTGCGGTCTCAGTGCTTTAAGGTGACCTAAGATGCAGGGAAAATCATCAAAATCATCAACCAAAATATGGATCTTTTAATAAGGCTTGATCTCAAACATGACATAAGACATACCATGACCAATTTTGTGGGCGTATTCCCAACTTTGAACTAGATATCACCCATATCCATATCCATGTTATAGTTCTATCATGTCTTATCACGGTTTGCCATGTCTTATATTGTTTTATCACCTCTTATCATCGTTTATCCCTGGAACCTCAAAGAACCCCTGCTTTCTCCACCTCCACATGCCCGGGAATCTTGCACCCTTCTCCGACAAGGGGAGCAGCCCAACGAGTTCCTCACAGGCGCCGTTCGCAGAATGATCTGAATGATGTGGTAAACAATATGGTAAACAGTGGTAAACCCCTTAACCATCATCAACCTCCAGTTGGGGATGGTTTGTTTAAAACCCACTTATTTGGAGCATGTGTTAAAATACCTATGGTACATCAAGTCTGTAAAGCCTGGTTGACTTTGACGCAGGGCCATGGCGGCGTCGTCAAGTCCTCGGTGCTTGTTGAGGTCAACCAGGATTTTCATGAGTTCTTTGCGTTACCCTCTGGTGAACTTACAAAAAACTATGGAAAGATCCACCATGTTTAATGGGAAAACTCACTATTTCTAGGTCATTTTCAATAGCTATGTTAGTTTAGCAGAGGGTAAATGGATATACATGGAGGTTTCCTAAAATGGGGGGTACCTCCAAATTACATCAAATTACCGTTTTAGATCGTTTTGGTATTGAAACTTGATGGTTTTGGGGATCCACCATTTGAAGAGAAAAATGTGAAATAACAAATATACATCTATACATACTACCCAGCTCGGAATTTTGTACTTTTTGAAGGGTAATTGATTTCCCATGTTGTTCCAATAAGGACTTTGCTTATTGACGGTTTCCATTCAAAAGCACTAGCCCAAGTGATTGGTTGGGCCTAAGTCATTGCGCGATCCATCGAACTCACATGCCATGGAATTTGCACAGGGAAAGTGGTTGCCAACTCCAAAGGCACATCTCTTTCACGAGAAACCCGAGGTTGGACTTCTGGGATGCATCCATGGATTGTGTCGGACCCCAAGTAGAGATCAGAACGTGGCTAGAGCGAGAGAAACCGATATCGGATTTCCTGTGAGTTTCAAGGGCAACAGTTTGCTTCTCAAGTATAATACATATTCTCTCTTTTCTCTCCCTTCATCCCCCTCCATGTTTGCTGTGATAGAGAGATAGCAGCTGCCCCAGCGAGCCACTTCGAAGGTGCCTGCCTCACGGAGCAATTGCTTCCCATGGTGGAGAAACTGGCTACACAGGCGCCGAGCCTCCCTAGGCTATGGTGTCTTCAAACATGCAGGGGGATCCACATTTTTCAAAGGAGAATCCGCTACAAATTCGGGATTTCAGGTTGCCATGTTTGTTTACCAGAGGGCTGTGGATAATGATTGATGTTTCCGAAAGAACCCCAGAAAGCATCCACCATCCACTGCTGGAGTCCCTGCACACCACTGAGAGGCCACCGGCCAAGAGATGCCATTGCTGCTTTCGGCGCCGGGACCTTTGCAGAAATTCTGAACCTGGATGGTTGAGCCAACAATATTGCAGTCATACATAGTAGTCAAATAGGACATAGTTGTGAAGGCAAGCATTTTCCTGACCAAGAATCCTATACTGTGGTGAACCTACCAATCCCATCCAATCCCATACTGTGGTAAGTTTGGTAGGTTTATGGCAGGGTGAATCCAAATCGATGAATCCATTCCCGTCAGTCTCCTCTTTGACTCGCTCGACATCGTGACAACGTGGAAGACGCCTTGGACCCACTGATTCCATTTGCAATCAGGAACACAAGTGGTTGATACATGTTGATCATATTTGATCATGTTGATACACGGTAATTTCGAATATGTTCAACATTGACAAAAGTGACTATACCCAACCACCAAAGATTTGCTTCGTGCCATGGCAGCGCTTCTGAAATGCATGCGACGATTGGGACCAGGCTCCGGCAGTTGTTTACCATCGTGACCACAGGATGCCGATGATGAATGATGGATCAAACGGAAATGCGTCAAAACGTTGGACACAGGTACCCGCAGTTTTGTTTGTCTCATGCAAGCATCCCATAACCTTTAGGATGCAATCTCATCTGGAAAATCTTAATTGTTCATCATTCTTCAGTAGGACACGTAAATCCAGAGATACCCAGACATGATGTGTGTTTCATTGCAAGATACCCTTTGGCAATGTCTGGCACTAAAACATTAGGCGGGCAAATCTACCATGTTTGATGATTTTCCCATCTATAAACCCCATGAAAAAAAAGGGGTATGTTTACAATTGCCATTTTTGATTCTTGGGTTGGCTAATATTCCATTGATATTCAATGAATATTCCATTGTTATCCCATTATTGATGTAGGATTTCTCAAATGCCATGATTCCCGGTACAGTCCTGGCACCGATTGGGCACAGGTGGCCTTTCCAAACCGAACCTAAGGAGTTCTTGCAGGGTTGGGTTGTGACGGCGTGGTGACCTAACTTGATTTTTGGGGGGGGCGTCGGGATGAGCAAAAATCCCATGGAATCATCCTATGAAATTGGGGGATGACATGGATTCTATTGAGATTCCAGATCATCTACAATGGCACTTTTTATCAGGATTGGGGATGTTTTTTTTGTTGTCGATGATCCAGATCGATATCCTATGAATCTTGGGATGCCATCTGTCAGCATAAGCAGAATCAATGTCGCTGCATTATACCCCGAAATAGAACAATGGCAATGGGGAAATGGTGCTATACCATGGGAGTTTGGGATACCCTGTTTTCGGACAAACCTTTATACCAGCATGTTTGTTTCGTTACTCAATATCCCACTGGGAAATGAATCCTTCTTGCAACAAGTAGAATCCTTTTTGCAACCAAAATCAACAGATGACTGGCTCTCAAATACCAAAAGCGTTTCAAAACACCATTCACCACGTACAAAAATGAGCCCCTTAGAGCCATGACAAGAATTGGAAATAAATTCGTATGGGCCAGGTCAAAACTCTCAAGCCCCAATTTTGGGATGGTTGTACTGTAAAAAAGATAGAAATTCTGTGGGTTGTTTGACACATGTCCAACTAGATCCAGATCTGTATATTGCATACGGCAACGCCATTTACATATGTGGAGGGCGGGCCAGACCGCGAGGCCCCGGAGGTAGTATGAAACACCAGTTCCATCCGTATGTTTAAATGGCTGGGCCCGTTCCGCATATTTAAATGTCGATTGAAGCACAGTTGAACCAGTAGCTAAGGACCTCCAAAGAATTTTTCAGCCTACCCTGAAGTTCGTAAAGTACTATAGGCTATAGGTGGTAAAATATGGGGATTGTGAGTGAGTGGTTAGTAAGGGGTTAGTCCTTGAAGTGTACGCATCACATCACATAGTGAGGATGTTGCAAACTCTTAGTGTTAGTTTAGTGGATTTATGGTGGATTTATGGAGGATTTATGGTGGATTTATGGTGGATTTATGCAGGATTTATGGAGGATTTATGGAGGATAATGATGGTTTTATGGTGGATTTATGGATGATAAATGAAAGATTTCCGGAAGATTTATGGAGGATTTATGGTGGATTTATGGATTTATGGATGATAAATGGAAGTGGCCATAAATCCATAAACCCGCCATAAATCCTCCATAAAACCTATATCTGCAAGTGGCCAGGCGAGCCACGGAAAACATTCCCGGAGGTAGTCTAAAATACCAGTTCGTATATTTTGAATCCGTATGTTTATGTGGCTGGAAGGGCCACGGAAAACCTTCCCGGAGGTAGTCTAAAAATGTCTAAAATGCCAGTTCGTATATTTAAAAATCCGTATATTTAAATGTAGTTACCGTATGTGGTAGGGCCCGACCGTTGTGGCCAGCATCAAACAGTTGGGATCATTTGCATGATTGCACAAAGCCACATCGGTATGGTCAAAATAGTCAACCCCAAATTTCAAAAGGGATTTTTGATTTTAGATTGCTGAATCATGCTGAATCTACATCAAGTTATACATAGTTATACTATTCAAATCTGGTTGCTAGGTTCAAATATGTGTTTTCCCAGGATGAAGATTACACTCGTCAAAAAAAATGTGTTGAAACCACCAAGTAGTTGTTGGTTATACAGTTGTACCCATCATTACCCTCTGGTAAATTAACATAGCTATGGAAAATCACCATTTTTAATGGGAAAATCCACTATTAATGGCCATGTTCAATAGCTATGTTAAATTACCAGAGGGTATATTCCCATTGTATCTCCATTATACCACCATTTTTGTTGGCTAAGTCCCCATTTGGAGTATCCCCATATCCGTGGTCAGGAGCTTGGCCCGAAGCGCCTCAGGGTGGGCTTCGCCTGGGCATGGCATGCCACCTGACATCACCTGACGGTTGGTGGATGGTTGCGAAATCCTGCACCATTAAAAATGGTGGTTTATCCAGGTTTATCCCATTATTTATAGGGTTTCAACATGTTTCAACCATCCTTTCGGTGATTTCGCATCCATCCACAGAAAAAGGGCGGAAAAAGGTTGAAAAATGGTGTTCTAAACTCTACTGAACTATACCGAGTCAACAGAAAATGGGAGTTCAAACAACTTGCTGGCTATTGCAATCAAGTGAACATGGAATACATGGAGAAATTATTATCAACTGAAAATGGGATTTTCAGTTTCAATATTGGGCATGTGGTGGAACCTAAAGGGGTCGACATTCGATTTATTCACATCCGAATAGAGTCTTTTGTTTGCGATGGTGCTCGCTATCCGGTAACCCTTTTTTTCTACTATGAATTATGAATTCATCAATACAATGAATATTGTCTGGTTGGTGGTTTGGAACATGTTTTTCCATAATATATGGGATCATCCTTCCCATTGATTTTTTTTTCGAGATGGTTAAAACCAACAACCAATTGTGATATTGGCCAACAACGATCAGGATGCCAGCCCATCGCGGGAGATTCCAACCAGAGACATGGAAGATATTGGGACATTGGCCGACTTCTGCAAACAAACTAATCGTGGATGCCCATTGGTCAAGAGTGACTATAGTAACCCCAAAAAGATAGAAAAAAGTAAAATCCACCAGTTGATGTTCCCATTAAAACCTCCATTTATGGGAAATTTTCCATTGCCATGTTTGATGAAACAGCAGGATACCAATCATCGAAGTAGTTTTGCACGCCCCACAGCCCAACAAAACCGGCTGACATCAGCTAACAGGTATGGAGAGCCTGGCCCAGACCCAACCAACGGCCGTGCCAGGTGTTTGGGCTACATCTGGGTCTGGACTCATCGATTGCTAATTCAAACAAGATAAGAACGGGATTCGGATAGCAGGAATAAAGACTTCGCCAACAAAAGTGGGTTTTGCAGTGAGACAATCAGACATGGCTGGAGAATTCCTCTGTTTGAACCATAAATAATCTATAGCATCTGCTGGGCATCGCAACACTCGCCCTCATCTTTAGCAAATGCTCACGCAACTGGTTGATGTTTGAGTGCTGTTTTGGGGCTTTGAGCCCTTAGGGACCCTCTTCTCACCTACCACAAACACCAGCAATGCACTATAAGAATACCATCATGATTCATCAGATGCTTCAAGCAAAGACATTTTGGCAAGCCGATCTTACAGTTTTTCATGAGACTGACTGCTTTTTGAGGTGGCACACAATGGACGGCCCTTCCTGGAAAGAGAAAGAGCATCCACCCTATGGCGCCCACAACACCCAAGAGTATGACGAGCAGCACGGACGCTGGTGGTGGCAGAAAAAGGACCAGTCGTCATAGGGTGACAATAAAAAAGCCACAAAAGGCTGCTCAGTTTAGGGGCATTTCATGGCATTTCATCATCTATGTCAGGGGTGAAGAAAATTTTGACCCATAACCTTTGTGAAAAACAGTTGGGTATGGCTAAAAAAGGCCATTCCAATTGGAAAAAGTGAGGATCAACCATGACCATGTGATGTTCGGACAAACCAATGGGGTCAGTTTAAGCAGCACAAAAGGAAGGCTTCACTGACGTCACGGAATCTATCACTGATTGCAATCCACATGAGACCCCATGAGCCATGCAGGTCATCCATTCTCAGGGAATAGCGTGCGAGGATCTTTGACACGCCCCTTAGTGTTTTACTTGGGCAGGACACATAGAAACACTTGGGTCCTCTCCATACTGATTGTCGTTGTACCCTAAAGAAGTTGAATACAGGTTGTGAACACTGCGAAGGGTGAACACCGTATACAACCTACGGTATAGTGATCATTGGTTGAAGGGTGAGGAAGATCCGTAAGCCTGCTATTTTTGCTGCGAGAACCAAAGAATTCGATGGGGAACTGTCCAATCAATAGTGCCACCATGGGACTTTGGGGGTTCCCACCCTGTCCTTGCAGGAAGTGTTTCGTCCAAAGCTATACACCACCATTGGCAAACATGCTCGCAGTCCTCGTTTGAGCCGAACGATTGTGAGGCCGTCCTCACTAGCCATGGCCAGATATCATGCTGTGTCCATTAACCGTGCCACTGATTCGGTAAATCCCCCATACCTGATATACCTGGAAGAAGCAGGACGAAGCCAGCTTCATATAGAACATGATAGACAAATCCATAGAGAAGATCATATAGAATCATATAATGTAATGTAATTGATATGTAATTGATTTAACAGTTAGTATATATAATTATATAATATGCATAATAATAAATATAAATATTATACTGTGAACTAGACAACTCAGCCAGATATACTACTGAAGTTGTTTTTACATGTGAAGTCTGCCGGCTGGATTTGGTCAGGTGGGCTGGCAACACGCCGAACTTCAGAAAGTTGAAACGTGACGTGTACAGCACCTTGATGCAGCAAGTTTGGTGGCTTTAGCCATGTTTATCATGTTTAGCCCATCAAACTATCTCAAACTTTATCAACAAGACAAGACCTGGGCTTTTACATGCTCTTAGCCGCACAAACTGGGATGTTTTTTTTAAAGATATTTGGCATCAATTTTTCTTTGACCAGAAAAGTTGTTTTGCATTTGGCTGTTTTAAGGGGGCGCCGATTTCCATCTGAGGAAAGAGATGGCCGAAACCGGATCAGCTGAACTACCGCCTCTTTGCGGAGTTCTGTTTGAAGGCCAGGGGAAACGATGAAAGCATCACTGAGATTGAACATGAAACATGATTTGGATATTTGAAGTCTATCCTGTATTTAGGAGCTTAGATACTTCATGCTTCGCTCATATGGGTTTGTTTGAATAGAAGGTACCACCCAAATTTGATGGTCGATCATCCTTTTCTCGATTCAAATTGCAAGTTTAGGGTATGCCGGGTTTACCTCATTTCAAGACAAACCCAAATGTCGCACTAGGTTGGTTAGTTGTATCCGGCTTGATATCACCATTATATCTCAAATTATAGATGATGTTCCCATTTATAGCTGTTAACACCGAAGAAATCACCGTTAAACCCCCATTGACCCCCCCTATGTATTCATATATATATATGTGTGTGTGTATACATATGTACATATATATCCCATTAAATTGCATTAAATCACTATGAACCCCCCAGTAAACCCTCAATAGGTGTTGTGTTCTCAGGAGTTCAACAAGCGAAGCTTGTTGGAGACGGCTCACACATTGCCACTGTGCGCCAGACCCCATGGAGGGGTCCAGTGTTTGATGCAATTTGGGGAAGTCTCCACGGAATATTTTGTCAATAGATGACAAACTTAAATTGATCTACATTGATCTAGTGTGGTGGATCTTTTCATCAAACTATAGGGACGTTGATCCGAATCTCAGCTTTCACAGGTACGGCGCTGGTTGTAAGTTCTGGAGAGCTCCAGACGAAAATCATCCGGAAACCAAGGGTCAATACTTTGTCGCTGACCAAATCGAGTACCGGCTGAGACCCATCAGAGGATGGGCTGATGGCTGATGCATCTCCAACAGTTGTGGTTTTGGTGCTATTTGGGTCATCAGTTATTTGGGGAAAGTCAAAAAAGATGACAGCTAAGCGTCACCAAGATCTGTAGGTACTAGGTACCCATGTCCAATCAACTGGACACCAGATCAAGAAGGGTTTGCGAAGGGGGTTCAGGAGACACACATTAGTCTTCCAAGAATTCTTGCATTTTGTTCGAAGCCATAGAAGAATCAACTGATAAGTGTTTCTTGTAAGAGACGTTAAATGTTCATTGGTTTCAGGTATCTACTGTAGGTCTAAAATAGGGACCCCCAAGGGCCTTCCAGGGCCAAGGGTTTTTTTGACCTATTATCCCAACATATCCCAACCATGGAATGACCCTTGGAATATTGGGGGTGGGTCAAAACCTATTATTATCAATTCTAATGGGATGAACATCCATAAATCCCAGCTATTTTGGGGTTCACTAGGTGCCAGGGTTTTGACCAATAGCCATATGAAACGTTGGGAATGGAGGAGATATCCGCGGAACGCAATACCTCTACGGCCGCCCCGCCCGCGCTGGCATCGCACCCATCGCCAAATCTCTCGGGTGCGGAACTCGGTATACCCCCATCTTGGGGTATGGTGAAACACCAAAATGGCAAACTGGGGTACATGGGCTACTGTATGGATGGCTATACATAAGGTATATATATAATTATATATATATATAATATATAAGATTATATAAGTGTGTGTGTGTGATTATATGTATTATATATATACACATGGTTCATTGGTGTTTATTACGTATATGATGTATGGCGTTCCAAACACCATGTAGCTGGTTAAAATGTTCGGGTATCTACAGTAAAATCAATGACAGTCAGGCATGGTATTTGGGAACTGTACACTGAAACATGTATGACGGAATATTTGCAGCTATTGGGATAGTATGTGATAGTCGGGTACTAGTGGTATGAGTTTTCAGGGGCTATCAGGGGTGTGTCAACGTGTTTCATTCATGGATCAAAATGTATCAATCCCCGAAAATTACTGTATGGTTCTAAAAACATGACCAGCGCACTTTGTCGATTTGTGTGACTTGAGCTCGTGGCTTTGTTTGAAGAGGGTGCCGAAAAAACATGAAAAAACACATGATTAATTTGCAAAATCCATTTCTCCATTCGAATCGAAAGTTGCAGCGTATCCCAGATGTTAGTCGACCCTGCCATGGCAGCACCTATGTTTGCTGCTTACCAGGTCGTGGCGCTTTGAAACTCCTGAAAATGGCCATCCTTTGGTCTATCGTCCACCCTTCCCAGAAATGGCCAAAGAGGTCGCAGAGGAAGCTGAATGAGGAAAAGATGGCGGTTTCGACATTTTCAGCAGAGTTGTGAAGATTTCCACAAGGCTTTTGGGAGACACAGAGACAGAGATTTTCCAAGGTTTCATAGAAGGGGAAAGTAAGTAGCAACTGAGTTTGAGATGAGAGGTGAGTTCTGAAGCATCCAAAGTTTGTATCCTCGCAGTGCTCTGTTTGCGGCCCACTGGCATCCAAAAGCTCAGTGGCTCAGGCAAGTGTTGAACTTCAGCCCATCCCACCTTTGCGCAGTGCTATTCGGCTATAGTTCAAGATGGTCGCACCAAAACCCGAAACGGTATTGTTTCGTACACCAAGACTGACCAAATACACGGTAAATTGCATTCTTTCGTACCAGATATGACCAACATTGACCAACTAAAACCTAGTCAATTGGGTGGTGTCGCACCAAGCAATTGACCCAACTTGTCATCACCAGCTGGGACCCCCTTTTGGAAAGCCGTGCCCATGTGACAGCACGGAGCGACGCCCATGGTGCTCTTGCTCCCCGGAGAATCCCAGACGCTCATTGCACCAGTGAGCAAACCTCGTAAGGAGGTGTCGCATGTGTCAAAGTGCAGCACGGTGGAATTGATGCAGATCTGGATATGTGATGATATGGGATGATATGAGGATATGGATGAAAAATATCAGCTGGGATATAGGGGATGGGTCCCCCCAAAAAAAATATGGAAGTTTCCTTCTCAGTGTCCTGTATTCCCATATTTTTGGGTGGATGGCCATCCCAGAAAGCGATCAACAGATGCTGTGATACTAAAGACTAATGTGGCCACCCTTGAGGTTACCTATGTTTGAGTTACAGAGGCGCCAGCAGAAAGACTCTGTTCTTATTTGTGTTTGGTGGTTCCCTAAAATATCCTAAAATGGAAAAACCTCTGGAACAGACTGAAATCCCATAATTTATTCCAATCAAACTTGCCATTCAAACAGAAGTGAATACCCCAGTTGTGGGATAAATCCTTCTGGATTTCCAGAGCTGGACAGCTGGTGGATGTGAGGCACTTATCGCTATGTGGCGACTTGCCAAGCACTGGTTGGGCATTTTGCACCCAAGACATGATAAGACATGGTAGACATTGGGTAAATCAAGAGATGCCCTTTGGTAAAGACAATTAGCCACGGAAAATCACCATCTTTAAAAGGTAAATAATCTATCAATGGTGTAACTTTTGCATGGTAAACTGTTGAATGGCCAGAGGGTAACACATGTTCACCTGTGGCACTCATTGATCTCTAATAAGTTGGAACAACATGTTCCTCGTGCACGGCCAGATTCTGAGGACAGAGGAGAAGTGGCACGGCTGCACATTTTTTGGGTATGGCCTAAGGCTTGGGCCTTGACGTCACTGGAATGATGGTAAAGGGGAATCATCCCAAAATCACCTTATTTCAGGATAGTGAAGTATAATAATCTATCCAGATTGATGTTGGTACTACCCCTTCCCAATTATTTTTGGGTGCAGCAAATTTGGAGCCATTTTCTGGGTATATTGTGTGCCTGCGAGAAAGAAAAATGGATTGAGATGGATTGGTTACAGGAACATCGGCCCCAGACTCCAAACCATGGTTTGTACCACCAAAAATCTGAAACTGAGGGTTCCTGTACAGCATTTTGTTCCATTTTTGTGACACTTCTGCAACCAATAAAATTGGGATTTCTTGAGAACTCAAGGAGCGAACTGCTGACTTCCCAGTGGACCGTAATGATGACGTTTCTGGTGTGATTTCATCTGCCTCAACGGGTCCCTTGCGAGATTACCAGGAGCGAAATGGGGTGACGTTCATCCACCAAGGTCGGCTGGGTACCACAAGGCCAAGCAATAGATCTCAATAGAATCAATAGACTATGGGATACTATGGGTATGTAGCGAAAGCTACTGTATGATACCAATGATGCAATATAAATGGAAAGATGATGGAAAGATGAAGATTTTAAGCCGAAACCAGGTAGTCTGAGGGTCAACACATTTCAACACAGTACGATGTTCAACACATGGCGCCAGGACAAGTTGAAGGTGATTCAGCTGCGGGAGAAACTATGAATGAATCACTTGGTGATGAAGTCAAAAGTGTGTGGATGTCTCCGAAAACGTGGGTATCTCACCAAAATAGCACATGAAAATGGTAAACACAATGAGAAACCACGGTATTTGAGTGGTACCCCAATGGCAAATGGGGATTTTTCTGCAAACGTTGCGCTATTTGGGATGATATGAGATCAACCAGATTAACCAGAGTTGACCATGAATCGGGGCTTACCATAACAAAAACAGAATCATTGGGTTTTGATGGATAAATTGCTGGATTTTCATTAATATACATTGAGGTAATGTCGGCAATTATTGGTTTATGGATCATGAATGATTCGCATTTCCGAAAGTCAGCTATCTCGTCAGCTATAGTTCAGAAACCCGGCATGTCGTGCCGCTTGCTGTCGCTCGGGGATTGGTCCGTATCCAGTGGTTAGGAGGGAGCTGTCAATGGAGCTGTGGAGTTACTGTACGAATTGACTTTACCATAGTTTCCCAACCACATCACTGTGGTTTCCTTAAGGAGCCATAGATATTCACAGTGTCTTTGTCTCTCCCGTTCAGGGACAAGATATATGGAACCAACGGTGTGATCCGCTGTGGCACTTCCAAGGAAAGGTCTCTCCAAGACCGAGATTTCCGAAAAAGTTGGGCGATCCGAACATTGGGTGAAAAGGCGCCTTGCTTTCCGGACCGCGATCACCCTGTGCTATCCCAAAAGGCCATGGGCCATAAAATCAGGTTCCCTTCTATTTGGCTGAGCCAAAAATTGTGGATAGTGGAGACCTCCCAAAAATTGTGGACAAACCCAGATCTATCATTTTACATAATCCAACATGTTTGCTGCTAAGACCCCCTGCTGGTTAAACCCCCTGATTTGTTGGTTCCATCCCCAAAGGGGGTTGCTTTTGCTGCTTGGATATTATGGTTAAATATGGTTAAACATCCCAAAACATTCCCAAACCACCACTTCCTCCGGAAAAATCCAGGTGGTGGCGAGAACATCCCGCCACTCTGGAACGCCCCGCCGGCTCGCGCGACGTAGTCTTGAAGAAAGCCTCGATCAACGCCTTTCGCGACCTGGACATCAGGTGGGCAGAAAATGGGCAGCGGAATCATCATAATTTCGCGGTTCTTAACCTACCTGGTTGGTTTTTGTTTACGTATCTATGGAAAATACTTATGTAACTTATATAACTTATATATGTATAATTTTTGCATGCTGAATAGGCCCTGAATAGGCAAATCATCATAAATCATCGAACTCAATGGGCAAGTTTCCATAGCTATATGTTGTTAAGTAGAAGGTAATCTGTAGACTGTAGACTGATCAATGAGATCTCCACTCTCAGCAAGCGGAATGTGTTTGTCTTTGTTCAATGCTTAGTTGGGTTCATATCCCATAGGATCCAATTATATATGGTAACATTTACCATCAATATACCCCAAATGTTAGCGTATATACCATACATGGATCCTATGGGTATGGGTGAATGGTAAATTCGTGGTCTCTTTCACTACAAGAAATCACACACCTGCCGTGCAGGCGTCGCTTCATCAGCGAAGATTCCACGTACAAATCCCTGGTGGACAAGGCACGGCCATCAAAGTCGCAATTGACGATGATCTGGTAATGTCAAAATAGCTATTGAAAATGGCCATAGAAATAGTGGATTTCCCCATGAATAATGGCCATTTTCAATAGCTATGTTAAATTACCAGAGGGTATATTAGATCGATCATACCCCAAAGATCCCCCATTCAGAAATGCACATCTTCAATCATCTTCAATCTTATCAATCCACATATCCATGCGTTGCAGCGGAAAAATCTCCCCATGCCGAGCGTTTCGAAGGTGACTTGGCGCCAAGCCAAAGTGGTGGCGCGAGATGTTAACACTGGAGAGTTGGCCTTGAGATACAATGAGAAGGGCCAATCTTTGAGCGCAGGTCTGTCATGGGGAGTCACTATGATATGGCATACATATATATATATATACATATGCATACTTATATATATTATATATATACACATATTAGAGTCATTTAAGTTATATATATATATATGGATGCATATGCATAGGGCTTATGGATGCTTGTGGATAGGATATGGATAGGGCAAATCTTAACGGTCACTTACTTTTGGGTTTGTTTGAAAATGGGGTGCCCCCAATTCCAGCGGATGATTCTCGTTTTTCCCATCTAGAAACTGTGCAAATAGATTGGGGTATTGTCCATTTTTAGACACACCCAATAGATGGATAGATTGGATGCGAATCTTAACCACCAGCAGTTTGCTGTTGATGTTTGGGCGAATCTTCACCATCGAATTCATCGGGTGGATCACCGTAGTTTTGGGTACCCAAGAACCGTAGTTTTCATGAGGATGGGCAAGTGATCATCATGAGATACGGGGGTATACCTTACATGGGCTTCTGCCAAACCCAACTAATAATCCCATCATTTTAATATATCTTAATATCAAATCCCCGCCATATGAGCCCCTGATGCAACCAGTGTTTCTAGGGGTTTAGTTAAGATTATTCATCACACCACTGCGTGTTTGGAAACTCAGCCACTTGTTGTCCCTTCAGGTCGACAAGTCGCTGACTATTCCGGTGGTCTCGACTTTTTGGATGAGATCCTCCAAAAAGTGCTGCATGGATTGCATTAATGTCAACATTGTCAACTCCATTGGTTAGTAAATCCTGGTTGATTAATGAGGGTTCACCCGAATGGTGATAGTTCGCTACTTAAATTGTACACCCCCAATTAGAAAGTTTAGGAGTTTAGGGGTTGATTCATCCGGGGTTCACAGGAAAAAGCAAAGCAAGACTATAGCTTCAGCTGTTGAAGCTGGAGGGGGGAAGAACTTCTTGTTGAATCCCTGCTTGAGATGATCACTGCTTTTACCCAGGTTCACACAGATGAACATCCGCGACCCGCAAGCCCGGATCTTCATGAACTTCTATGCAGACGGGAAGGACAAAGTTGCTGCCCATCGACATGATTTCTGGACCTGCTTGTCGTGGCCTCAGTGTGGGGGCGAGGCCAGGATTACCCCAAACAAAGTTGGTCAATTAAATTAAGTATTGAACCTTGATTTTTTCCCGTGCCCAGAAACTTTTGACCGCCACATTCGGATTGCTTGATAACGGCCACATCAGTGACATCAGTGGTCCTTGAGCTAACTTGTTGCTTATAGCCGCTACATCAATCTTCCATTGTTTGGATTCACTTGGTTGGCAACTATGGATCCAAACACACTGATTGATGTAAGATTCCATTGTTTATCCATTGTTTTGTTCCAAGGTTCAAGGATTTTCTGTAAATTGTCCCTGAAACGCACGGATACTCCAACTGACTGAGGCTTTCCTTCGGGTCTCCCCGGATTTTGACGGTGGACGGCCGGCCGGTGCTGTTGCGGGACGGCGATTTGATCGTCTTTGGCACTCAGAACCATGGGGTGCCGCCCATGTTGGAGTCTCAGAACGCCCGTGTTTAATGAGAAAAACCAGGTTTGCGTGGGAATGTTCCCCTTGAAATGATGGATGAGTTGTAGCCTTGTGCAAATTCTGACAAGAACTGAACATTGATGAGCAATGATGAAAAAAAACATTCAACAACTCGAAGATACCCTCCGATAATTTGATATAGCACTGCAAAATGGCCCTTTGTTGTATCATTTGGCCCTTTGTTGTATCATTCATAGATGTTTTGACTGTGAAAAAAGGGTGAACATGTCCGTCATTGACCAGGCCTGACATCTCGGACGGAAGGGTGTCGCTGGTGATTTTTTTCTATCCCGACGCTGACAACTTGGAGCGACAGTGGCAGACCATCAACGAAGATGAAGAAGAGAAGAGTAGCGCAGATGTGGTGGCTGGGTATCAACTGATCTACCGCAGATAATGCAGAGGTTGCGGGTAGGCATTGGGCAAATCCGATAAATTCCAATGTCAAGTTATTCAAAATTACTATATCCCAAAATGGCCCGAAGTTTGCGGGGTTGCCCCGTGCGTACCCATTCCCACGTGACCATCCGTAAGTGGAAGCACTAAGGTGCAGCTGCTTAGCGGTGGGATGGATAAGGGCTTCAAGGCTTCACTTCTTTGGGGCGAAAGCAAAGATGAGACTTCAAAGTGACCAGACTGCACTTAGAGAATTTGGTCTAAAAGGGGGGAACAAACAAATTGCAATTTTGTAGGGACAATATTGATCAACTGTGGGATTTGGGGGATATCCTACTTTCAGACAAACTCTCTTCTGGAGTTGCAGTGCTTGGATTCTGAACTGCTAGATCATAGATGCTGGCTGGAAAGTCTGAAATCATTTGCCTGCTGCAAGAGCTCTTTGTGTAATTCAATCACCTCTTTGTTCAAGCGAAGCTGACACACTTATTTCTTAGTGACTTTTTAGATCGTTTTCAAAGCTCCAGAAACACCTGGAATCCACCATAATCAGGGGGGATGGGTGCCCCCTAGCTTCAATTACAGCTTTTACCCTCTGGTAAACTAACATAGCTATTGAAAATGGCCATAGAACTAGTGGATTTTTCCATTAAAAATGGTGATTTTCCATAGTTATGTGGCTGTTTACCAGAGGGTAACCCCATCTCTCCCAACAGATCACCAGCTCCACAGGTCCTGTGACTGCGGCACGGATTCGGCTGCCTCAGCACTGACCCAAGCCCTTGACCCTGGGCTTGCCAAGAGGCGCATGCAGCTTCCGCATCGGAAAGATATGGGGGGTTCCATGGGGCTACTCAAAATGGATGCTTTATAATGGAAAATCCTATTAAAGTTGATGATTTAGGGGTATCCTTATTTTAGGAAACCTCCATTTACTCATCATGAGACGTTAATCACCACTTTTTGGTACAGATGCCTTCCACTGCACAGGTCCCTGCTCAGCAGTCCCAACTCAGATCTCCAATTCGACAGTGCCTTGGCGATACTTCACTAGTTTTTGATGACCAAGATGGCAAAAGGAAGTGAAAACGTCTCCAATCCACAACTGGCTATCATCGTCCCCTAAGCTTGTTCGTTTCTTTTTTTAATGTCCTGGTGACTTTGGAACAGGTCAGCAGCAGCCACCAGCTGCGCCCGCTGCCGCGGTCTTTTCCATCGCGACGGGTGGCCACAATGGATACGCTGCTGATGAGAGAAGAGTTGAGGAGAAAGACTTTTTCAAGTGGTGGATGCCTCAAACAGTGGCATTTGTTGGGGTCGTTCTTGGCTTAACCTCGACAAGCTGGCGGTTTCAATCATCAGGATGATTCAGGATGATTCATTCCAATTCCCAATATATATGGGAAATCCCATGAAATCCCAATAATATGGGGGAAAAAAACAGATGTTTTCAGCATTGGTGGATCGTTCCCCAAACAGCAAATACAGTCGTTGAACCAATTCAGGGGGTGAACTCACGCAGAAAGCCTCGTTGTAAGCCCTTAAGATGTTTGGACACACCCATTGAGTTAACTATGAATAAGTATGAAACCATGACGAATTGGCACACCAACAAAGAAACCAACATATAGTATATTGGGATACCTCATTGGTATACTATATAACATGTATATCCATTGGTATAACAAGATCTGTTACTGGTGAATCCCATTAATCCCATATTGAAGATGTTGGCTATACCATTGGTTACAATATATTGGGATTCAGCAGTTATTATAAGCTGTCCATCTTCACCTCATCCATTCTTCGGACCTCCGAGGCTCACCAGCCACGGCATCACCAGCCTTTGGGACCTTCGGAGCCCGGCCAGTGACTGGTCGGAGCCCGGCCAGTTGAAGCGCGCCTGTGCGGCGCGGTCCATCGCATATCGCAGCCAGAGCTGGTGATTCTGAAGCTGTTTTTGCTGATTTACATAGATTTAAATGTGGATGTTTATGCCCCCAGGTATCCAACTAATGATATTCAATTAGTGGTCACATAGGTCTAGGAACTCTTGGAGAAAATTAGGTCGGACAGTTCTTGGATATGATTTTGTTATTTCACGGTTTTAACAGCATCCAAATGTGGTCAAATGATGCTATAAACGTTTGAATTGGCAAAATCCATCATTTGTCTATAATCATAATAATCATATATAGTTAATCCACATGATCCAGGTATATCAGATGGTATATCAGATGGTATTTCTGACATCTTCAACAACTTCCCCCAAGAAATCTCCATGGCGTCCCTTAAGGCACCTATCCCTTGGGTCGTCGCGAAGCTGGAGGCCTTCCGGGCCATTTGCGCAGCGAGGAGGGACAGGATGTGCTCAGACGATTTGCAGAGGCGGGACTGGGATGACTGGGGACATCTGGGGACCGATGGGATGATAGGCCGGACAATTGTTCCATACCCATAGGATCCATGGTGCTGCTATATATGGTAACATTTACCATCAATATACCCCAAATGTTAGCATATATACCATACATGGATCCTATGGGATATGAATAATCTGGATATGTATGGAAATATTGTTCTATTTAAGCTGTTTGATGCTGTTTGATGATATTTTAGGGATGTTCGAATTTGAAGTGTTTTTTGGAGAGTATCAAACTGGCCGTTTTGAGATGATTAAAAGCATTTCAGTATTCCTGGCGGAAGATAGTGGTTAACTGTGATCAACTGTGGTCAACCATCAAATTTGAGGTTACCGTGTTTTTAGCCCAGCCAGTTGGAAGTTCATAGCCATGGTTCGTAAATCCCAGCTAGGCTGGCCCGTTTTGAAATCTGACGCATTTTGACCATGGTGACTGGCATCATGATCCTCAAGCCCGTGACCTTGCCCTCAATTTCTTGTAGACTAGAAACTAGGGATTAAACCAAGAATCTCAGAGATATCAGATTCTTGTTGGTATACTTGGATGTGCATCCAAGTTTGCAAGTGGTTATATAGTGTTATATAATGTTATATAATGATGGTTGCAGGGGGTTCTTACATGTTCCGTACCTATCCGTACCTGTTATTACCGTGGTTATAGTATGTTATAGTATGTTATAGTATGTTATAGTATGTAATAATCATCATGGAATAATCCCAACGGCACCCCCAAGTACAGCAGTATAGGTAGTTTCTGCCATGGTTCATAGATCAAGCCAAAGCTGGCTGAAACAGGTGGCGACGCTCGGCGGCCGTGCAGCGTTTGCAGTGGCGCAATCTGGACACTCTGCTGGCACTGCCCGGGCAGAGGTGCCTCTTCGGTGGTCCAGCGGCATGGCTGGGGGGTTGAACTATATCGCATGGTGGATGTGACCCATCTAATTATCATAAAAACCCATAAAATGGTGGTTTAATCCCTTCCCCCTAATACTAAACGTCCCCCCCTCCCCAAATAATAAACACCTCAGGTAGTTTTTATTATTAGGGGAGTATTTATTATTAGGGAACCTTATTTGTAAATTTAAGACCTTAATAATAAAAACTATTTTTTCCGATTTCAAAATCAATTAAATTTTCTTTTATAACGCAATTAAAATATTGCCAAAAAATTCGATTTCGAAGCGGACCCTATTAATAAATTTAAAACCTTAACAATAAAAACTAGTTTTTCCGATTTCAAAATCAATTAGATTTCCTTTTATAACGCAATTAAACCATTGCCAAAAATTGGATTTCGAAGCGGACCCTATGTTTTCTAAAGGGGATCAATTAAAAGTCAAATTGGCCAATCTGAAATTTTCCAAAATTGGAGATGGACCCTAGTTTTTATTATTTGGGGGGTTAGTAATAGGGGGAAGGGATTAATTGCCTTGGGGTATAACTAACCTGGTATAACTAGAACTGCTGAACCAATAGTTCAATGATTATTGGGTTGATTGATGGGTTCAAATCTTGGTTTCGCCGACAAAATCGGTTCAATCGTTTCAAATTGTGTGGTTTTCATTCTCATGTAATGATGATCTCCAGTTGAATTTCACATATTTCCAGGCAAGTTCAACCACCATTTAGCCAGGTTTGTCCTGAAATGTGGTATTATTTCCATCCATGTTAGAACATTTTAGAGCAATTTGAATGAGGAGAATTAGGTTTTGAACCACTACGTCTGGGGACACGCCCAGACAAACCCAAGTCTCGGTGGTTCCAAAGCTGGCTCCGAAGATCTCTGGGATAGTCGTGTCAGGGAAAGTTTCACCGTGTTTCACCTCCCATTAATTAAGGTTTCTCAGTTTTGGAGCTCTCATAATCCTTAAGATCTTGATGTTCATCGTCAGTGCCAGGTGTCACAAATTTTGAATAGCCAAAATGCTTCATTTCACCGGAAAAACCCTGGGGATTTCGGATGGATTTTGACCAGTGAAACACCAATTTCCCCAGCCCAAAAACCGTCGATCCCGAAAAACTCCGCCAGGTGGCCGAGCAGCTCCTGCTTACTGCTGCCGTGGCCAAGGTGCTGCACATCCTGCCGGGAGGGCAGCTGCAGGAGCATGTCGCAACGGGAGCTGCGGAGGCACCACCGGCACCTGCGAAGGTTGAGGAATCTCAGCCGCAGGGGAGATGAAATCTCGACTGAGAAGGATTGTTGATGAAGTTTAGAGGTGAAAGCTGATTGGAATTGGGGATTATCCTTTTTAATCGGCATATGTTTAGGTATAATTGTATATACATATATATATATATAGAGAGAGAGATAGATAGATTAGATAGATAGATAGATAGGTAGGTAGATAGATAGATAGATATAGATAGATATAGATAGATATAGATAGATAGATATAGATATAGATATAGATATAGATTTAGATATAGATTTAGATATAGATTTAGATATAGATTTAGATATAGATTTAGATATAGATTTAGATTTAGATTTAGATATAGATTTAGATATAGATTTAGATATAGATTTAGATATAGATTTAGATATAGATTTAGATATAGATTTAGATATAGATTTAGATATTGATTTAGATATTGATTTAGATATTGATTTAGATATTGATTTAGATATTGATTTAGATATAGATTTAGATATAGATTTAGATATAGATTTAGATATAGATTTAGATATAGATTTAGATATTGATTTAGATATTGATTTAGATATAGATTTAGATATAGATTTAGATATAGATTTAGATATAGATTTAGATATAGATATAGATTTAGATATAGATTTAGATATAGATTTAGATATAGATTTAGATATAGATTTAGATATAGATTTAGATATAGATTTAGATTTAGATATAGATTTAGATATCGATTTAAATATTGATTTAGATATAGATTTAGATATAGATTTAGATATAGATTTAGATATAGATTTAGATATAGACTTAGATATAGATTTAGATATAGATTTAGATATAGATTTAGATATAGATTTAGATATAGATTTAGATATAGATTTAGATATAGATTTAAATATTGATTTAGATATAGATTTAGATATTGATTTAGATATAGATTTAGATATAGATTTAGATATAGATTTAGATATAGATTTAGATATAGATTTAGATAGATTTAGATAGATTTAGATAGATTTGGATAGATTTGGATAGATGTGGATAGATTTGGATAGATTTAGATAGATAGATACAGATTTATTTATATTGATTAATTATTATATTATGCTACTGTTGTGCTGGTTCTTTTACCTTTGAAGCAGATTTGGGCAACAAAAAAGCAGCTGGCACTAGATCACTATAAATGGTGCCCGTTTTGTTTTGCGCTTGAGGAGTGATGTCATTCTCGCGGGTCATCTCCTTAGGTGCAGCTGACTTCACCAGCTGCAGAAGCGCCAAAAGAGGCCGGAACGTTTTGATGTATACTATCTGCAGGTTTCGTGCATGTTACAGACGCAGACCCGGAGGTTTGCCCAATGACGCTATGGGAATTTACATGAGATTTAGGATTTGGGTTGATCACGATCATCAGCACCGCTCATTGCGAGTCAAGGCAAACCTCAGAGTCTTGCCGTACTGGTGGTAGTAGTAGTAGCAGCAGCAGTAGTAGCAGTAGTAGGAGTAGTAGTAATGGATAGGAATATGCTTAATCCCATCCCGCTAATGAAAGGTGTCGGGCTGGTAGAACACCGCAATACGAAATGCATCTTTGGTGGTTTGGGAGGGAGGGGTGGGGTGGGGGCGTGGGGTGGGGTGGGGCCAATAACGTTCAATTGCAATTACACACATACACATACTTGATGCTATGCTAGAGACATCTTTTCTTGCACATACGCACATACAAAAATCATACAGTTGCACTTACACACATACACATACTTGATGCTATGCTAGAGACATCTTTTATTGCACATACACACATACTTCCTGCTACGCTAGAGACATTTTCTCTTGCACTCTCACACACACACACACTTCTTTTTACGCTAGAGACATCTTCTCTTGCACATACACACATACTTCATGCACATACTTCCTGGGTCGCTATATATATATATATATATACATCTTTTCTTGCACTTACCCACGTACTTGATGCTACGCTAGAGACAGCTTTTCTTGCACACACATACATTCTTCCTGCACATACACACGGATGAAAAAAGTCGTGCTTATGTGCTTTGAAGAAGCTTTGTCCTGTAAAACCCAATGGAATGTTACAATGGGTCTTCGAAATCCCCGGGATTTTCAAGGTGCAATTATAACATGAAATGATTACGACGCTGTGGCGCCAAGCACATTTGATTCCCAAACATAGACAATTGCCAGCGCGGTTGTCACCCCGCCGGTATGTTTATGTCTTTTGGGGTTTTCAGAAACCATCCCCTTCAAAAAGTTAGTTCGTTTTGCTCTTCTAAACTCCAGCAAAACAAAAACTCAGTAAAACACGAGATGTTATCATGCACCCCCAAAAACACGCGCGAGCTTCTACCAGCCCCACGCGTTACGGCGTAAACTAGGATAGTCGGATAGTCACTTCTAAAAGCCAATATTAGGGAGAATAGGATTAGTCACTCATTCATGATGCGCAACTTCCGTAACTTCTGCGGGCCCTGATTTGCTCCAGGAAGTGGAAGCCGCAGCCGCTGAAGGTCGTCGCACCCGCTGGGGCCGTCGCAAAGGATGACATGACGACCGTGGCGCGGCGCCGTGGTGCCAGGATGAAGCGAATCAGCAAGGGGGCAGAAGTAGGTGGTAGTTGTAGGATGTAGGATCTCAGTAGAACATAGTCTCGTTGAATTGTGTTAATGCTTGGAAAGGCTTCAAAATTTCCGGAGTCTTTCCCTTTAGCCGGGCGGACAGTGCAAAGACAAACTGGCTGGCAACACTGAAAAAGGCAGCCGCGCATTTGAGGAAGTTCGTTGCCAGTTGGCAGATTATGATAATCCCCAATATAGTCTAACCGGGTCTAACCCTACAATCATTAACTGACTGGGTTAGATTGGACATCTCTTCCATTTCAATTCAGCTCCCAACAATGTGTGTGCGCTCAGGTGTGCATTGGCGCGGCAATCTACGGAGGCTTGTGCTGGTTTTGATTGAAAAAACATGCCCCTAAAAATCCAATGGTTCAAAGCCATTGAAAACCTTATTTTCCCCCTTTTTGAACCGCCACCAAATCCTTTTTGAAAGACGTTTTCTCCTGTTTTTGGAAGATGATTTCTGTTTGGACCAAGCCATTAAGCCGTGAGAGACGACTTCTTCGTCAGGTGGACGACCTGGGACTGTACGCTCAGGGTGTGAAGAAGCAGTTGGAGAGTGCCCCAGATGTCATCGCTATGCAGGAGGGTATGATGGGAATGTAACATGGGGAGGTGCCGGGATGTAACTCACCAACTTGATGCTGATGTGATATGGGTGTGTCTGAAAATTGGGTATATCATGGTATATCATGGTATATCCCCAAACCTGATGGTTTAGAATGTCGGTTTTCCCATTAATTGGCAATTTGGCTGGTATAACCAATTTTCAGATCCAGATGGGTATGGGTCAAAACTGATATACCCTACAAAATTATCAGTGAATCCGTGGTCCCCGAAATCTTGACCCATGGCTCTCTCTCTCTCTACCGGAGAAATCCGGAGAATATGGATTCCACCAACGGCATTTCCTCGCAATTGAACTTATCCAAGTGGTTGTTGATTGTTTGTTGTATGGTGCGTTGGTTTGATGCCAAAGGACTGTCGGCATATATCGTATTTCTCTTGGTTGTACTGGCCCAATGGTTCACCGCTCAGAAAGGGCCCCAAGGGGCATCGATACGGTACCTGGTTTCGTTGGGCCGACTGCGATCATTTCACCTGGGTTTGCTTAAGGTGTTTTGTTCATGAATTTTGACAGGGAAATCTGTTTTTTATCTGGATGCGTATCAATGAATCCCTATGAGGCAGCCATTGTACCGGGATGCGAAATCCAATAGGAATTCAAATAGTCAGCAAATGAATCCATTGAAATCCTGGGATAACTCATTTAAAATCAGATCATCCTAGCTAGGGATGTCCTAGGATTGTCTCGTCATAAAGCAGCCCTGTTTCAATCTGTTTCATCCGAGTGAAACGTCACCGGCGTTGTTTCCGAGGAGTCCTTGAAGCTCCTGGCCTTGTCGCGTCGTTTGAGCGCCACTCGCGTGCAGTTGCTCTCGGACCTCCGGCAGTGCCTTGGATGCCTTGGATGCCTTGGACTTGGAGGAGTTGAACCCCAGGAGATCGTGGAGATATGGGAAAATGGTTATGTAATCTGAGTGAAATATATAGTTAAATGATAGTGAAATGATATAGTTCAATGGGAAAACTAAAATTAACTTTGATTCGCCATGAAGTTTGATGAAATGGTGGGGTGCATCAGTTTCATATGTGTTCCATTTTGCTGGATTGAAGCCACCAAACAATCGGCTGTTCACTTCGAAGCCGGGTCAAAAATCTTGCTGGAAAATACTCCATTAAGATCCATTTAGCTTGATATTCCCATTGTATACCCACTATCTATCCCATGTTTTTGGGTGAAATCACTATATATCCCATAGTTTTTGGTTAACTCACTATATAATACTATATATATATATATATCCCACAATGTTTGCTTAAATCATTCTATATATATTATCCCACAATTCTTGGTTCAATCAGCCATTACATACCATGTACCTTGACCCATGAGAGGCAGCATGTTTGATGTGAGGCAAGGCCAGAGGCTGCAGGCCCTCAGCAACGAGAAGACGCAACTCTCGCTGGAGATCAACAACCTGCAGGCCTGGTGGGTGGCCCTGGTGGCTGGTTCTAGGCATGAAACTGTCAATGTCTCGAGATGCCGAAAAAAAGGATGGCTTTGAATGGTGGAAAAAACATGGAAAAAAACCATAGAAAGATGATGATTCACTAAACTTGAACCATCAAACTTGGCGGGACATTAACTCCATGTTTAGACACAACTGCACCTTTTGGATCCTTTTGGCTTAGTTTATCCATCTACCAACCATTACCAACCTGCCAGATCATTCGGGTCCCATGCGCCCATGTGATGAAAAAAAGTGACTTGCAACGTAACGCAACGTAGGTTGGGGAATAAACCAACCCAACATGTCTGGAAAAATGTTGGGTTTTGTCGATTCAACCTGCTGAAATGGGATATTACCATATATTACCCAGAAATGATGATGAATTATGGCCTGACTGTCCGTGTAACCCAAAAAAAGATTGGGGCACTCACCTTCAAAGGAACATACCGTATAGCCTGCTGGTTCCACAGACCTGTGGTTTTTTTCATAGCAAAAGGTGCGTAGAAAAAGGTCAAGACCTGATGCCTCAATGTTTCACCGACAAGTATTTTTAGGTCTCATGCGCTGTTACCAAAATCCAATGAAGATGGGATAAGTTACTGGGTTGTGGGTGTGAAAGCATGGTGACCCCGAAAATTGGAGAATCGGCGAGCGAAATTTCCAAATGAGTGACCATCCGCTGAAACTGTTGATCAGCTCCAGCCGCTAGCCGAGCCATGGCAGTTGCAGTTGTTCGGAATTTCAAGCAACTAAGAATGATGAAGAATTGCTTTGAATCATGGTCCGTGGTTTAAAAAAAAATAAATATATTCAATTATCGATAATTATCCAATATCTATATATATTGTTTTTGCCCCGTACTTGGAATAGCTGAGATGACCAGTATCTTTTGGATGGGTTCAAACAACCAGAGGGCCTTTCTCCGTGCAGGATCGGCATGCTCTTTTGCAGTCCAACTACGATGTCATCAAAGTAGATCTCCCAGTTGGTGGTGTGGGACAGCGAGTCCCAGACCCTGAGGTGAGATATCCTGAGATATCCTGAAATCCTCGAAAGCTTGGGCTGGTGTAATTCCATTCCTCAGCTGGGATGATGATTCAGAAAGTTCGACTCCAAGCATTTGGATGAAGTTTGAACCCAGTTGCTGTTACCCCTTGTGCCTTCGTTGATGATCTGCTGGCCTTCCATAGCAAGACTAGCCTTTGGCAAATGCAAGGGAATAAGGCATTTTTGGCCGGGAAAGTCATTTGTTGATGGGGAATCTATCAAGAATATTTTACATAACTATCAAGTATTGCTGTTACTGGTACTAACCATGTCATTATCCATTTTTTCATGTTTGTCCGTGATTATCCATCATCACTATAGTATTGGTACTATAGGACAGACCCAAAAAGTGATGCCGAAAAGTTGGAAACCTGGAACTATGACCATCCTGGAGGCACACAACAAAAAGGCATCTTTGGTATGGCTTCGTATAACCAAACTATAGCCTATTTATACCCATGAACACCCATTAACAGCCATTAATACCATCATTGTAGTATTGGTATTCCTGACCATTCTTATCAATTATTGCCATTGTTACCGCCAGTTTCAGTCACAACGCCCATGCTGCACCCAGGCATCCCAAGTGTCAAGCGAGGCCGGTTTTGCCCGGCTGGTGAGTTTTGGATCTAAAAGTCCCCACATTCAATAATCATAATAATCATTCATGCAGGAAACACTACATTGACATAGTTTTGGCAAAAGTGCCCCTCCATGTGACGGAGGACCTTAACAGCACCGAGATCTCTGGTAACAGCACCGAGCTGCTATTGAGTTCAAGGCACTGCGCAGTGATTTTGTTGGGAAATCATGGGCACATCGAGTGGGTGCGTTCCTCTTGGGTGTTTGAGACCCGACAATTATGGCTGTTGGCTATAGGTTGTCATAGAGTGATGGACTCATTGAATGATATCTTATAGTTGCAGTATATCAATATCACCCACGATTACTCGTCGGTATTTCCTAAAATAGTGGTACACCCAGATCGTTCAATATTAGACTACAAAATAGGATTGAAACTTATATGTAATTTAAGGTCTCTCCTCATGTTGGGAAATGCTATGACGCCACCGAACTCCCAATTTTGAATCATGGAATGATAGAATGCATTTTCACATCGTTTCCATATACATGTATATATAAATATATGCATGTATATATATATATATGTATTTAAATGATCACCATTGGATTTCCTAATCAATATCATTTTTCCCCTTATGTCCTAAACCCAATGGATAACATCATGCACATATATATATATATATATACATATATATATATATACATATATATATACATATATATATATACATATATATATATATACATATGTAACATCACATAAAGCATGGAATGAGCCCAGCAAAAGAATGTGTTTTTTCACAGCAGAGGCAGCGCGCCTTGCTGGGTAGCCTGGCTGTGACGACACAGGCAGGGGGCCTTGGCAGGGATTTTTCATGGGATTTATGTGGAGGATGAGCCAAAAAACCTATTTATTGTCTGGTGCTTAGCATATTTGGGTGAATCATCCATAAATCGTAGCTATCTTAGGAGGTACCGAGGTTTTCACTGAGATTTTTTTTGGATGATCGGCTTGAAGAGGAACTGTTGGCGCTGAGGAGAGTTCTGGCATGAGGCAACACGGTTTCTTCGTCTCGATCTTAGATCTGAAGGGGGGAAGTTTTTCCCAACAAAAGAACACAATGCTGGAGGAACCTGAGAGTTTTGGAGAATGTGTTGATTGGAGTTGATTGGTGTGTTTCCCACTATGGGGCATGGTGATTCAAGATGACATCTTTTGCAAGGAGTTGAAAGCACCATGCATGATGTGCAATGATGTGCACATATTTTGCAGCCCACAGAGGCTGCAAGAACCATCACAGCTTCTGATGAAAGGGTACCCTTTAAAATCAACTGGTTCATCATACTTTTCCCTCAAATTAGATGATTAAAATTGCCATGTGGGTTCGTCTCAAAATATGGTATCCCCAATTCCAATGAATTATTCTCATTATCCCTATAAAAATAGCCATTCGGATGTCCCCTCATTTCTCTCATGCAAATTGCATCAAATTGCCATTTTGGAACCATTTTACTGGGGTATTAATCCATATCAATCCCCCATTAGAATCCCTTGACGTCGCGGAGGTCGACGTCTTAAGCCTGGACAATGGTGAAGCATCGCTGGCTGCGGGAGCGCCCCATCCAGAGGCCTGACATTTGGGAGATTGTTTCCGCACAATCGAAGGAAGTTTAGAAGTCAAACTTCCAACAATATGGATAGATGAAAAGCAGAGATGGGAAGAGTAAGAGAAGAGAAGAAGAAAGATCAAAAAGAGAAAGTCTCAGAAGAAAGAAGATCCAGGTCTGTTTATATTCATTTCTATGAATTCCAATCCCAGTCTGCGTAATATTCTACAGTTATTAGTTGTTACCCTTCGAAAAATCAATGGCACATTCCCTGTTTCCCGCAGCCGTGAGACCTTGGATGCCTGGGAGTTGGCGGTGCGGAAGGTCTACGAACAGCACGTGCTCAGACTGCAGAAACAGGCGGCTATGTCAGATGGCCAGGTGGCTGGGTCAAAGGGATAGTTGGACATAGATGGACATGGTATGAATATCCCGTATTATCCCATAGATTCCCATAGATAGACATACTATATCCCATTTTCCCATATTATACATTATACCATATTATCCTATATATTATATATTCAATTATTCCCTTTGTCTCATTTGAGATCCATGTTTGGTGTGTGTTTTTGCATCGACAGTTTGAACTCTATAATGTGTACATCAAGATTTCGTGGACTCTATGGCCAACTTGCTGACGGGTTAGCAGCTTAGCATCAAGGGTTTGGCCATTTCAATTCACAATTGGAAAGAAACGCAAAGAGAAATCCAACGAACATGGTGCACTTGAGAACAGAAACTCTTTATTTCATGCTTCTGGATGCTTCTGGAATTTTGAAGCATACCCATTTTGCAGATGTTCCGCTGGTGTCATGCAAGAAAGGTTATGGAACAACATGGAATACATAAAGGACTACGCATAATCAGTGTTGGATGTTGTTGTTATAGGATACAAAGATTATAATTTCCCCTAATATATCCCTACTATTTTCCCAAGAACACTGGATGTTGCTGGGATACAAACATTTCGCTGGTCAGATGCTGATTGCGGATAGTAAAGCCCTTGAGATGGGCTTGAATGTGTGCGAGTCTTAGCTGGGAGGGCGTCCTCTTGGAGATGTTACGGCTGCTGCACCTTTGGCATGATAGCGCACACATCCACATGTGCAGGGCCACTCCAATAGATGATAATAGATGGGTTTCTAAAATTCCAAGGAACACCAAAATATTTGGGTAAGTCCATCCGGCCTTAACAACCCTTTGCCTACTATCTGCGCCTTTTTTTGGACCCCCAAATCATGAATTGGTGAGTTATTTGTCGAGGGTATAAGGAAATTTCCCACATGGTTCCAGAGGTTGTTCCAAACAGAGGGCACCCCAAAAATTCAATGGTTTTCACACTTCAGTTTCCCCATCAAATCATTTAGCGGTAAAATCCTCCAGGCAAGACTTTCGGGACCAGATCCAACGGCAAGAAGAGGCGGAAACAGGGACTTCATTGGGGGGCGGCCCAAATGTGCGGTGACATCATCCAATCCTCATTTGGATGGATTCATAAATATGATCTTATCTGATATATTATATCATTATATTTAATCTATATATATATAATACATATATAATTATATAATCATATGATTGTACCGTGAACGTGTACCCTGCAAGGGTTGCTAGAAATCCCACATAGAGATCCTGAAGATCATCAAATTGGCATGCGGGTGCCGCTATGGCGGTAGGAATGGACCCAGAAATTTGGTCATGTGTGAAACACCCACTGAATGGGTCCCAATATGTGCAAATCCCCTACTAAACCATAGTTTCTGGTGGTGTTTAATATTAGGGGGATGGATGGGGACGGGATTATTTGACCCTTGACAATCCATTGTTGAGGGTATAGAACGATTAAAAGAACAATTCTACTTGAACAATGGTAAAGTACGTTTCTATTTTGGGGGGATGCTGTACATAATTCTTTGCCATTCCCAAGTACATAGAACCGGGCATGCTAGGCAAGACTCATTGGACCCGGTAGGGGGGTGTTGCAAAGTCAACCTTCCAGCGGTTCATCGTCTCGAGGTGCCTCCAAATCAACTGGATCATCAAGTGCTCATGGAAAATAATTGCTATCGGTTGGATATCGGTTTTGGGACATAGATGTGGGACATGTCCCACATTTCTGGGAACATCACCTCAATCCATGCTCGATGATCCTTTGTGCAGGAGAAGCAAGACCTTTCAGATCAGGTGCGCCGTTCATTTGGGAATTCGCCGCATCTCGGGATTTGATGAAAAGGGGTGTAAATCCCGTCATTAAGTCGTATGGTGAATTCCCAAATTAAAGGTAGTCACGCCAACTGCACAGCAGACTTGAGGGATGCATTTGCTGTGATTTTCACAGCGGGATTTAACTGGCCACAGACCCACCGCGGAGGTCAGTTTTTCAAGACGGATGCTCAGCAGGTATACAGACACCATAATATAGCTATATATTGTTAGATAATGCATGCTATATATAAATAATTTTGTAAGTAAATAAACATGATATTATATATGTGATCTGATGTGATGTGATGTGATGTAATGTAATGTGATGTATGGGTATGTATGCATGTATGTAATGTAATGCAATGCAATGCAATGCAATGTAATGTATGTATGTAATTAATATATGTATGTAGTTAATGTATGTATGTAATTAACGTATGTATGTAATTAATGTGTGTATGTATGTATGCATGTATGCATGTATGCATGTATTCATGTATGCATGTATGCATGTATGCATGTATGGATGTATGGATGTATGGATGTATGTCATGTATGTAATGTATGAGTGTATTCAATGTATGTAATGTATGTAATGTATGTAATGTATGTAATGTTTGTAATGATTGTAATGTCTGTAATGTTTTGTAATGTTTGTACTGCCTGTAATGTTTGTAATGTATGTAATGTATGTAATGTATGTACTGTTTGTAATGCATGTAATGTAATGTAATGTAATGTATTGTAATGTAATGTAATGTAATGTAATTAATGTATGTATGTAATTAATGTATGTATGTAATTAATGTATGTATGTAATTAATGTATGTATGTAATTAATGTATGCATGTAATTAATGTATGCATGTAGTTAATGTATGTATGTAATTAATGTATGTATGTAATTAATGTATGTATGTAATTAATGTATGTATGTATGCAATTAATGTATGTAATTAATGTATTAATGTATGTATGTATGTAATTAATGTATTAATGTATGTATGTAATGTAATGTAATGTAATGTAGTGTAATGTAATGTAATGTAATGGTATGGTATGGTATGGTATGGTATGTATGTATGTATGTGTGTAGAGCCGTCCTGGGGTAGATAGAATATAGAAGTTTTAGAAGACCACACTAAAATGGGAATATCTTTGAAAACCCCATAGTTCATCTAGTGGAGGATAATTATATACATGTATCTATTAATTGGATTGGATTTGCTTCCGATTTTGAAAAAACATCCTTGGAAGAAAACCGCCCGCTGGTCTTCACCCATCACCCAAAACCCCCAGGTTTCATCGACCAAAAAGGAACTTGACAGTCTGCGGGAGGAGCAACAGCGGCATGAAAAAAACCAGGGATGTGTTGGTTAAAACCAATAGAAAAATATAGTTATAACCAACCAAAAAACAAGAACTATAGCAATCTATAGCACTATAGTTTTACAAGGTTCTTGGGAATTGTTGCAACTATCACCCGTATGAACGGGAAAGCTTTCAACCGACATGGGCTGCGGCTGGTTCGTAGGTTCGAGATATTTCAAAATTGAACACCACTTAAGCAAAAAAGGTATTCCCTCTTGAAAAATGATAGACAATTTGTTTGGAATTGGAATGAACTTTTGTGGTGTTTGGAATGTTCGCACATGTACACATTATAAATCTGCACAACCATTTGCATGGATCCTTGTATGTATTTTTTTATGGGATTGGGGTCTGATTGACAAATGTGTCCGTTTGCTTGTGAGCAGGGTTCCATTGTGATGTTGTGGAATGATGTGGAATGCATGAATCTGATATGTCAACCACCTCTGGCCATTTGTCCCATAATCAGCCGTAAAAATCTCGCAATTTGGCGCGATAGTCTTCCTGGTCAAAAGCAAAGCTACTCCAAAATGCGTTGGGAGTGTTGCACCTGTTATTCCCTGATTGAATCATCAATTCCAATGGACCATCATCAATTTTCCCATAAATTTTCCCCATTGAAAGGCAATTTATTGGTGATAAACACATACCTGGGACCCCCAAAATACGACGACGTTATCGGACGATGATCCCTTGACCAGGATATGGAGGCGACGAGGAAGAACTACGACGGCCAGCTGGTCGGGAGCTCATGATCCATGCCGGCCAGAAGTTGGTAAAAAAAAACTGGTTAGTTAATATAAAAGGGATACGCAATGTAGCAATAGAGTTGGTGAATGTATGGGTGAATGGGATAACTGGGATAACCATGATCGATAATCCAGTTAATTGGTTGGTAAATGGATCAAAAATGATCAAAAACTCCCCCTTTGTTCGTGAGTTTTTTTCAGCCAGTTCCTAACCAGTTCACTCATCCCATGGCCCCAGGGTTTTTAGACCCTCCGACCCTCGGATCCGAACTGTTGGAACATCCAAGGGTTGGAGGATGCCCTGGGAATCCCATAACCTCCTTGGGATCTCCGGCCAAGGGCATGCTCACCGAGCACATTTGCGTTGGAAACTCGGGGAACTTAGTTTGTTTTCAGGGGTCCCAAAAGGAGGACCTAAACAAAGCTAGATTGATCTGATGACTAGCGAAGCAGATTGACCTGGACCTAGACTCTAAAATGGGAGATGGGGAGCCACGGCTTTGAAAAAATCTTGCAGTCTTACCTTACTTAATGATGTAAATGGAGAGCAAAAGCGCACAGGTACTGTAGAGACTGGAGAAATACAAGCAGCAAGAACTGGGTTTGAACCAACAAAAGTGGTGGTGCAGTTTAGGAGGGTTGCCAAAATCCAATTGTTTTTTTTTCTCCTCGAAACCAGATTTCGAGGTCTTCCAGGACATGCCCTGCTGGCCTTGGATCAGTTAGCTGCGTCCATCAAAAATCCGCTGCTTCTCAGTGGGTTTTCACCATGGCCGCGCCATCATTGCAGCTGATCTATCTTGATCACCACTACTGGCGGGCGGAGTGCGCACGCGTGGCCTTGTTCATGGCAAATATCCCATTTGAGGACGCAAAGATGGACTACCATGGAATCTGGCCTGTGGTTTCAAGTCTTTCCTTTCCATTACTGTCCCCTGAAATGCCATCAACCAAGCCAGCACTTCTGGGATCAATCATTGCCACTGCTATTTCCACGTTGTTTTCATCACAGTCCTAGATGTTTCAAACAATGCCTTCCCCATCCTTCCCCTAATATCAATTTCCCCCATATTCATCATCAAAACGAATACTGTAGATCCGAATACATTCCACCAGTGGCTTCGGGATGGTAGCAATGTGTAGTAATGATATTAGAGCGATGGGGTTGTGTGTAAACACCCCAGATCGTGGCCGGCTAGTTGCTGCTAGCTGCGGCGAATGCACCTGTCCCCAGGAATGTATTCCTCAGGCGCCTTGACTTTTGGCACCTTCCCCGCCCTGGTTGTCGGTGGCAAGGGTGTCCTACACCAAACGCAAGCGATTGCGACGTACGTGGGACACCTCACAAAGATGTTCCTAGGTGGTGACTTATGCTTTATGTTCTTTCTTGTGCATTCCATGTTTCAAACATTCCATCCCTGAAACATAATATGTTTTTGAAATGTGTACATTTCGATGTATATCATATGTACATTTTAAATCATTTTAATATGTCCATTTCATCATGCATATGTACTTCAATAATATGTATGGAAATACGTATATTTGAGTCTGAACATGTATTTTGTGGTACGTATTAGTCTTAGTATTGAAACTTTGAAACATGTATAGTTCAATATCTATTTCCTGTTCAATGTGCATGGTTATGTTTGCACGAGTAGGCGTTAAGACCTTTATGATCTTGTATGAACCTTTATGATCTTGTATGATCCTTTATGATCCTTTATGTGTATACAGAATTATATATATATTGCATACATGTTAGAGCATGTTATATTCATATATATATATATATATATGTCCCTGTGATATCCTGCTATTCAGGTACCCGGAGGACCCCTTTCTGGCCGCCAAGTGCGATGAAGCCATTGGCGGCCAAATCCGGACGTGTCGGATTTGGTGACCGATACCATGCAGGACGGGGCATCTCAATAAATCATTGCCTAGTTCTATATACATATATGTAATTATATAACATGTATTATATTATATGATTAGATAATATTAGATATACAATGATATAAACAATTACATTGTTATATATGATCTTGAGTTGTTGCGATGCCTATTCATGTCAGGAATGATTTGTTGGAGAAATCCTGATCATAAGGCTGATGGTTCACCGCCAGATGACCCAAGTAGAAAGACGACCCGTGTCTGTTTTGGGGATGGAAAGTTATCCATAAAGTGGCCGGCCCTTGGGATGCTTTGGGTCTCCATTTTTTTGTTTGGTTTCGCTGTCATGGTGTTTTTCTTTGCTTTTTGTGTTCAGCAAGTCAGAAATGTCAAAAAAAACATATTAATATATATATATATTATATATATACTAATCATGTGTCATCAAACACCACTTTCTGGATCAAAATAGTTCTAAGTGATGATCAACCCGCAGGGCCGTGTTTCCACCAGGAGCGCGATCCCAAGCACAAGATCGCTTGGCGACAGGCCTTGGTGTCCAATGATGGACGCATGACGATGTTGCTGAATGGTCTCGAGACCTTGCTGGAACAAAATGGAGCGACAGAAATGGTGCCCTTTGTGGCCGGGAAGTCCTTGAGTGTGGCTGACTTGGCAATTTGGAGAGCCGTGGGATGGCTTTCAAGTGGTGTGATTGATGGCATTCCTAGCACTTATGTGCAGCAGTTTCCCAAGCTGTGGGCATTGCACTGCGCGGTGGACCCAAGCCCAGAAGCTTCAGTTTTCGAAGGTGTTGTGAAAGGAAGGCTTGGAGAGCAATAGTGTGAGGATGACCAGAAGGAGAGGAAGGAGGAGACCCAAGGAGGACAGGAAGGAGCAGAGCAAGGAAGAGGGGGAAGGAGAAGAGCAAGAAGGACTGCAAGGATGCAGGCAAGGAAGAAACAATCAATTTTCGAAACCACGGTTCCAATGGTAAAAAATAAAAAACCGCACCACTATGCACGCAAGCGATAAAGGAATTTGGACCCTCTGTTCTCCACTGAACAGATCTGTAGAGATTTGACCTTTGTAATGTGCAAAAGCTTTGCACCTAAAACATCCTAAAACAATGTCCAAGTGGGACAATTTTCACCCTCACTAGCTGTAGCTGCTGGCTGTTTGGGGTCAAAATTTCTGCAGCGCGCTCCTTGCCTTTGCAGCTGCAATCCTGAAGGAAACCCTGGTTTTGCCCCCAAATCTCCCTAAATCATCCCGTGAATGTAGGAGGTGTATGTTGCCCTTCAACCTGTTCTAGACTTGTTCTTCGGATCTACTGTAATTACATCATTTGGTCTGCTTGGGAGGAAGATCGTCGAATGTCTTCCTTAAACGTCCTCTTCATACTGAGTTATGAGAATTATAAGATCTTCTTGAAAATATTGAACATCTTATAGGTGGTAGAGGATGATGTTCATCTAGGTACGCCCAGTCTAAACGTTTCGTTCTTCCCTCGATCTCTGGTTCTGCTTGTTCGTGACATCCCAGGCGCTGTCGGCCCGTCTCTCCGAAAAGGATGCCAGTTTGGCTTCCTTGCAGGCAGCTAATCTGGCAGCTGCTTCCAGTGGGAGCTATGGCAGCTGCATCCATCTCTATGTTACATGATTTAAGTCGAGAAGCAATTGGAGAATTGTGGTTCCAACATGTTCCAATCTGATTTCTTCATTTTTATTGCTGCTTCCAGCAATGATTGGTGGAATCTCAGGCCTGAACCCCAAGTAGATTCTCCTCTGGAGGGTCCGGGGTAACTCCAGAATCCTATGGTTTATCATGAGTTTGGCAAAAATTGGCTCTAATTCCCTCTGCTTGAGCCAATATCACATAATATATAATATCGATATAATATCGATATTAATTATGTATATTATTATATTATATATAATTATGTGTGTGGGTATCCAGCTATCATATGAAGTTGGCTGGTGATCTCCCATTCGACAAGAATCTCCTATTGAATTCCTATGAAATCCCCCATGAAATCTCCCATGAAATCTGGAAAAAGCACCGTCGGACCAGGCCAAAAAGGTGCTGTGTGGTCGTTGCGGGATGTGGAACACCATGGGGTCGGCGGGCCCGGCACAGCCTGGGCCTGGTGAATGGTGATATATACTATATGTATATGTATTATATAGATTATGACATGCAATTATTGAGTGGTGCATCTTCTTATTCAGAATATACGTGTATATATATATACATACAATACAGATACACATGGAATACACAATGACATCATAATGACATACTGTAATATTATATATATACCTATATGTATTTATACATGCTATCAAAGGTGACCCAGGTTGACTCAGCGAAATGACCTACTGTGCCAGTCCTAATGTAAGTTTAGCTGGAAAGATCCTGGTGTGAGCATCTAATGAATGAACCATGAGCTGGTTTTCCACACCGAAGGGAAGGGAATGTTTCAACAAAACCCTTCAGGGATTGGCTAACTAGTGATTCTGTGCCTGAAACAAGTGAACTTGTTGGGCTCCCAGCGTGTTGACCATCCTGGACCCCATATGTATCACAAAGAGGAGGATGTTGGATGCTAAGGGGTGTTGCTGGAACATGCTTCAGGCCATCTCAACTAGCTCTTCTGAGATCAAACGTTGTGCAGAGCTGCTGTCAGGTGAAGGTGACTACATGGCTGGCTGTATTTAAGATCCCCCAAAAGTAGGAAGCAGATCACATCTCAACATCTAAGCTGATGTTCATTTTGCAGATGCAAAAAAAACATTGTACTGGATGGTCCAGGAAATTTTGGACACATCAATCAGCAGAAATGGTCAACACTTTTCCCAGCAAAGGGAACCCATTCGCCATGCGGCAGAAGGGGCGGCTCTCATTGGGGTCATTCTTCTTGGCGTCCTGGGCAAGCTGGGCGTTCGTGAGGCATGGCATCACGCTTGGCCACTTAAGATCTTGGCGAGTTCCAAAAATGTGGGGATTGTCCATTTTCAAGTTAGCTCTCAAGAAGTATGAGAACAAATATCATTAGAAAATGTTAGAACAAAAGTCTAGTATGTTCATGTCTGTTCTAGTTTACCTTTCCTCAGAACTTTCAGGTCTTCAAATCTTCTATCTATTTTGGAGTTGCTTTAGTTGGTGTTTCTATTCTTTGTATATGAAGTATATGTATTAATTGCGTTTAAATGGCATTAATAGCGTCTAATGCGTCACTAATTGCGTATAAGTAAACTAATTACGTTTAATGGTGATTACAGAGTGCGTATAAACACTTACTAGATTAAACTATATCGAGGTTACGAGGTTACGGGAGGTTACGGGAGGCTCCTGGATACTTAGATTCTACAGATTCCAGAGATTCTAGAGATTCCTAGGTTACGGGAGGTTACGGTACGGGAGGTTACGGGAGGCTTCTGGATACTTAGATTCTACAGATTCCAGAGATTCTAGAGATTCCTAGGTTACGGGAGGTTACGGTTACGGGAGGTTACGGGAGGTCACGGGAGGCTCCTGGATACTTAGATTCTACAGATTCCAGGGATTCTAGAGATTCCTAGGTTACGGGAGGTTACGGTTACGGGAGGTTACGGGGAGGTTACGGGAGGCTCCTGGATACTTAGATTCTACAGATTCCAGATTCTTAGGTTACGGGAGGTTACGGTTACGGGAGGTTACGGTTACGGGAGGTTACGGAGGCTCCTGGATACTTAGATTCTACAGATTCCAGAGATTCTAGAGATTCCTAGGTTACGGGAGGTTACGGGAGGTTACGGGAGGTTACGGTTACGGGAGGTTACGGGAGGTTACGGGAGGTTACGGTTACGGGAGGTTACGGGAGGTTACGGGAGGTTCCTAGATACTTAGATTCTACAGATTCCAGAGATTCTAGAGATTCCTGGGTAGGGTTACGGGAGGTTACGGTTACGCCAGTACCAAATATACCTAGCTTCGGTGATCCCAGCCAACTTAGCACATTAGTAACCAATGCTACTGGAAAGGGAAGGTGGAGAGCTCTTCTAAGAACGAGCTCTCCGCTTTGCAGCCAACGGCAGGCATCCCAAAGTGGAGAGGGATTGGTCAACCGGGGCCAAAATCAAACTTGACACGGGGTAGGGGCGGAGAGCTCTTCGAGGAAGAGCTCGCCGCTCGCCGCCCCCCCGAAGGGAATTTCTCGCCGCCCTCCAAACAACCGCAATACCTCGCCGCCCCCTGTTATAAATTTCTCGCCGCCCCCCAAATAACCGGAATACCTCGCCGCCCCCCTGTTGAAAATTCCTCGCCGCCCCCCAAACAACCGGAATACCTCGCCGCCCCCCTGTTGGAAATTCCTCGCCGCCCCCGAAACAACCGAATTCCTCGCCGCCCCCTTCTCAGAAACAAATGCGGAAAACCCCGGTGGCTTATCCTTGGAATCCTTTAGTGGCCCCTGGTATGGGAGAAGCTAACTGATGGCAGCCAAGTGCCCCTAATACAATTCGCAAGAGTGAACACTGACTATGCTTAATTTATTCTTTAATAATTGGCTATAGGCTATTTTCCCTGACTACTAAAAGTCTAGCATTCTCTTGAATAAAGATTCCGTACTGCTGCTGCAACTCCCGGCCAACATTCAAAACACAAAAGCTTTGAACATGAGCCCCCCTAACAACTTCTTGCCATCGATCAGAATATTCAACACATTCATGGTGGCACTACTTCGATGTTGGTTTTCAACGAAAAACATATCCTGTGCCAACCCAATACCGAAAACACCAAAAGTGTTGAAAACGCTAACTTGTGTGAAAATCCCTTTAGAGATTCCAAGGTAGGTTACGGTTACGGGAGGTTACGGGAGGTTACGGTTACGGGAGGTTACGGTTACGGGAGGTTACAGGAGGTTACGGGAGGTTACGGGAGGTTACGGGAGGTCACCGGAGGTTACGGTTACGGGAGGTTACGGGAGGTTACGGGAGGTTACAGGAGGTTCCTGGATACTTAGAGTCTACAGATTCCAGAGATTCTAGAGATTCCTAGGTAGGTTACGGTTACGGGAGGTTACGGGAGGTTACGGGAGGTCACGGGAGGTTACGGTTACGGGAGGTTACGGGAGGTTACGGGAGGTTACGGGAGGTTACGGTTCCGGGAGGTTACGGGAGGTTACGGGAGGTTACTGAATACTTAGATTCTACAGATTCCAGAGATTCTAGAGATTCCTAGGTAGGTTACGGTTACGGGAGGTTACGGGAGGTTACGGGAGGTTACGGGAGGTTACGCTTACGGGAGGTTACGGGAGGTTACGGTTACGGGAGGTTACGGGAGGTTACGGGAGGTTCCTGGATACTTAGATTCTACTTAGATTCTACAGATTCCAGAGATTCTAGAGATTCCTAGGTAGGTTACGGTTACAGGAGGTTACGGGAGGTTACGGGAGGTTAGGGGAGGTTACGGGAGGTTACGGTTACGGGAGGTTACGGGAGGTTCCTGGCTTGGATTCTACAGATTCCAAAGATTCTAGAGATTCCTAGGTAGGTTACGGTTACGAGAGGTTACGGGAGGTTACGGGAGGTTACGGGAGGTTACGGTTACGGGAGGTTACGGGAGGTTACCGGAGGTTACGGGAGGTTACGGGAGGTTACGGGTACGGGAGGTTACGGGAGTTTACGGGAGGTTCCTGGATACTTAGATTCTACTTACGGATCCTACGGGAGGTTACGGTTACGGGAGGTTACGGGAGGTTACGGGAGGTTCCTGGATACTTAGATTCTACAGATTCCAGAGATTCTAGAGATTCCTAGGTAGGTTACGGTTACGGGAGCGAGGTTACGGGAGGTTACGGTTACGGGTGGTTACGGGAGGTTACGGCAGATTACGGGAGGTTCCTGGATACTTAGATGCTACAGATTCCAGATTCCAGAGATTCTAGAGATTCCTAGGGAGGTTACGGTTACGGGAGGTTACGGGAGGTTACGGGAGGTTACGGGAGGTTCCTGGATACTTAATGATACTTAGATTCTACAGATTCCAGAGATTCGAGAGATTCGCAGGAATTCCTCGCCGCCCCCTTCTCAGAAACAAATGCGGAAAACCCCGGTGGCTTATCCTTGGAATCCTTTAGTGGCCCCTGGTATGGGAGAAGCTAACTGATGGCAGCCAAGTGCCCCCAATACAATTCGCAAGAGTGAACACTGACTATGCTTAATTTATTCTTTAATAATTGGCTATAGGCTATTTTCCCTGACTACTAAAAGTCTAGCATTCTCTTGGCAAAAGATTCCGTACTGCTGCTGCAACTCCCGGCCAACATTCAAAACACAAAAGCTTTGAACATGAGTCCCCCTAACAACTTCTTGCCATCGATCAGAATATTCAACACATTCATGGTGGCACTACTTCGATGTTGGTTTTCAACGAAAAACATATCCTGTGCCAACCCAATACCGAAAACACCAAAAGTGTTGAAAACGCTAACTTGTGTGACAATCCCTTTAGAGATTCCAAGGTAGGTTACGGTTACGGGAGGTTACGGGAGGTTACGGGAGGTTACGGGAGGTTACGGGAGGTTACGGTTACGGGAGGTTACGGTTACGGGAGGTTACGGGAGGTTACGGGAGGTTACGGGAGGTCACCGGAGGTTACGGTTACGGGAGGTTACGGGAGGTTACGGGAGGTTACGGGAGGTTACGGGAGGTTACGGGAGGTTACAGGAGGTTCCTGGATACTTAGAGTCTACAGATTCCAGAGATTCTAGAGATTCCTAGGTAGGTTACGGTTACGGGAGGTTACGGGAGGTTACGGGAGGTCACGGGAGGTTACGGTTACGGGAGGTTACGGGAGGTTACGGGAGGTTACGGGAGGTTACGGTTCCGGGAGGTTACGGGAGGTTACGGGAGGTTACTGAATACTTAGATTCTACAGATTCCAGAGATTCTAGAGATTCCTAGGTAGGTTACGGTTACGGGAGGTTACGGGAGGTTACGGGAGGTTACGGGAGGTTACGCTTACGGGAGGTTACGGGAGGTTACGGTTACGGGAGGTTACGGGAGGTTACGGGAGGTTCCTGGATACTTAGATTCTACTTAGATTCTACAGATTCCAGAGATTCTAGAGATTCCTAGGTAGGTTACGGTTACAGGAGGTTACGGGAGGTTACGGGAGGTTAGGGGAGGTTACGGGAGGTTACGGTTACGGGAGGTTACGGGAGGTTCCTGGCTTGGATTCTACAGATTCCAAAGATTCTAGAGATTCCTAGGTAGGTTACGGTTACGAGAGGTTACGGGAGGTTACGGGAGGTTACGGGAGGTTACGGTTACGGGAGGTTACGGGAGGTTACCGGAGGTTACGGGAGGTTACGGGAGGTTACGGGTACGGGAGGTTACGGGAGTTTACGGGAGGTTCCTGGATACTTAGATTCTACTTACGGATCTTACGGGAGGTTACGGTTACGGGAGGTTACGGGAGGTTACGGGAGGTTTCTGGATACTTAGATTCTACAGATTCCAGAGATTCTAGAGATTCCTAGGTAGGTTACGGTTCCGGGAGGTTACGGGAGGTTACGGGAGGTTACGGTTGCGGGAGGTTACGGGAGGTTACGGTTACGGGAGGTTCCTGGATACTTAGATTCTACAGATTCCAGAGACCTATATAGGTAGGTTACGGTTACGGGAGGTTACGGTTACGGGAGGTTACGGGAGGTTACGGTTACGGGAGGTTACGGGAGGTTCCTGGATACTTAGATTCTACAGATTCCAGAGATTCTAGAGATTCCTAGGTAGGTTACGGTTACGGGAGGTTACGGGAGGTTACGGGAGGTTATACGGTTACGGGAGGTTACGGGAGGTTACGGGAGGTTACGGGAGGTTACGGTTTTACGGGAGGTTACGGGACGTTGCGGGAGGTTCCTAGATACTTAGATTCTACAGATTCCAGAGATTCTAGATTCTAGAGATTCCTAGGTAGGTTACGGTTACGGGAGGTTACGGGAGGTTACGGGAGGTTACGGGAGGTTACGGGAGGTTACGGTTACGGGAGGTTACGGGAGGTTACGGGAGGTTCCTGGATACTTAGATTCTACAGATTCCAGAGATTCCAGAGATTCCTAGGTAGGTTACGGTTACGGGAGGTTACGGGAGGTTACGGGAGGTTACGGGAGGTAACGGGAGGTTACGGTTACGGCAGGGTAACGGGAGGTTCCTGGATACTTAGATTCTACAGATTCCAGAGATTCTATATAGAGATTCCTAGGGCGGGAGGTTACGGGAGGTTACGGGAGGTTACGGGAGGTTACGGGAGATTACGGTTACGGGCGGTTACGGGCGGTTACGGGCGGTTACGGGAGGTTACGGGAGGTTACGGGAGGTTACGGGAGGTTCCTGGAAACTTAGATTCTACAGATTCCGGAGATTCTAGAGATTCCTAGGTAGGTTACGGTTACGGGAGGTTACCGGAGGTTACGGGAGGTTACGGGAGGTTACGGGAGGTTCCTGGATACTTAGATTCTACAGATTCCAGAGATTCTAGAGATTCCTAGGTAGGTTACGGTTATGGGAGGTTACGGGAGGTTACTGGAGGTTACGGGAGGTTACGGTTACGGGAGGTTACGGTTACGGGAGGTTACGGGAGGTTACGGGAGGTTACGGGAGGTTACGGGAGGTTACGGGAGGTTACGGGAGGTTACGGGAGGTTACGGGAGGTCCCTGGATACTTAGATTCTACAGATTCCAGAGGTTCTAGAGATTCCTAGGTATGTTACGGTTACGGGAGGTTACGGGAGGTTACGGGAGGTTACGGGAGGTTACGGGAGGTTACGGGAGGTTACGGGAGGTTACGGGAGGCTACGGGAGGTTACGGTTACGGGAGGTTCCTGGATACTTAGAGCCTACATATTCCAGAGATTCTAGAGATTCCTAGGGAGGTAACGGTTACGGGAGGTTACGGTTACGGTTACGGGAGGTTACGGGAGGTTACGGGAGGTTACGGTTACGGGAGGTTACGGGAGGTTACGGGAGGTTCCTGGATACTTAGATTCTACAGAGTCGAGAGATTCTAGAGATTCCTAGGTAGGTTACGGTTACGGGAGGTTACGGGAGACTTAGAGTCTAGAGATTCTAGAGATTCCTAGCTTGGTTAGGTTACGGGTTGGTTACGGGTTACGGGAGGCTACGGGACACTTAGATTCTAGCTTGAGACACTCAGGTTCTACTCAGATTCAAGTTTGAGATACTTCTAGGCTGAGAGGTTACGTGAGGTTTACAGGAGGTTACCGGATGTTACGGGATACTCATACTCTAGCTTGAGATACTCAGATTCTAGCTTGCAACAACCAGACTTCTGTTGTCCAATCGAGTTTTGATTCTCCACCTAGTTTTCTATTTCTGTATTTTAAAATATTTTTAACATTTTTATATCCAAAAGGAATATCGGCCTGTGGGCTGCTATAGCATTGGATGTTAAAAATGGATGTTGGGCATAGCAAGAAATGATGTCTTGTGATGTCTTGAATGAAACGTGATGAAACCAGGATCTTTTTCAGGTGCAGCCTCGACGGGCTGTGTTCAGTTGGACCGGATATAACTGGACTTTGAAGACGCACCCTACATCCAATAGAGCCATCGCTGGCCAACTCGTCAGCAAAGGAACTCATGCTGTTGCCGACAGTTGCCTTCCCAATAACATTCAACCTGAGTATCAATAGCCAATCGAGTTGAATTTTATCCTTTTATTTCTATCTCTGGGTTCGGGGTCGAACCATGCTGTTTTCAACGCAGAGGGAGCAAACCGTTGGGAGTGCAGAGTTCCTGTTCCCATGGGACTGCCCATGTCGCCGATATCCTCATGAACTTGTGGTCAACATGGCCGTTGGGGGCTTGGTGCCCGTTTGGCTAGCACTGCTCCCAGAAACAACATTGCTCGAGTATACAGTTTTGTCTTTGGGCAGTGTTGTGATTCGTGCTTTAGTGAGTGTAGGCTGGAACTCCGACCATTGAGGCTTTCTTCAGCCTTCTTCCGTTGCACACTCAGAGCAGACTTGTTTCTTTGGCAAGACTGGTGCTTATTCCCGAAATCATTCCCTCTGCACACCTTCTACATTCGGTGGCTTCTACATGGCCCCAAGCATTCTCAACGCAGAAGTTGGTCCCAGGGCAGCGATGGCAGAGTTGATTCCAACATCAAACTCTGACGTGCAGCAGAAAGCCAAGTCAGGCACCACCAAGTCCTTTGAAATGTGGCTCTCAGCTTGCTTAGAAGATGTTGAGTCATGTGTTGAGTCTGACAGAACAAACATGCAAGGTGTTCTTACGCTGATTGTATCCGATGCCGTCTGGAATCAAATGGAAACTGTGAGAGCCCAATAGACGAACAGTATATGTTCCCAGAAGCACACGGCCATTCTGCTATTGTGAGTTTTTTCAGGATGCGACATTGAAGGTTTAAGCAGGTCTTATCAGTTCATAGTTGCACTTTTAATATGCTTCAAACATGTTGCAAGCTGCAGGTAGACTCAAAGAAACAAACATATCATAGACAGGGCCAGAGCGAAACCGAAGCATCACTTGCGCTCCTTTAGGCACACGGCGATTCCATAAATCTTCAGAGTGCTTGGATTCCGGCAATGCGGGTTGAAGTACATCGCAGCAGTTCATAATTTGACTCTTTATATGGCTCATGGACGCCCGGATTTCGATAGTCCTGTGGTTGTCCGAGCCTGAACGCTATGTGTCACTGTCACGCATTTTTCGCGGTATCGATAAGTCCTCATATTGATGCAAACGCATCGCTTTTTCTTTTTCTTCAAGAATGCCATGTTTTTCTGGGCTGATGCAGGATGATGCCTTTCATGCCGGAGGCACGCGGTTTTTTTGTGCTGTACAATATGCTCTTAATGCTGGCAATCGGTTGCAATTAGTTGAGAGACTTGGAACACGTAAAGTGGCACAAGACAAGGACAAGATTTTGCGGACAATGGTGCCCAACATGATACATTCGCATACATCAGGACTTGCGTTTTTTATCGCGCCGCACATTGATCGCCTTTTGAGTGTTTTTTTGATGAATGTGGGATTGCATTTCAGGCTGGCATGGTGATTGGCAAAGTGTTGGAGGACGAGAAAGAAGAACGCGACAGCTGGTGCAATCAGAATTGACGGAGACAATTGTCATGCGACAGTAGGCAAAGAAACGTCAAGACGCTTTTATACTTTAAGTTTCACCTTCATAATACATTTGGGCTAGATTGGATTGCATTTTCTGACGGATTGCTAACCCATTGCAGGAGAGCGATCGCAGTGATGCCGCAAAGGCGACAACGATCTATGGTTCGTGTTGTCAGGAAACGCTCCATTTCCATAGAACATGTGGAACAGACTGGATTGCAGTTCTGACGGAGTGCAAACTTATTGCAGGTGAGTTTCCTGAGCGATGCCGAAAAGGTGACAACGATCAATGGTTCGCCTTGTCAGGATTGGTCTGAATGCACGTGACAGTTGCATCTGTTGGTTTTACCGATGAAGTTTCGGGTAGCATTTGGGACAGATCGGGTTGCATTGTGTCACGGAATGCTAACCTACTGCAGGAGAGAGATTTCAGTAAAGCCGCAAAGGCGGCAACGATCTATGGTTCGCCTTGTGAGGACATTATAGGACATTTTCTATCTGTAAGAATGCATGTGACAGTTGCATCGTTTGGTTTTACCGATGAAGTTTTATTTCATAGCACATTTGGGACAGATAGGTTTGCATTCTGTGACGGAGTGCAAACCAACTGCAGGCGAGTGCTCTTAGCGATGCCGAGCAGGTGACAACGATCGATGTTTCGCGTTTTGGAACTAGAGTCATACTGTGAGATACCCCGGTTTTGGAGTTACTCCGGTTCCAAGAGACACCCCGCTCCGTGAGATACTGCTTCTCTTTGAGATACTCCGGCTCCTTGAGATGCGTCCTCTCCTTGCGATATTCAGCTTCAAGACATACTGCTGGTTTCTTGAAATAGCCCGCCTCCGTGAACAAATCCGTTCCTTGAGCTACCCGGGCGAGCGATGCATACCCCTTGTTAGTGAGATACCCCGTCTCCTTGCGATATCGCGACTTCTTGAGATACTTCGTCTCCTTGAGATACCTGGCTCTTTGAGATACGCAAGCGGAATTTCTTTGGGATGCTGCAAGTACCGTTCTAGTTGGGAATATATCACATCCTCTCATCCGATAGAATTGCAAGAATCATCGCACAAGCCACGTTGTTTTATTATACTCGTAGAGCTTGGCACGCCGGCTATGCCTGTAGGGGTCGGGGCAGGGGAAGAGAGAGGGGGATTCATCTGAACTTGCGGACATGAGATGCTGCGAGCTGCATCTTGCTGCAGAGCTGGCATTGTGGCTGCAGAGTTGCTGTTGCAGCGCGAAGCACGTTTCGTCGTCGTCGTCGTCGTAGTCGTTGTCGTCGTCGTCTTTGCTTTTTTTTCTTGTTGCTGCTTGTTCCTGTTGGTGTTCTCGTTGTTCTCTTTGTGGTTGATACTGTTTGCAAACCAATGAAAATCATGAAAGAGGTGGTTTGTGCAAACTTCCAAACAGCGCCAAATAGGCGGTGTTTACGCGATTGCTGACGATCTCGGAACAAAAAACACCGTAAAGACAGACGTTGTTGACTCCGCGCCAGCGCAAAACAACTTTTTTTTTAAAATGAGATTTTGAGCCTCTGCTAGCAAAAATCACGGTATTTACAGTGTTGTGTGGCCCGGGGATAGCAGAAACACTGGTATTTACGTAGTTTCCGGTATGTTGACACAACCTTTTTTTAAATGCCAAAGGCACAAGAACATTGTAAACCACACAATTTCTACGCGTGGACAGCACTAAAAAAAGACGACAAATCCGCAAAAGATCGACCAAAGAACGCTGAACAAGGACCTCCAAAACGCATCTTCGAATTGAACCCTCTTTTTTCCTACCCCATTCTTTGTAAAGACTTCTTCGTGTAAAAACGTCTATGTGTAAAAGTTCCGAGACGTTTGAGTGCAAAAGCCCCTTGGAGTAAAGGCTTCTCGGTCTAACACCTTCTGTGTGTAAAAAGTTCCTTTTTGTAAAGCCTTCTCGGTGTCAAAAAGCCTTTGTGTGTGTAAAAGCTTCTGTGCGTCTCCTTCCTCCAGCTTTCTTTCGGGTCACGCCGTGGTCCAGTTAACAGCGCACAAAGTGCTGTAATTGACAGCATTTTGCGCTGTCAGATGGCAAGAACCCGCGTAAATACCATTATTTTTGTATCCGAAAGTGGCTAGAACACTGTTATTTACAGGGTTTACGTTGACATCACGATCTTTGATTATCTGAAATACGCGCAAATACCACAAAAAGTGCAAAAAATGCTGTAATTTATAGAGGGTTTGTCGCTCTCACAGGGAAAAAATACGTAACTACCAGCATTTCGGCAGCCACGAGTATTATCTTCTGGTTTTATGGCTGCATGGATCTAAGTAACTGTGCAATAATACATACATACATATATATATATACAATATTATACAATATAAACATATTATATTTTTGGCTCTATAATTACACACATAGTGTTGCGCCGCACAGGTGCATAGTTGCTCCGCACAGGTGCATGATATATTATCAAAGTATACGGGGCCCTTGTTTTTTAGATCCCCCACCTTGTTTTTTTTGACCCCCCTCTCCCCACCTTTTTTTTTTGGACCCCCTGAAGTTGTTTTTTTTATTTTATCACCCACTGTGTTTTCGAAACACGTCCGAAACAGCAAGACACAACCTAATTGCGTGCCCAAAACGTAGCAAAGGAACCCCAAAAAAGCGCCTACACTTCTGAAACTTTATAATACTATAAAATAATCGAACCAACAAAACACTACCCAACAGCGTGCTGTGTCAGAAACACTTTCTCCCTTACGCGCTCTCCCTTGCGCAGCTGGGGTCGGCGGATATCCAAACACATGTCAGATTTGATCAGACCCAGGAAGTCTCTGAGCAATGCCAGTACTGTTTCTTATGAGGCACGTAGTAGTAAGCATTTTGATGCATGCTCTCATGACAGGCTGAACCAGGCCTCCATGGAATTAAAAACAGCGGCAACGTATGCTACCTGATCAGCATACTGCAAGCGCTGGCGCCCGCATCTTAGCGTTGTTTTCCCAGTGTTCAAGATTTGAGGATAATTGCATCCTTTGGTTGTTCCGGCGCAATGGATTAAACCACACTGCCGGAGAGAGATGATTCCGTATTAATCCAGCCTTTTTAAGTTTGTACCTAACTAACTTAAAGTGCCAAAACAACATCAGAAACATAGTTTGGAAGCACAGCACGGCAGGCATCTTCGTGCAATGTGGAGAAACGTGCTGGCATTCACCTGCGCCTCGCGAGACCCTTGGGACTTCCACGGATTGCAGCGGGCTTGTTCGGTCAAAGTCTGCTTAGGCCCAAGAAGAAGCTTTCCTTTGAATATGGCAAGTTTCAGGCCTGATGTAAGTGCTGGGAATTTGATTGCGTGTGATCCTGTCAGATCTCTGATGCAGGAGGCCCTGTGGAGTACAGATCTCCGCTTGCCTCCCGACCCAGCTGACCTGGCGAAATTGTTGGAAACTCGGTGATTTGAGTGAGCTTGCGGGCAAATTCTCCGGCATTTTGCCACCATGGTTTAAGGCTCGGACTGCAACCGAAGGTGCAGCAAGATGCTCAGGCCATGTAGTACTTATGCAACATCGCGTGGCACTGTGTTTACTTCCGATAGATGGATTTTGGACAGGAAGCACTTCATGGATTGCTAGATGGGTTGATGGAGGAGCAGGCGCTTGACTGCTTCTAGACTAGCTGTACAGAAACAATAAACTCACTGCCGTACAGTGTTTTTGACAGGGTGGGTGGTTCCAAGAAGCTTTCCAGGCACGCACGGAGCCAATTGACTTCAAACTCTTCACAGTGAAATGTACTGTCAATGTTGCAGTCTTTGAGTTGCATTTGTCTCGGTGCGAATCCCTTTTGTTGATCAGGTGGCGACATCCTCTTCAGTCAAGTGCGCATCTTGTCATCACGGTGCAGAAGAGGTCATCGAACCCTTCACGAGGATTGTGGTGCCTGTCTGGGAAAGTCACACGCAGCTGCAAGATGGACTCAACCAGTGGGCTGCTCCCGATGTCATCCAGGATTCGAGGCTTGGTCACTTGCTGTTCTTCTGACCAGAATCTGTCGCACTGTGTACGTAGGGAGTAAGCTCAGCGGCCTTCTTCACTTCTGCTTCCAATTTTCGATGTGCTTTAATTTCTAGTGCTTCTTTCCTGCAGTGTTAGATATTCACGGTCGCTGCGCGACGAAAACCGACCGCACCAGGTGGAATGGATTCTGGAAGCCCACGTGGGCTGTAATGTTGCAGGATTTTTGGCCATATTGAACGTTTTTATAGGCACTTATTGGACACTTTTTAGCTTCGCATGAGGCTATCTTAGGCTATGTTGGCCCCATTTGAGGCTACGTTGGCCCCATGTGAGCCTATCTTAGGCATGTGTTGGCACTATGTTGGGCCCATTTTGACCCTGTTTTGGCTTATACAATATTGGCCTAGACGAAGAATTTTGACCCCTTTTGAAAAACATGCCAAACACACAGCAGTCTAGAGCAAAAAGCATCCCCACCAGGCTGGCAATAGCTACTATTTAATTGCTGACGGAGAATGCGGGCACACAAAACAACGCCTCGGCACCTTCAGTGCGAGCGGATTTGATGGAGACATTTGTCCTTGATGTAGCGGTGGGATCCGTTGGGATGTTATGATAATGTATTGCGAACACACAAGGTCGGACAGATTTGCAGGTGCACTCTTTGTGGGGAAGCGAAGAGCCAGACGACAAGGCTTTCTATGTTGCCGGAGGCACACCCGCTAAGTTTGCAGAGGACGTGCAGCAGTCAGATTCTAGCTTGGTTACGGGAGGTTGCAGGAGGTTACGGGATAGTCAGATTCTATCTTGGCTACGGGATACTCAGATTCTAGCTTGGTTACCCAATACTCAGATTCCAGAGATTCTAGACTCAGATTCTAGATTGGTTATGGGAGGTTAAGGGAGGTTACGGGAGGTTACGGGAGGTTACGGGATAGTCAGATTCTATCTTGGCTACGGGATACTCAGATTCTAGCTTGGTTACGGAATACTCAGAGTCCAGAGATTCTAGACTCAGATTCTAGCTTGGTTACGGGAGGTTACGGGAGGTTACGGGAGGTTACGGGAGGCTACGGGAGGTTACGGGATAGTCAGATTCTATCTCGGCTACGGGATACTCAGATTCTAGCTTGGTTACGGAAGACTCAGATTCCAGAGACTCTAGACTCCGATTCTAGCTTGGTTACGGGAGGTTACGGGAGGTTACGGGAGGTTACGGGATAGTCAGATTCTATCTTGGCTACGGGATACTCAGATTCTAGCTTGGTTCTGGAATACTCAGATTCCAGAGATTCTAGACTCAGATTCTAGCTTGGTTACGGGAGGTTACGGGCGGTTACGGGATAGTCAGATTCTATCTTGGCTACGGGATACTCAGATTCTAGCTTGGTTACGGGAGGTTACGGGAGGTTACGGGATACTCAGATTCTAGCTTGGCTACGGGATACTCAGATTCTAGCTTGGTTACGGAATACTTAGATTCCAGAGATTCTAGACTCAGATTCTAGCTTGGTTATGGGAGGTTACGGGCGGTTACGGGATAGTCAGATTCTATCTTGGCTACGGGATACTCAGATTCTAGCTTGGTTACGGAATACTCAGAGTCCAGAGATTCTAGACTCAGATTCTAGCTCGGTTACGGGAGGTTACGGGAGGTTACGGGATACTCAGATTCTAGCTTGGCTACGGGATACTCAGATTCTAGCTTGGTTACGGAATACTTAGATTCCAGAGATTCTAGACTCAGATTCTAGCTTGGTTATGGGAGGTTACGGGCGGTTACGGGATAGTCAGATTCTATCTTGGCTACGGGATACTCAGATTCTAGCTTGGTTACGGAATACTCAGAGTCCAGAGATTCTAGACTCAGATTCTAGCTCGGTTACGGGAGGTTACGGGAGGTTACGGGATACTCAGATTCTAGCTTGGCTACGGGATACTCAGATTCTAGCTTGGTTACGGAATACTTAGATTCCAGAGATTCTAGACTCAGATTCTAGATTGGTTACGGGAGGTTACGGGAAGTTACGGGATAGTCGGATTCTAGAGATTCTAGGCTCAGATTGCTCAGATTTTAGCATGGTTACGGGATACTCAGATTCTAGAGATTTTAGACTCAGATTCTTGATTGGTTACGGGACAATCAGATTCTAGAGACTCTAGACAATCTAGACTAAGATTCTAGCTTGGTAACGGGAGGTTACGGGTGGTTACGGGATACTCAGATGCAAGGGATTCTAGCCTCAGATTCTAGCTTGGTTACGGGATACTCACATTCTAAAGATTCGACAGTTAGATTCTAGCTAGGTTACGGGAGGTTACAGGAGGTCACGGGGTACTCAGATTCTAGAGATTTTAGACTCAGATTCTAGCTTGGTTACGGGATAGTCAGATTCTAGAGATTCCAGACTAAGATTCTAGCTTCGTTACGGGATACCCGGATTCTAGAGATTCTAGACTCAGATTCTAGCTTGGTACTGTGAGGTTACGGGAGGTTACGGCATACTCGGATTCTAGCTTGGTTACGGGAGGTTACGGGAGACTCAGATTCTAGCTTGGTTACGGCAGGTTACGGGATACTCAGCTTCTAGAGATTCTAGACTCGGATTTTAGCTTGGTAACGGGATACTCAGATTCGAGCTTGGTTTCGGGACATTCAGATTCTAGAGATGATAGACTGAGATTCTAGCTTGGTTGCGGGAGGTTACGGGAGGTTACGGGATATTCAGATTCTAGAGATTCTAGACTCAGATTCTAGCTTGGTTACGGGATATATCGATTCTAGCCAGCAGGTGTTGATCTTGCAGCTCGCCCGCTTTGCCTATTGCAAAGATATGGGCGTGTTCATCACTCAGCTCTATTAGCTAGAATCGAATGGCGAACGCAAGCAAAATTATAAAGTGTTCTTTGCTTTTCTGTCAAGGCAGAAGAAAGAGAGGGCTATCCAGTCTTGCGCTTGGTTTCTGATGGCTGTGACTTTGGCAGTGAACCATGCTTGCCAGCGAGCCAGAAATCCGCAGGCTACCCCTTGCGTTGGATGTTGATCCGTGGATGGCAAGGGGTTGCGAGGGCGCCCGCTACTCGCTGGCATCTGCTGGGCTCTCGGCCCGTTCTTGTCCGGCAAAACTGCAGACTACGTATTTTGCCCTTCAGGTTGTGAGCCATCATGGCCCAGTTCCAGATGCTGGTCACTACTCAAGCACGGTCTTGGTGGACACAAATTGGTACACTTTCAATGATGACGTGGTGGGGCGGCCTGACCGTCAACCCATGTCCAGAAGAGTGAAACTCCTATATCTTTAGTAAAGCTCAGGTCACAAGAACTGAAGCGCCAACGCACGGCGACGAGGCCAGATGCCCCTGTGGGACGCAGCACAGGTTTGATACATCACGCGGTCGATTAGGCTTACATACTGTTCTACGTCCGCGAGCCTGCTCAGGCAAGCTGTGTGTTTCGTTGTGTCATGTTTTTCAGACTATGTCAAGCTAAAACGGCTGTCATTGTTTCATTTTTCGCATGGTAACTCTGGGGAGTGATGACTTTCCATCTTGAACAGTTTGCATTGTTGCGAGTGCATTGTGTGAGGTGTCACTGTCGCCCGAGAAGGAAAAGCCTCGGATGTTGGAGTACGACCAGGCGGTGGTCTGTTTGATAGGATGTGCCGAGCTGTGATCTGAGAAAAAAAACGTTCCACATAAATAGGTTCTCTTACGAGCGGGGCGTGAGCTACTAGCCCCTTGTAAGAAGTTTGTAGTGCGAAAGCCTTCCGGGCTATGTTGGAAAAGGCTTGCGTCACGTTTAGGCATATTGTGTTTTCCGCGGAAGTTGCGTGAAATTTGGATATTATGAATCATTGGTTGTATGCATTACAGCTTGTTAAGGGCCACCACCTCCTTCTGCGCCGGGGTCGAGCAGGGGTATGGAACCGAACCATAAATAGCAGCCAAGCTTGCGAAACGAAGCGAGATACCATGGTTTTCAAGCACATCCTTGGACTTGCCGCTGGTATAGCCAAAAAATGCTTTCTGAAGTCTCGAGAAACAATCCTCAAGTGCCGCAGCCAGCTGCAGCAGGGGAAGCGTTGCGAGAGCCAAACACCAAGGCCATTGGTTTTGTTTCTTTTCCTCTGATGCGATCCTGCTGCTGGCTGAATTTTTCGGCTCGCGGTGGAGCTGGCAATGCTTCCTTCCAACACAAAATCCGGCTGTCCGCGGACTGGTTTGAACGCTTGCAATACAAAGTTTGGCTGCTGGGCATTGTTTTGAAGGCTTCAATGTTTCGAACAGACGGACTACAGCTGTCCGAGGAATGGTGTCGACACTTCCACTAAAAATTTTCGGCTCTCCGAGGAATGATTAGACAGCCGCCAAGTAAGACTCCCGGCCAATGCAGACTTCATTTTTTTTCGAGCTATAGTTTGCAAATTTACACCGCTGACGCTCTCAAAAACAGGGAACTGGAGAGTTCCAGCAAGTGTGTATGTGGAAATAGAATGGGATCACGAGCTCCAGCGGGAGTGTCTTTTTCGAAATGAAGCGGGCTTGCATTTGGATTTAGAGTGGAATGGCCAGTGGAATGGAGCTCCAGTGAGCTTGTATTTCAATATAGAGTGAACTGTCTTTTCTTGTTTCTCCAAATTAGACAATTGCAAGTTACGAATTAATTTGATAGTTTGTTTCCTCTGTTACTGGCTCAACGTGTTCCGTGGGTGCTTATTTTCCATTTTGTCGTGGTGATTGTGGTTCCTTCTCGCTTTTCTGTCTCAAGGATGCGTGCCGTCAAAGAGCCGAGAGGCAGCAGCGCGAGGTCCTGAGAATAATTCGGATGTTGAGAAGACCTGGGAGGGAGAGAGAAAGAGGGGTTGTTGTCGTGAGGTTTGTTTGAAGAGCAGCTCAAAGTAGCTGTGGAGAGACAGCGAGAGCGTGGGGAGGACATTGCATCAGAGCAGTTGAGTGCTGCTAGACTCCTTTTTTTTTTGGTCGAGTCTAGGCTAATATTCATGCAGGATATGCGTATGCGAACAGAGGAAAACCTGCAGCGTGGGCCTCTTAGATTTTATCCTCGCACGGAGCCCGGCCATGGTCAGGATGTATGTTAGCTATCTGGCATTTTTTTTTGTAACTGCTTCGACATTAACTATGCCTGAAGCGAGGTTGGCACGAGAGAGCTGCCCAGAGGTTGCTGGAATGCGCAGAGGAAGTAGAGCAGACAATGTTGCACCGAAATCAGCAGTGGTTTGTGAGATGTCGTACTTACTCTAGGACGAACGGATGTCAAGAGAGGAACGACAGCAAAGTCTGGTCCTCAAACTACGTTAGCATGGGATGAGCAGCTTCGGAACGATTGCTTCTTCTGCATAGAGAGATATCATTTATGGACACGACTCGATTTAGTACGAGAGTATCGATGGTGTATGAGCCTATGTATGACATGGGGAAAGATGGCTTGAGGATATGTGGCGGCGTTGCGAGACGCCGATGCGAAGTTATCGAGGATCCTAGAGGACATGAGACGTCACGGGGCACCTTTTTTGTTGGACAACTCCACCTGCCCCTGCAGGAATTGCTACTGGAGCGAGAGGAGGCGCATGAGCGTGACGTGCTTAGTGTGTAGTTGATGCCCCGAAAGTGTTTGGCCAGAGTGTTGGCACGAACCGAACGAAAGGCTGTTGACCGCTCATCTGTAGCCAAAAGGAACCATTGGAATGCATTGATTTTGTGAGGTTACACGATGCCACAAAAAACCGGAGAATTTGTACTGAAACAATTGGAGGAGGAGACCGATCAGCTGAGCGCAACTGAATTGCTTAGCATATTCTGTGCATCGTTTTTAACATTTTATGACCGACATGTGTTGTGTTTCAGCTCACACGTTTTGTGCCTCCCTTGACAAGAGGATGCGCAAAGACGAAGAGACTCGCATCTGGCAATACAGCCTGCAATGCGTGAGCCTCTGTGATCGCTGAGAATAACTTCCCTAACGGAACATCTTATTCCTGATGATATGCCAGTAGTACCCGCACGAGATGGGGTGGGAGTTGCCGTAGGGTTATACTATCACAGTCAGACTTTCTCATCTATAAAACTTTCTCACCTATAAAGTCGCCAGGCAGGCTCCCTTGTGCATTTTAGTTGTCCAAGAACACGACCTATGCGCAACCGCGGTGCTAAGAAACGCTTTGCGTTCCAAAGCTTAGACTTCACCCTTCTAGGTCATGTGTTCAGGTATCCTCACCCATACACATCGCATGCAACAGTCATGCAGCCATCATAATACAATACGTTTTCCAGCATGACGTGGCTAGCTCGCAGCTCTTATAGCGCATGGCAACAAAGCGTGACAACAATCATGCAGTTGTTACACGGCGCTCTGCAAGCGCACTTTCCAAGACACCTTTTAACTGCCCATCACCATTTGTTGCAGAATACCAACGGAGAATGCGGACCAATGCAATCATCCTTCCTTTGGTCTGTCTGTGTCTGCGCGTGTCCGAAACATCCGAATAGATGGAAAACCACTGCGTTGTTTTTTCCTTGGCTTCTCTCGTTGTACTTATTCATCGTGATGTCGTGGTTTTACTTTTACGGTCTCAGGGGGATGGAGAAGACATCTTGGCTATGGCCATGGTACCATTTTGATACTTTCTCGAGTCGTTTCACTGACCCATTCCTTGTTATAGGTGTAACTGCAGTGTTTTTGCATGTAAGATGCATTCCACAGCAGAATTCGTACTGATTGTTCTGAGAAAGTGTGCGTGTATGTATGACTGTGTGTGCATGTGTGCGACTGCTCTCTGGCGACAGCAGATGGTTGTGTTTGTGTGTCTGTCTGTCCGGCTGCGTGCCTGCCTTCCGGCCACGCCTGCCACGCAACCAACTCTAGGTCACCACGCCCGAGGTCACCACTACCCTCTGTCACCACTTGCTTTCTTTCCTTTGTCACCACATCTATTCGTCACCATCCTCTGTCATAGTCACCACCTCCCTTCCACTGTCCTAACACCAAGTCACAGAACACCTGCTCAAGTCGCTTTCCGAGTTGACATATGCGGGACTGCGAATCCGCGTTCCCGAGGGACAATTGCTTACAAGGGTTCAATGAGCACCTGGCACAGGCTCGGTGGCTAGTTCGATAGTTCAGCAGCCGTGTCATATGCAGTGCCGGAGAGCACCAGACAATGGAGTTATTGCTTTTTTTCTTGGCAATTGATGTTAGGTGGACGAAATCTATGACGCTTGCTTCGCGCAGTTCCAGAAGGTGTGCGTATGCTACTTTTTTCGATGTAGCAGGAAGACAAGAATGACCGTATGCCGTCCCATTGTGCCTCCTCACGTGACCGATGCAGCAGGATGTTGGCGCGCAGCCAGACATGGGCCGGTCCCCGAGGCGCACAGCACTTGGATGTTGTTCTAATTTAACTTTGCGTTCAGTGTGTGTAGTCTTGCGAGGTCTGTGGTGGCTGCAGAGCTTCGCAGGGACGGTGAGGCTGCAAAATTGCAAGCGCTGGCTCTGCTTTCACGCCTGCATGTCTTCCTTTGGTTGAGGCACTGGGTGTGGATATTGGAAAAGAGATGAGAAGCGAGGAGGCCATTGGGGGGTTTTCTTATTCACCCTCACAGTTTGAAAAGGTCAGAAAATTTCCGAGCAGCCAAGTCTATTTGCCCTTTGGATTGTCCAGGTAGGGCACTGCTTATGTGAGGTTCCGCCAGACAAAAGTGAGCAAGAAACAGGTGAGAAGGCACCTGACGAGCCAAAGACATGTGAGGCGGCACGGGGCCTGACTGTTGTCACTTTCAAGTTCATTCAACCAAGTCGACTTGAAGGCTGACAGGATCCTAGCGGACAATTTTGTTTGCGTTTTTGAACTTCCAGGTAGGGCACTTCTCATCTAGGTTCCAAAGAGAAAACGAAGAAAAGGAATGGAGGAGAAAGATAGGGATGAGGCTTGGGAGTATTGTATCCATTTATTGGCAGGCCTCCTTGCAGCGGTTGTTGCATGGTGTGGCCCACAATGCTTGAGCCGTGGAAGTGATGGAAGAATTGTGTTTCTTGTAGAGAAGCATGCTCCCAAGCAAAGAGCTAATGGCATCCCAGGGAATTGAGCATATCAGGGCCGCCAAAAAAGTTTGACTTCCTGCGGCCAAGCTTGGCTCATGTTGTCACCGCGGTCTCAGGAACCCCCGAAAGCGTTGGCGAAGACAAAGGGCGCGAGCACGGCCAAGGCAGGGCGATGGGAGCTTAGGAAACGTGAAACAATTGGGCCTTGGGGCCCGACTCCGCTTGGCTCACTCAAGAATCTCAGAGGACACATGGGGATTCATGAATTGAGATCTGCAGGCATACAGAATGGTAGGAATTTCGTGTCGCATGGTGTGGCCACAACTGTTGGGGCGTTTATGATTTTTCCAAGCAGCGAGCACATTGCATCTCAATGACTTTGGTATAATGGGGCCAAATGGTTACACTTCCTGCGGCCAAGCTTGGCGGATGTGTCACAACGGTATCAGGCAGCCCCAAAAGCCTTAGTGAAGAAGGCGGCCGCGAAGAAGGCCAAGGCAGGGCGACGGGAGCTGGAGAAACGTGGAAGACTTGGGGCTTGTTGCTCGACTCTGCTCTGCATTCGAGACCTAGGTCAAATCTTGGCCAGGAGGTTACGGGAAGGTTACGGGACGTTACGAGAGGTTACGGCAGTTTACGGGATACTCAGATTCGAGTTTGAGATATTCAGATTCTAGTCGGGTTCTAGTTTGAGATACTGCTAGCCTGAGAGGTTACGGGAGGGCACGGGAGGTACTCGGATTCTAGCTTGAGATAGCTTGAGATTTTGAGATTCTAGCTTCAAATACTTGGATTCTAGCTTGAGATACTCAGACTCTGGCTTGAGATACTTCTAGCGTGAGATGGCCGGCTATTGAACTTCCCTTCTGGCATCATTGGGAAATGGCCGTTTTGGGCCGAACCCTGGTCGGGAGGTTACGGGAAGGTGCCGGCAGGTTGCGGGAGGTTACGGGAGGTTACGGGCAGGTGACGGGAAGGTAATGGGAAGGTTACGGGAGGTATCGGGAGGTACTCAGATTCTAGCTTGAGATACTTCTTGCCTGAGATGGCCGGCTATTGATTTTCTCTTCCGGAATCATTGGGATGCGGCCCTCTCGGAGGCACATATCATTCGAAAAAATCATCGTTTTTCTTGATTTTCCTGACTCCTTCTCTTCCATCTCAGATTCTCTTCTAGTTACTCTTCTCTGTCTCGGCTTTTCATCCGAAGCTTGACTTCTAAACTACCAATTCGATTATGGCTCGTCCAACTTGGGGAACCCCAAAAAAACATGCGGAGGCGAAGCCCAAAGCCCAAGCGAAGCCAAAGGCCAAGACGGTGCTGCCACAGGTTCCACTCCAGTGCAGTTGCGGTGCCACAACTGACACCGCAACGTGGGGCAGATTCCGTTATTTCATACAGGGAGAAGAACGTGTTCCCGAGGGAGGAAAGTGTGCCTTATGTGCTAACTCAGTGCCTGGACTGCGTCTGATTTGAGGTATGGTCAACATTCCGGTTGGCGTTTTCCTCTTTTCTCTCTCCTCCTCTCCCTTCCCTTTCTTTTCTTCTTCCGTTCCCTCTTCCTGTCCTCTTCCGTTCCTCTTCCCGTCCTCTCTTTTCCTGTTCCATTCCTCTTCCTTGGCACTTTTTGGGCAAAACCATCTAAAAGCAGTACCCAAATTTTGGGAACCAAGCAAAAACACGGAGTGCCGACAGCAGCTCATGTGTTGAATGTTGTTGCTCGTGTTTTTCTTTGGAGGTCGGTTGCGAGCTAGAGAGGTTGTTACGACACACATCCGGTCTGAATTCCTGATTTCCGAGAATGTCTGGAGAACGCATTTCGGTTTGATTCTATACAGCCAAGGCACGGCGCACGAAGAGGAAAGACCAAAAGTGAAAAGAAAGTGACGGCAAAGAAAGTCACTCATCAATTGATTGTCCTGGCCGTGCACCCTGTTGACCTGTTGCAACGGAAACATCTTGGTAATTCATTCTGGACGACTGTGCTCTGTCGGATAAAGTCACTTGTTCTCCGGCTCCTTTTGGCTCTCATCTCATGCAAATCGTTGTGACTGATCCAGACCTATGGAGGAAAATAAATCCAAATTGCTTCGATGTCCAAAAAATCGCAAGGAACACGTATGCCAAATCAAGGTTCTGGAGAACAGCCATCTTACCCTTCTGAGACGCTGCACAATGGCCCTGCTGTAATCGCATGTCTGCCCCGGGCCTTCGGGGACGACTTTGTTTGGAAAGGCCTCCGCTTGGTGATGTTGGGGCCTGAGAGAGATAGAGAGAGAAGTCAGCACCCAGTCGCTTGCCACGAAAAGATGACAGACGGAGCCGGGATTGCTGCAATATTGGAAAATGACAGTGATGAGGCAAACTCCACGGTCCCCGACAACTCCCGTAACGTCGGTTTACACTGTGGAATCAAAGGCAGGTGTTCGCACTTTAGGTAGTGACAACCGTGTTCAAACCATTGCTAGAAGATGAGAGGACTGTTTGGGGGGGCCTCTGGCATCGCAAGGCCGATGTCATTGATTTGGATATGGACAATGATGCAGAGGAGGGACATGCAGCAAAGCGGCGACTGAAGCACTTGGATTCGTCATGTGGGATATGCTGCTCGCACTGATCTCCAGTTGCAGGACGTGAAGATGACAAGGAGCGTGCTTCGCCTGGTCCTCACTGCCGCCATGGTAGTCGTTGGGTGGGAGGACCTCGTAGTGTCCCACAAACCAGGTGGAGGGCTCTCTAGAATTTAGATTCGGTATGCCCTCAAGATCGAAGTGTCTATAACCCACCCCCTGTGGGATTCCCGTTGAAGGTTCTAAAAGCATCACCGCCAAGATTTTAGGAGCAAACATGTTGAGGCTAGGTCATTGTTTTGGAGTGCAGACAGAGGAACCAAGTCGCGACGAGGTCTCTGCACAAAGGTGCAAACCATGTTTGGAATTAGCATCCCTGGTTTTGGTTCATCAAGATTTCCATTCTCAAAACAAGGTGGTTTCCGTGTCGCTTGGTGTGAAATTTTGAAAAATGGGAGCTAGAACGGTGTTGAGGAGCTGTAGCAATGTGCCATCTGTCAATAGGGTGTTGGAATTATGTCCGGCAACATCCGCAATTGAAAAAACACGCGCCGCCCCATTACGTCCAACCTCCCACACAATGCCAATGTTGTTTGGAAAGTGCAAATGCCAGGTCAAGTTGTGATGAGCAACCTGCAGTGATGGTTCTCTGTTTTTTTCACCCAACACCTCCATTCGTTAGATACCAACACTTTGGTTCAACCAGGCCGGTTGGAAAAAAGGACGCGGGTCTATCGTCATCTTCCCCAGGTTAGTGCGTGTCAAGTGCTTTTGGAGCTTGAAGGCAACCATTCTAGAATCCCAGGTGCTGACTGATGGCCAGCTATAAGCCAACTTAGCCGCTTAGCCGGTTTAGCCATCCTTTGACATCCCTTCTACATTCTACATCCTTTTGCACAATCTTTAGATACTAACACTTTTGGTTCAACCAAACCGCTTGGAAAGAAGGACGCGGGGACGCGGGTCTACAATCACCTTCCCCAGGTCAACGCGTGTCAAAATGCGTTTGGAGCTTGAAGGCCACCATTCTCGAACCCCATAGTTCTGACTGATGGACAGCTGCAGACCAACTTATCCGCTTAGCCATCCTTTGGCACCTCTTCTACATTCGACATCCTTCCACATTTTATAGCTTACAGGAACACGATCCCAGAATCTTACCGCTCCGTCGACTGTAAGGTTCTGGCATGCTCTCCGTGGAGAGATCTGTTTTTTTTGGAACTTGATTCTAGACCCCAAATTTGGGGTTCTAATTTGTCGGACAAGGGGGTTTGTTTCATATTGACGCCATGATTTGGTTCCAGTTCCTGGCAATGCTGCAAGTAAGCGCCAGTGATGATGTGAGGTTGCAGGGACAATCTCATAAAGCAGAGAGAAATGCACGAGGACATGGTGTGGAATTGCTTTTTTGTGGAATTGCTGTTGCATATAGAGGTACGATAGTATGCGCACAGTTTCGGACCACGCGTCCATTCCTGTCAGCCTTGAGTCTTTTGCTTGACCAACGTTTTGGTTCGTTCCGTTTGCGTTCACCTGCTTCATCTGGTTAAAGTGTGTAGCAGCAGCAACACATAGAGTCGGCGGAGGTGTCACTGAAAGCAACGACAGATGTCCTGCCAGGAGTCGTGCATGCGTAGCGAGGAAAAAATGCAACGTGAGACTCCCAATTTTTGTGAAACAGATGAGGGGGGTGAGGAATTTCTCAAAATTGTGACACATATAGCATATGTTCAGGATCCCCGAAAACAGTCTTGCAGTGTTGAAACCTTTTGCCACGCTGAATTGATGTTTTCAGCCGTGATGCAAGGTTGGGTGGAGAATCAAATGCAAGTTGAAAGAGAGCTTGATGAGGTCATGCCAAGCACGACTGTAGCATTTTGCCTTGTGATGCAGCCCTCCGGGCACAATCAGGCGATGCGTATGGACATATCTGAAAGACAGCAGCGTGAGGGCCTGAAGTGACCAGCTGCCTCAAAATTATCGCCAGGGTTGGTTCGCTAAGATTGACCTTTTGTTGCCGGAATCTGTAGTTGAAACCTATGCGGCAAAATGTTTTGTGCTGATTTGATACCTCTTAATTCTGAGAAAATGAGCTCCGGCGCCAGGTTGGATGGAGGGCGCAGCTCTTCAGCAACGTCAATGCAAGGAGGACAGGACTTTGGGAAGCAAGAGCTGGCCAAGAGAGAATTGTCTCGGCAGCGCGCCTTTAGTTTTGCAGGAGATGAATGCGGAACATGCGTACTGGCAGCAATGCAAGCGCCCTAAAGCCGAAGAGGGACAGCTTCCGGAGTGAACCCCTGAATGTGTGTGTTTTGGAATGAATGTCGAAAAAAGGTGAGGATAGATTGGAGTTTGTGTGACACTGCGAGGCTATGATGAGCAGATTCGCGCGATGCGTGACCATGTGCGAGAGAGCGAGGAGGACACGGAAACAGGAAGAAACCAGTTGGCTTGGAATAGCTTACCCTCTGGTAAACTAACATAAATTTGGAAAATCACATTTCTTTATGGGAAAATCCACTATACATGACCATTTTCAATAGCTATGTTAAATTGCCAGAGGGTATCCGTTTTTTTTATTGTGCTTCAGTGCAGGAGGTGAGTATGGAAAGGGCAGAAAAGTATCAACGTTCGCTGCTCATGCGATTGGAAACATGCAAGGCCATAAAGGATCCATTGCGACATGTAGCGAACAAGGCAAGCTGCACGTCGATATTGAGGGAGTGATTCAGCACTTTGAACAATTTATTGCAATAAACTCTGATGGTGGTTCGCAGATGACTGAGGCTGCGCGGAAATAATGAGGAGAGTCGCAGAAAGACAACTGGAGCTGAAGGAGTGCGGGTTCAACAGATGCAAAGTTTCAAACAATTTTCTCGTCCCACTCACCATTTTGAACCTGGTCTCTTCCGCGGTCGCGTCTCACATCTCGCAGGACGTCGACCAGATGAGATGGCAGCATGTGCAGAAAATGCAGGGATGCCTGTTATATCTGTTTGCTTGATTTATGAAAGGAGGAGGGATAATTACGTTATGATTTTGTTAAATCAACTTTGTTATTTTATTTGGGGATGCTTACTTTTCTGCTTTCCTACTTTTCCTGCTTTACTGGCGTTTTTTTCGATTTTATGCTTTTCCTGCTTCTCTGCTTATGTGCTATTCAGCTTTTCCTGTCTCTTTGCTTCTTTGCTTATCCTTCTTTTCCTGCTTCTCTGCTTTTCCTGCTTCTTTGCTTTTCTGCTGTTTTGCTTTTCCTTTTTTTCTGTTTCTTTGCTTCTCTGCATTTTGTCATTTCTTCTTTTTTGCTGCAACTGCTTCTCCGCCTCTCTGCTTCTCCCCTTTTCTTTCTTTTCTCTGTTCTGCTTCTCTGCTCATGTCTGCTTGTTGCTGCGCCCTGCCCCCAATCTCCCCTCGCTTTCTTATGTTCTGGACAATGTAAAACAACGTCACCAACGGCATCCTGAAAATACAACTTAGCTTCAGAAATTAGCTCGTCCCCATAGAAGGGAAACTGACGTCTGCAGCGCGTTCAGAAGCAAGTTCCCTATTTTTCCAGCTTTTCGATGGGCAAAGCCTGGACAGGCAGAAAGATCCTAGTGCATCAAACTAGGACACTGAGGTCTTCAGCGCGTTCAGACGCAAGTTCGCTATTTTGCTCGTTTTTGTATGGGCAGCTACGGCTGGAAAAAAAAAAGTTTCGAAAGGGTAAAGCTTGGACAAACATAACGTTGTGTCTGATTTCCAGAACATACCCATGCAGCGAATGAAGGGATCAAAGCAGGTCCTGTTGTCGTATTAGGCCGACATAAAATAATGCATTAATACAGGCAAAGTCAAAATTGCAGCGGCAAAATTATTCGTACCATGCGACGACCTGCGAAATATGATAGATTGTGTAGTTATGTTTCAACCCAAGCTTGTAAATACATTATTTGGGATTGGCATGATGATGTGGTGAACATGATGTTAACCATGGTAACCATGACCTTCGCCCGCAACTAGCAGTTTGGTGAACGAACCATCTCTGGAAAGCTCACAGGATTACATGTCAGAAGAGATGCTTGCATTCCGCTTTGGAGGAGGCGCTGCGCCCTCCCCCTCATCCCCCCTCCCGCTTTTGTATATTTAAACCTAAGCTCGTAAATACATTTGTTGGGGTTGGCTGCTTCCCGTGCCTGTTTTTGCCATGCCTGCTGTGACAATACCACATTGGCGCATGACAATTCCACCAAGCTGTTGCACTTCTAAAATACATGACTTTTCATGTCAGATGCATTTTGCACAGAGAGTGTGACTTGTGACTTGTGAGTGTGGAGTCATTGCAGCTCTTCTATTATCTCGCTTCCTTCAGATATCATCTTTCTTCCTAGCTCCCAAGATGATAGAGCGGTAATGCTCAGGAAAGAAAGTTGGCAGGTGTTCAAGGAACACCTCGAAGAGGTTGCTTGCCAAGACGCAGCAAAAGATATGTGCATGACAGTTGAGACTAAAGATATGTCATCTTCCTGATCCAGAGATAACAAACCGTGAGCGCAGGCTTTCCTGGCTAAGTTGAAAGAGGCCCGCCCAAATTTTTTGTGTTCATCTTTTTGTTGTCTATGGGATGGGAGCACCTTGCTCCCAGTTTGGACTACTTGCTATTGCAGTGTGCATATCGCAATCTGGTCCAGGAATTTGATGGAGAAATTGGTAGAGAGATGGGGATGGCAGCACCGGGTGCTTTCGGTTTTGTTTGCTTTCCACGATCTTCTCTGTTAATCAGCTCCCATCAGTCCATCCGTCAGCTCAATGCTCGCCGAGCAGGACGGTCTATCACGAAGGAGGGTCGCGTGGCCGGGCAAAGGGGGGGCTCTGAAGGTCCCAGAGACGCCCGCCTTAAACATCGAAATCACTGCGGAGAAGCTGCAGGAGGCATCTTGTTTTCTCAAAAGGGTACCATTGCCATAGCTAGTGCTAGAAGCAAGAAGTTGGAAGCTGACACTTTCCTTCAATTGGCCCCCGCCATCGTACCGGGGAGAAAACTAAAAAAGGGTCAGCAACTGACAATCGAGGGGAACTTGATATTGAGAGATCCAGTAGAGAGAATCGACATCAGCAGGTAGAAGTTAGACGCTTATTTGGATTTGTCACACACTAGACAAGAATGGATCATTATATGATCCGGCAGGAACTGAGTCCTGTGACATGCATATTAGATTAGTTACTAAGATAAGGATGAGTATATATATATATGGGACTATGGTGACCACCAGCTGCGTCTTACAATTGCGCCCAGGTGCGTCACCACAGTCCCGCGGGTACGTTTACACGGGTCCCCGGGAGGTGTCTTCGTTGGTCACCGGCCTCCCAGGGACCCCGGTGACCCCCCGCTTATAGATGTATATTAATAGAAGTTGTGCATCTGTACAGATGTGTCACAAACACACACATCCATCCTCCTGTGGGAGGGTGGAAAATTTAGGTCCAGACAAGAAGGTGAAATAGAACATGAAAGGAAATGACGTATCTGAGGTGAAGATGCACATGAGATGAAAGTTACCTAACCGAGACGCGAAGGGGGAAACGCAAAAGAAGAGAGAAGGAGCAAACACCAACACAAGCAAACCTGGTCCAAAGCGGGCAAACCCCCCGAAAGGACAAGGGAAAGGAAACGCGGAGGCCGACGGACACGGAAGAAGACTAGCAGAGGGGGTAAGTAGAAAGGGGGAGCCCAGACTAACCTACCACAGCGAAACGCGCGCCGACCGAAGCACGCGCAGAACCCAACTTACCTGCAACAAGGAGAACACATGAAATAGGGGACGTATGGGGACGGATTAGTGATGAGAGGCATCGAAAAAATATTCAAGATTTCCGATAAGGCTCAAAGGCCCTTGGTCGTCAAGTCAAACCCATGAACGGGTGTCAGTGCTCGCGATGCATGAAGTGCACAATTGAACTTCACCAGAAACCGTCAAGAGAAAGAAAACCACACCTAAAGTCATGTACCTGCCTAGGCATTCCAGCATGAAGCACATGTTAACTCATGCTTGTCTTTCAAACGATCGAGCAACGAGGGGAAGGACAGTTACTTTGGAAGAAGCTGACATGGGGAATTATCTGGTTCTTCAATCTGAAGGGCCGAACAATGTTACTTTTGGTTGTGCTTGCCGGTGCAGGCAATTGCGACTCTTCAAACGCTCAAGACTAAAAGCCCACGGGAGGCTCTGCTCTCACAGTCTGTCTTTTTCCATTGCCCGAGATCACATCCAAGAGCCGTTCAGGATGTCCGAGTCACTCTGGAGACGAACCTCCCTGCTATTGTGGCGGTGCTTGCCGAGGCTGCTGAGACTAGTTATCTTGATTGTAGTGTGCCCTTGCCAGCATTGGTTTGTGATCTTGTGATCCCATGCAGAATCTGCAAAGGCAAAGGGGCCGGTCAGAAGGATCACACCCCATGAAGAGGAGTGCTCCTTGCAACATTAATCTACTCAACTACAAAATCTTGTTGGCTAGTGCACGCATCGAGCAACTTCACCTTTCGCGCCCCTAGTCTAGCTGCGCGAACAATGGAATGCCGCTAGGATCACACACAACCGAAGATACCCGCCCACATCATTGAGCAGGCGCGTGGCCAAGAGAACTACGTTGACTCATTCTGCAGCCTAGACTTTTGCAGTCCGCTTGGCTTGTTGATCCACTAACTTCTGTTTGGGCTGCTCGCCACATACATGATCTTGCTATTGTCCCTCTTTGAAATGACCTAAAGGTGGCATATGAATGGGCGATGACGCAAAGTTCACGTGAAGAGGCCATGAAGGCGACCTTGGAGGCCGCCTCTTTCCCTTGCTTCCTTTGTGTCATTCTGATTCACGTGATACGGCATTGCCGTCACCCAAAATCTAAAAGAACGCAAAGATGCAACAGCGTAAGGCCGAATTGTGGACTAGACAGAACTTCACCTTGGATTTCGCAGCAGTTGCCTTGGCAGGACACAGCGGGGGATTGGGCAATCCGTGTCTGAGCTGCATCGAGATATGAAAAAGACAAGTGCCAGAACATTCCTGAGCGGAGCAGAGTCGCGTCGGAAGCCGGAACTGCTCGCAGGTCTAGGTGTTGAGAGAGGTTTCTTACGAACAGAGATGTCTGATGTCCAACGGTGCCTGGCGGTCGTGACAAATGCTTCTCGGCCTTTGAATTTGCCATTAAGGAAATGTCTTGTCTGCAAACTTCTGACCATATGGACAGATGGAAGAGCAGAGGTATCTAAGGGTCAGAGAGAGGGAGAGAGAGAGAGAGAGAGAGAGAGATAGAGAGAGAGAGAGAGAATAGCTTCAATGAATGCGGTTCAAAGCCTATGTGGCTCTGACGCACGGCCCAGGATCGTGCCTTTGGAAAGCTGTTTCGGCTAGGAAGACGCCGAAAAGAAATCGCCAGGACTCCCGGATGCTGCCAGACATGATCCTTTTTTTTAGGATCTTTATGGAGTCATGAAAGATGAAAGTTCCTTCCAACTTTATAGAGTATGGTTAGATTCTTCCTACAGGCTGCCATGGTTTCCTCGCAGACCGACTTGGTCGTATCGCCCTTGATCCCATTGAATGTTGCCTATCGCCCTTTGGAAAAACTCGGGAACAAAGGATCTTGGAGATTGTGCAGAAGATTTGTCAAAGGCCTGGAAGTCACACGTGCTGGACATTTTTCTTCCTTCTGGCCAACGTGCCAGGCATGGCAGAAGATCCTCGTCAGGTGGGAAAAAAGCGCTGCAGGAAAAAAATGGGCACAGGCTCCTTTGCACTTCGCAAGCCCCATAAGTGCCTTATGGATGGTCGTCTCCATGTTTCTCAAATGTAATGCGTGTGTCCTTGTTCGGACCATTGTCAAAATTCTCGATTAGGAGATGCAAAACAAAGCAAAGAGTCCATCGACTAGGACAAACGCCGCGAAGGCGCATCGGTGGACCATTCGTGAGGCTAAGCAATATCAACTTCGTTAGAGATGATTGGATGCAGACACAGACAAATGAAAGCATAGCTTTTTCACAAGTTGACATAGGTCATTAATGTTGTTTTGCTGTCAGAAAGGAAGGAACAGAACTTTATGACCCAATGTGCGTGTGCCAACTTAACTTTGGGCCAGAGTCCAAAGGCTGACCCCCCGGGAATACAGGCCTATTGTCGGATTGTTTGTTTAAGCAGCAGAAGAATCGATTGAGCGCCACTTGCATGCGAGGGCGAGAAGACGAGCGCAAAGAAACGACCTCTAGTCGTGGATGTCGACTGAAGCATCAGGGCAGCACAACGCGAAAACCATGGGAGATTTTTTGTTGTTGCATGTTTTCGTATCCAGGGTGTTGAAGGAAGGAAACTCCTGAGTCAGGCAGTCAAGTCTTGCTATGAGCACAACCTGGTGCCACAGATCGAGGAGGGGTCAGCAGCGATCCCGTGTTCAAGGCTCAACCCCGGTGGGCCTGGGAAAGTTGTTTGAGATGCAGCTTTGTACGCAGAAGCATAGAATTCTAATCTGGCTTTGGATCTCCTTCAGTCCTATATTATAGTGTCTTGCAGGACGGCTGGAAAATGATTGTGGAAAATGGCTGTAAGCCCAACTTGCTTCTTGGCACGAATGGCCAGCGGCGCCAGAAACCGGTGTTTCTATGGCCAACGCCTTTTTTTCGGAGGAGGGTTCAAGCCAAGTGCCAGTCGAATGCTTTGCGTGGTAATTACTTTTGCCAAAACAAAGACCCAAATCTTCAGAGTTTTAACGCCCTTTCTAGGGTTATTGTACTACTTAGCAAAGGAAGTTGGGAAGCAATACTTCCGTGTTACGGACAAATAGAATTCTGCGACTGGAAATGATGAAGGGTGGTAGGTCATCTAACAATACATAACATAACAATACATAAGAAAAGAATAAGAAGCAGTGGAATTGACTTTGATGAAGGGTGGTGATAATGACGGGTGGTGACGAAGGGAAGTGGTGACGAAGGGAAGTGGTGACGAAGGGAAGTGGTGACGATGGGAAGTGGTGACGAAGGGAAGTGGTGACGAAGGGAAGTGGTGACGAAGGGAAGTGGTGACGAAGGGAAGTGGTGACGAAGGGAAGTGGTGAAGAAGGGAAGTGATGATGAAGGGGAGTGGTGACGAAGATGGTGTGCAGGCGGCCATGTTGTTGAGTGCTTACCGGGCAGGCGCAGGATGTCGTTTGTCGCAAGCAGATGCAGCTTGGGTCCGCAATGTCATTGCGGATAGTGAGAACTTCTTGCCTGATTTGCTTCGTGAAGTGCCATGACGGACAACCAGGCTTCCAACGTGATAAGCTCTCCAGCCTTTCGTGCCAGTGCGGGCCGAAAAGCTGCCAGAAGCCTAGACGACCAAGTGTAGCGCAGAGAAAAAAGCAGCTGTCGAGCTTGGACTGTTGCGATTTGATGCAATGCATCAACGCTTGGCATTAATGACTTCAATATTGTAAATATTTTCTGGTCTACGCCTTTTGGCATGTAGAAGAACCAACATGAGTTACGCTCAACCTTGCTGACGTGCAGAAGCGCCGAGAAGAGCTCAGATGAGATGAAGTGTGGAGTGTGAAGAGTGCAGTGTGAAGTGTGGGGCGTGAAGAGTGCAGCGTGAAGTGTGAAGTGTGGAGTGTGAAGAAAGCAATGAGAAGTGAGAAGTGTGAAGTGTGGACTGTGAAGTGTGAAGTGTGGAGTGTGAAGTGTGGATTGGGGAGAGTGCAGTGTGAAGTGATAAGTGTGAAGTGTTGATTGCGAAGGGTGCAGTGTGAAGTGTGAAGACTGTCAAGTGTGAAGTGTGACGTGGAGCTTCAAATGTGACATGTGCAACACGACACCAGTTTCGCAGAGTGCACGCACGCACGGGCTTGGCTGGCGCACGGCGCATGCAAGTTCTATAGATGAGAAATGTCTCATATATATCTTTAAGGCAACTTCCGCCCCGCCTCGTGCGGGTACTACTGGTACGGGAGGTTACGGGGGGTTACGGGAGGTCACGGGAGGTCACGGGAGGTTACGGGAGGTTACGGGAGGTTACGGGAGGTTACGGGAGGTTACGGGAGGTTACGGGAGGTTACGGGAGGTTACGGGAGGTTACGGGAGGTTACGGGAGGTTATGGGAGGTTACGTTACGGAGTTACGTTACGACGTGGAGGTTACGGTTAACGGAGTGTTCCGGTATTTTCCGGGGGGTTTACGGTAGGGTCACGGGAGCCACGGGAGTCCCGGGAGGGTCCGGGGAGGTCACGGGAGGTCACGGGAGGTTACGGGAGGTTACGGGAGGTTACGGGAGGTTACGGGAGGTTACGGGAGGTTACGGGAGGTTACGGGAGGTTACGGGAGGTTACGGGAGGTCACGGGAGGTCACGGGAGGTCACGGGAGGTCACGGGAGGTCACGGGAGGTCACGGGAGGTCACGGGAGGTCACGGGAGGTCACGGGAGGTTACGGGAGGTTACGGGAGGTTACGGGAGGTTACGGGAGGTTACGGGAGGTTACGGGAGGTTACGGTTACGGGAGGTTCCTGGATACTTAGATTCTACAGATTCCAGAGATTTTAGAGATTCCTATGTTGCGGTTGCGGGAGGTTACGGGAGGTTACGGGAGGTTAGATTCCGGGAGGTTACGGGAGGTTACGGGAGGTTACGGGAGGTTACGGGAGGTTACGGGAGGTTATGGGAGGTTATGGGAGGTTACGGTTACGGGAGGTTCACGGGAGGTTACGGGAGGTTACGGGAGGTTACGGGAGGTTACGGGAGGTTACGGGAGGTTACGGGAGGTTACGGTTACGGGAGGTTCCTGGATACTTAGATTCTACAGATTCCAGAGATTTTAGAGATTCCTATGTTGCGGTTTGAGGTTACGGGAGGTTACGGGAGGTTCCTGGAGATTCCAGAGATTCTAGAGATTCCTAGCTTGGTTGCGGTTACGGGAGGTTACGGGAGGTTACGGGAGGTTACGGGAGGTTACGGGAGGTTACGGGAGGTTACGGGAGGTTACGGGAGGTTACGGTTACGGGAGGTTCCTGGATACTTAGATTCTACAGATTCCAGAGATTTTAGAGATTCCTAGGTAGGTTACGGTTACGGGAGGTTACGGGAGGTTACGGGAGGTTCCTGGAGATTCCAGAGATTCTAGAGATTCCTAGCTTGGTTACGGTTACGGGAGGTTACGGGAGGTTACGGGAGGTTACGGGAGGTTACGGGAGGTTACGGGAGGTTACGGGAGGTTACGGGAGGTTACGGGAGGTTACGGGCTAGAGATTCCTAGAGGTAGGTTACGGTTACGGGAGGTTACGGGAGGTTACGGGAGGTTACGGGATGTAACGGGAGGTTACGGGAGGTTACGGGAACCGAAGTATCTCAAGCTACGGGGCTAGAATCGCAATACTTCAAGCTATCGGGCTGGAACGGCTGAAATCTGAGTATCTGGAATCTTCAGATCTCAAGCTACTGGGCTGGAACGGCTGGAAAATTCGATCTCTGGAATGTCAGTATCTCAAGCTACTGTGCTATAGAATTTCAGTATCTCTAGGAATCTAAGTCTGGCGTGGTCCTTGGTGTCGCAATCTGGCCTTGCAGCTGATGTTTCAAATATTGAATTGCATGACATGGAGACGCCGTAAGAATCCGTAAGACACGTTGATTGCATCTGTTCGTTTCTCTCCGTGCGGCGTTGCGAGGTCATTGAGCAGGGATGTGAGTCCAAGGTTAGTTCCTCAGTCCGTACCCGGACCCAAACATACCCGAGCCAGATCGCGTTATTGCCGACAAAGCTCTTTGTTCGATTCAATAGGACAACTCGGACAGCTCATGGAATGATGTAAATCTAATATGTGTCGTTCCCTGGGTCACGGGAATTACTTGGAGAGCACCCCTGCCTTCCATTCATTTGGGCAGCACATTTCACGCGCAGTGCGGCTTGGAAACCGGCAGCTGTTTCGCCGCTGACAATGAAAATGAAGCTGGTAAGCCAACAAGCTCATGTTTTGGCAAGGAAATTTGGAAAGCAAATGTGGTTGACATGAGCCTAGAGAGTTGAACCTGAAGTAATCCTTGAACCCACCGAATGAATGCCGAAAGCGCAAGAGTGGAGAAAATAATCGACGTCAAGCAAGACCAGGAAGGAGAAGAGGTGCATAGAGCTGTAATTTAAATTAATTTAAAATAGCAGCGACATGACAACGTAACCGTCTCAACATTGAGTCATCTTCTGCACTGCACTGGCCAGCCGGTGCGTCGATCGTGCATGGCTTGATGAGTCTGCTGTACTGGCATGTCAGCGCCGATCCACTCTGTGGCTTGAAGCATCACAGTTGGATAATTTTGGACAGAATGGCGGTATTATTTGGGAGAGTAAAGTGTTCTTGCGTTCTTTGGTATGATTTACTCTGGCAGATGATTCAATCCATTGGCTAGGGTTTCTGCCTAGGAGAAGAGATTCGACGCTGGCGCAGATGGCGCACAGGCCGGCGTGCGCCCTGATTCCTTGTGCGGTAATTGACTGATTGGCTGACGCACTGGCACTTTATCTGATTCTCTGTCAGTTAAACTGACTGACAGATCTGCAAATGTGTAGAGCCGCCTCGGGTTTCAGCTTAATTCTCAATTGCCTCAGTCCTGTGTTCGAGTGGAATGATCCGCTACGATCATCCACGGATAAATTTTTATAGTTCAGGTTTTTATCCGCAGCAAATCTCTTTGTTCGCAACGCATATGTTTCAGAATGTTTCCATGAGGGAGCGTCCGAATCAACAGCCTCATTTGGATACCTTGGAGCGGTTCATGTGTCTTAGAATTTTCCTCCCAGAGGGTCAAATCAACAGGAGGATTCGGATGCCTTGGAGCGGACAGAGGACAGCCGCTCTCTGGCTTGAGTCAGTCATCGTCACTCTTTTAGAACTCTCCAGGGAGTGGCGGTATTATTTGGGTTGGTGACCCACTGCAATGATTCTATTTGGACTCATTCCTCTTGTGTTGGTTGGTTTGACTTGCATAGGCAGATGATACAATCATGTAGCAAATCCATTGACGAGCCATTTGCCACCTTTGATGATTTTTTCCATCAGACTCTGAGCGGATTAGGGTTCCTGCCCAGGAGAGCAAAGCCAGGCACGGAGCATTCTCGCAGTCTCAGGCCGGGGTGTACTCTGAATCCTAGCGCGGTGATTATCATCGATTGGCTGACTCACTGGCACTTTAGTTTGCTTCCCTGGCAGTTTATCTGAGTGACAGACCGACATAGTGATTAGCAAACTATGTTGCTAGCGCGGCGCTGCAAGGAGCTCAAGCCGACACCGGAAATTTGGGATCTTTTCTCCCAGGCAGTCTTTGGCGCAGTCAGTTCGGAAGACCACCTCACATGTTTCATACAGGTTCATACACCTTTTTTCATTCTAGTGCGTTCTAGTCAAATGATGAAATGATCCACCTAAATCGCCCAGGGGTAGAGTGAGTCATGGGGATTAGGTGATTTGCAGGGCAAAATATCATAGTGAAAGACCCTCCTCTGTACTACCAGTTTTTTTTCCTGGGGGTTCAGTACGCTTTTTAAAAAGCACTATTTTCCAAAAATCTAGCAGACAGTGGGTGAGGGTCCCGGGGCATGATATGGGGCCAGGAAAAAAATATCATACCAAAAAAGGCCCATATTTTTTTTCCTGAAAGCTTCCTGACATACAGCGACAGGAAATCAATTTCTGTCTGTTGTGATTGAGGGGGGGTTGATCTATCAGTCTGTGTATGTAAGGCATCAGGAAATCAATCATGAATGACTCTGATAATGGGTAAGTTTGTAGAATTCCTAAGGTTAGTAGCCAGGAATTTGACGGTGGATGGATCAAATGGGAGTTTACTAGAACATATCTAAATGTCAAACCCCAGGAAAAAATGTACCATGATTAATTGAGTGGGTATGATTTTTTAAATGACTTTGCAAAAGGGGTACAACCACATATGTTCACCTTCACCAACCAAAAAAGTGACTTCAAGAGGCAAAGGCGCAGGGGTCAAAAATAAAATCCAAGGGGCTGGACCTTTTTTGGCTGAATACTTGCGGATGATCTTCAAAGGTTGGCCCACAGGAAAAAAGTCGCATCACCAGGCCAATCATCCACTGATAGGACATGATGGACCGAATTCAAGAATTTTGTGCCAACGCGCGCCCAAATTGCAAAACACATGTTTTTTTTGCTGAAAATACAGTTGTCCTTGCAAAAGGGTACAGACACACATGTTCAGCTTCACCAACCAGAAAAGTGACTTGAAGAGGCCGAGGCGCAGGTGTCAAAAATAAAATCCAAGGGGCTGGACCTTTTGTTGACTGAATACTTGCGGATAATCTTCAAAGGTTGGCCCATAGGAAAAAAGTCGCATCTCCAGGCCAATCATCCACAGATAGGACATGATGGGACGAATTCGAGAATTTTGTGTCAACGCGCCCAAATTGCAAAACAGGCGTTTTTTTTCTGAAAATACATTTGTCCTTGCAAAAGGGGTACAACCACATATGTTCAGCTTCACCAACCAAAAAAAGGTGACTTGAAGAGGCCGAGGCGCAGGTGTCAAAAATAAAATCCAAGGGGCTGGACCTTTTTTTGGCCGAATTCTCGTGGATGATCTTAAAAGGCTGGCCCCACAGGAAAAAAATCGCATCACCAGGTCAACCATCCATAGATAGGAAATGCTGGGACAAATTGAAGAATTTTGTTCCAACGTGTGGCCAAATTGCAAAACAGGCGTTTTTTCCTGAAGATACATTTGTCCATGCAAAAGGGTTGCGCATTGCCGTGGGCATCTGCCGGACCGCACTCGTGAAGCCGTGGACTCTGAAAAACTGCGAGCTGTCAGCCGGGAAGTCAGGTGCCAGGAATTCATTTTTTTTTCCGTATCAGATTGAGGGGGGGAAGATATGGCATGTTACCAACGCAAGCATCCAGGAAATAATTTTTTTACTTGGATATCAGAGGGGGTAAATTTATTGGATGTTGGACGTTGGGTACCAGGAAATTAGCAAAGAAAATTCAAAAAGGTGGTTGGAAGTGAGATTTCGGCTTCAGAGGTTAGGAGCCAGGAATTTAAAGCTCTAAAACCTCTCTCAAAGGTTAGGGGTCATAATTTTAGACCAATTTTTTTCTAGGACTGTACCCCACGTTGGAGTACAGACGGGGATGTGAAAGAATCCGCCACACTCACAGACTGGTACAATAAGTCAAGACCTGTTCTCCGCAAAACATCCATGTATCCGCACTTCATGTGTCTCAGGATTCTGCCCCCAGAGTGCCAGAGCAACACGAGGATTCGGATGCCTTGGCGCGGACGGAGGACAGCCGCTCTCTGGCTTGAGTCAGTCATCGTCACTCTTTTAGAACTCTCCAAGGAGTGGCGATATTATTTGGGAGAATGAATCATTGTAATCTAATCAGTGATTTAGGCAACATCAAAGAGCATCCTGAGGTGCCCCTGTTGCCTAGTCTTGCATTCCAGTGACATGATCCGCCACAATCGCCCACGGGGTAATATAGAATAGTCCATTTTTTTCCCAAGAGCGCCTGCGAAGGGTTCTTCGTAAAAAAGCAGCCGTAATAACACATCTTCACACCTTCACATCTGCCAATCTACATCTTCACACCTTCACACCTTCACATTTGCTGATCTACATCTTCACACCCTCACGTCTACATCGAATCCCTCACATCTGCGGATCTACGTCATTGACGTTGGACGTCAAACACCTTGGTACAAAGCCGGCCAGGATTGGGACGATGAGTTCCTTGCAGAGTGCAATGACATTTTGGCCACGCTGGACCCGCAGAAGACTGCCCTGGTCGCCGTCGGGGAAGAGCATCCGCCTGTGATCTTTCGCATCCAGAAGAACTCGTCCTTGCGAACTCTTGTAAGAGCGTACTCGAGATTCCGAGGGTGCGCAGAGAGCACAGAATGGAGTGTCCGCTGTATGCCTTGCACGTCGACTGTGGATCTCAGCCAACCTGCCCAAGTGCTACCGGTGCTGCAGCGCATCGCATTTGCTAAGGCAAGGGAATTCCTCCGGCAAAATTTGACCAGAAACGAACGATTCTGTGTGATTTTTTTAATCTTCAGTATAGGGCACTGCTCATGTGAGGTTCCGAGAGAAATCGTTGAAAAAGAAACCAATGAGACAGCAGAGCCTGAGGCAAGGGAATCGAGCTGTCATGGGACACGACTGTGCTAGACTGTGCTAGTTCCAAGGTCCTTCAACCAATTTGACCAAAGGCCTGACAGAATCCAATGGCAACATCATTCCACATCCTTTTTGTTCTTTACCATTTTCCACTATTAGCACACGCGCCTGGCCGGCGGCTTTTTGATGTAAATATGCTTTGACAAATCAAAATCCTGCCCAAGCGTTCGGACTGCAATGATATAACTGAAGTTACCACGGGAAACTTCACCATTGGTAGCTTCACCGTGGCATGGTTCCATTGGAGACTTGTGTTCATTGTATTTGGCTATGCAGAGGCTGTTGCATGGTGTTAAGACTCACCTAGGAAGCTGGGCAACCATTTATTTTTGGTCGTCAACCACCTTCATTTCAGAATTGGTCGTTTCGTAGAAATGCCCTTGGACCCCATCACCTTAGGTAGCTACATTTCATGTTGCGCACCTTTTTTTCCCTTCCTTCAAGCAGCTTCAAGCCTGAAAGCACCTTCAATTGCCACTAAGTAGCGGTGAATGATCCTGGTACCGTTCACTTTTGCAGAGCATCTTCTTGACATCCTTGCCACATGGGCACACCAGGGTCTGCCTTTCGAACATCCCGGTAGGGCACTGCTCATGTGAGGTTCCAAAGAGAAAAAAGGAAAAGACATGGATGCGAAAGATGAGGCTGTGGTTTGGGCGGTTTTTAGCTGCTCTATTGGCAGGAATCAGTGCAGAGGCTGTTGCATGGTGTTAAGACTCAATTGTTCGGCGTGGAAAGTGATGCTCAAATTGTGTTTCTCTCCAAGAAACCTGTTTCCAAGCAAAGAGCAAGGTACATCCCAAGGACTTTGGCACACCAGGGTCTGCCTTTTCGAACATCCCGGTAGGGCACTGCTCATGCGAGGTTCCAAAGAGAAAAAAAGGAAAAGACATGGATGCGAAAGATGAGGCTGTGGTTTGGGCGGTTTTTAGCTGCTCTATTGGCAGGAATCAGTGCAGAGGCTGTTGCATGGTGTTAAGACTCAATTGTTCGGCGTGGAAAGTGATGCTCGAATTGTGTTTCTCTCCAAGAAACCTGTTTCCAAGCAAAGAGCAAGGTACATCCCAAGGACTTTGGCACACCAGGGTCTGCCTTTTCGAACATCCCGGTAGGGCACTGCTCATGTGAGGTTCCAAAGAGAAAAAAAGGAAAAGACATGGATGCGAAAGATGAGGCTGTGGTTTGGGCGGTTTTTAGCTGCTCTATTGGCAGGAATCAGTGCAGAGGCTGTTGCATGGTGTTAAGACTCAATTGTTCGGCGTGGAAAGTGATGCTCGAATTGTGTTTCTCTCCAAGAAACCTGTTTCCAAGCAAAGAGCAAGGTACATCCCAAGGACTTTGGCACACCAGGGTCTGCCTTTTCGAACATCCCGGTAGGGCACTGCTCCTGTGAGGTTCCAAAGCGAAAAAAGGAAAAGACATGGATGCGAAAGATAAGGCTGTGGTTTGGGCGTTTTTTTATCTGCTCCATTGGCAGGAATCCGTGCAGAGGCTGTTGCATGGTGTTAAGACTCACCTAGGAAGCTGGGCAACCATTTATTTTTGGTCGTCAACCACTTTCAGTTCAGAATTGGTCGTTTCGAAAATCTATGGTCGTTTCGTAGAAATGCCCTTGGACCCCATCACCTTAGGTAGCTACATTTCATGTTGCGCACCTTTTTTTTTTCCTTCCTTCAAGCAGCTTCAAGCCTGAAAGCACCTTCAATTGCCACTAAGTAGCGGGGAATGATCCTGGTACCATTCACTTTTGCAGAGCATCTTCTTGACATGCTTGCCACATGGGCACTCCAGGGTCTGCCTTTTCGAACATCCCGGTAGGGCACTGCTCCTGTGAGGTTCCAAAGCGAAAAAAAGGAAAAGACATGGATGCGAAAGATGAGGCTGTGGTTTGGGCGTTTTTTATCTGCCCCATTGGCAGGAAGCCGTGCAGAGGCTGTTGCATGGTGTTAAGACTCACCTAGGAAGCTGGGCAACCATCTATTTTTGGTCGTCAACCACATTCATTTCAGAATTGGTCGTTTCGAAAATCTATGGTCGTTTCGTAGAAATGCCCTTGGACCCCATCACCTTAGGTAGCTACATTTCATGTTGCGCACCTTTTTTTTCCTTCCTTCAAGCAGCTTCAAGCCTGAAAGCACCTTCAATTGCCACTAAGTAGCGGCGAATGATCCTGGTACCATTCACTTTTGCAGAGCATCTTCTTGACATCCTTGCCACATGGGCACACTAGGGTCTGCCTTTTCGAACATCCCGGTAGGGCACTGCTCATGTGAGGTTCCAAAGAGAAAAAAAAGAAAAGATATGGATGCGAAAGATGAGGCTGAGGCTTGGGCGTTTTTTATCTGCTCCGTTGGCAGGAATCCGTGCAGAGGCTGTTGCATGGTGTTAAGACTCACCTAGGAAGCTGGGCAACCATTTATTTTTGGTCGTCAACCACTTTCATTTCAGAATTGGTCGTTTCGAAAATCTATGGTCTTTTCGTAGAAATGCCCTTGGACCCCATCACCTTAGGTAGCTACATTTCATGTTGCGCACCTTTTTTTTCCTTCCTTCAAGCAGCTTCAAGCCTGAAAGCACCTTCAATTGCCACTAAGTAGCGGTGAATGATCCTGGTACCATTCACTTTTGCAGAGCATCTTCTTGACATGCTTGCCACATGGGCACTCCAGGGTCTGCCTTTTCGAACATCCCGGTAGGGCACTGCTCCTGTGAGGTTCCAAAGCGAAAAAAAGGAAAAGACATGGATGCGAAAGATGAGGCTGAGGCTTGGGCGTTTTTTATCTGCTCCGTTGGCAGGAAGCCGTGCAGAGGCTGTTGCATGGTGTTAAGACTCACCTAGGAAGCTGGGCAACCATCTATTTTTGGTCGTCAACCACATTCATTTCAGAATTGGTCGTTTCGAAAATCTATGGTCGTTTCGTAGAAATGCCCTTGGACCCCATCACCTTAGGTAGCTACATTTCATGTTGCGCACCTTTTTTTTCCTTCCTTCAAGCAGCTTCAAGCCTGAAAGCACCTTCAATTGCCACTAAGTAGCGGCGAATGATCCTGGTACCATTCACTTTTGCAGAGCATCTTCTTGACATCCTTGCCACATGGGCACACTAGGGTCTGCCTTTTCGAACATCCCGGTAGGGCACTGCTCATGTGAGGTTCCAAAGAGAAAAAAAAGAAAAGATATGGATGCGAAAGATGAGGCTGAGACTTGGGCGTTTTTTTTCTGCTCCATTGGCAGGAATCCGTGCAGAGGCTGTTGCATGGTGTTAAGACTCAATTTTTTGGGACTCATTTTTTTGAATCCCAATGAATTTGGCATAACAGGGCCGAAAGGTTACATTGCCAGCGGTCAAGCTTGTCTGATGTTGTAACAACGGTATCAGGCAGCCCCAAAAGCCTTAGTGAAGAAGGCGGCCGCGAAGAAGGCCAGGGCAGGGCGACGGGAGCTGGAGAAACGTGGAAGACTTGGGGCTTGGTACTCCTCTCTGCTTGGTTAGCTCGAGAGTCTGCCCATGGGGATTAGGTAATTGAGATCTGTAGGCATTCAGAATGGAAGAAGTTGCATGATGGGTGTGGCCACTACTGTTTGGGCATCGACATTGATGTTCTAATTTTGCTTGTAGGAGAGAAGCAGCTTTCCAAGCAGCTAGCAAATTGCACCCCAATGAAGTTGGCCTAACAGGGCCGAAAGGTTACATTGCCAGCGGTCAAGCTTGTCTGATGTTGTAACAACGGTATCAGGCAGCCCCAAAAGCCTTAGTGAAGAAGGCGGCCGCGAAGAAGGCCAGGGCAGGGCGACGGGAGCTGGAGAAACGTGGAAGACTTGGGGCTTGGTACTCCTCTCTGCTTGGTTAGCTCGAGAGTCTGCCCATGGGGATTAGGTAATTGAGATCTGTAGGCATTCAGAATGGAAGAAGTTGCATGATGGGTGTGGCCACTACTGTTTGGGCATCGACATTGATGTTCTAATTTTGCTTGTAGGAGAGAAGCAGCTTTCCAAGCAGCTAGCAAATTGCACCCCAATGAAGTTGGCCTAACAGGGCCGAAAGGTTACATTGCCAGCGGTCAAGCTTGTCTGATGTTGTAACAACGGTATCAGGCAGCCCCAAAAGCCTTAGTGAAGAAGGCGGCCGCGAAGAAGGCCAGGGCAGGGCGACGGGAGCTGGAGAAACGTGGAAGACTTGGGGCTTGGTACTCGAGTCTGCTTGGTTAGCTCGAGAGTCTCGCCCATGGGGATTAGGTAATTGAGATCTGTAGGCATTCAGAATGGAAGAAGTTGCATGATGGGTGTGGCCACTACTGTTTGGGCGTCGACACTGATGTTCTAATTTTGCTTGTAGGAGAGAAGCAGCTTTCCAAGCAGCTAGCAAATTGCACCCCAATGAAGTTGGCATAATTGGGCCGAACGGTTACAGTTCCTGCGCGGCCAAGCTTGTCCGATGCTGTAACAACGGTATCAGGCAGCCCCAAAAGCCTCAGTGAAGAAGGCGGCCGCGAAAAAGGCCAGGGCAGGGCGACGGGAGCGGGGGAAACGTGGAAGACTTGGGGCTTGGTACTCGACTCTACTTAGTTCATTCAGGAGTCTCAGAGGGCCCATGGGAATTCATGAATTGAGAAGGAACGCAGTCGGCACGGAAGGAATCTCATGTATTTGCATGGTTCATCACATGAATCTGATGTGCATTTAGAAAGTTAAGAAAGGCGGTTGCAGAAGCCTTCACAGCAAATTTTGTCTATCTTTTCGATGCCAAAGGCCAAGACGGTGCTGCCGAGGGTTCCGCTCCACTGCAGCTGCGGTGCCACAACTGACACCGCAACCTGGGGCAGATTCCTTTACTCCATACGTGGAGAAGAACGCGTTCCTGAGGGAGGAAAGTGCGCCTTATGCGTTAACTTTGTGCCTTGACTGCATCTCATTTGAGGTATGATCAAAACTCGGGTAGGGCCTGTCCTTTTTTCCCTTTCCTCCTTTCCCTTTCTCCTCCTTGCCTCTTCCGTTCCTTCTCCTCTCCTCTCTTTTCCTCTGCCATTCCTCTTGGCACTTTTTGGGCAAAAACCTTCCAAAAGCAGTACCCTAGTACAGCCAAGGCACGGCGCATGAAGAGGAAAGGCCAAAAGAAAGTGACGGCAAAGATGAGGGCGCAGCAGTTCGCGAGAGCAAACGGAGCACTGCAACAGGCACCACATGTGACCGTCCTGGTAAAGCCTTTTTTTTTGTGGACCTTTTCCCAAGAGTCTTACAGTTGCCATTGAAGGCAAAAGGGCTTCTGCGAGCCGTGGAGGATATGCTGCTGAACGCAGCCGCAAACTCTGGCCAAGACGTGAGAGCCTTGCTCCAGGCAAACGCATTGTCAGTGTTGTGAAGGTAACTGTTGTCGAGATTGCTGTTATGAGGGTCAGTTTTGTAACTGGCAGTCGAATTCAGTTCTGGTCGCAGGATGTGTCAGTCAATTTGCTTCCGTGACGGGGTTTTTGCTTGCGGCATCATCTCCCTAGCTCCGCTGTCCAGGATGAAGGTTGACGAGTGAGCTCCGCAATCGTCGATGCCTGCTTGGAAAATTGGATTGTCTGACAGCATTTCAAATGGAGGTTACGCAGGGCCGACATCGTGCTACTTCCTTTCAGTTGGAACCCCAGAGCCGCTCGATCAGGAGATGGTGCAGAAAATGTTTGAGACCTTGTTTGCCACGGAGGGCAAGGTGACAGAGTGTCTCCAGGCCTTGGGAGTCATGGCAGCAACGGAGATTGAAACCGCTCCTTGGAAAGTGGTGTGGAAAGGACTCCGTTCCATGCTGGCAATTGCGGTCGTGATCCACAGCGAAAAGTGGTCCGCTTGCACTTGTTATTATTTCTGCAGACGAGGACATTGCCCCCATCACTATGCGATCTCTGTGCGGCTGGGGCACATGGAGTTGAAGTCCAAGCTCCCTCACAATCCAAGGAGTGACATGAAGGATGCAGATGGCTCCAGTGCTGAAGATGCGCCTCCAAAGCGCAAGAGGAAGAAACAACGCCCGAGCTATAGGCCAATGCCTGCTCCGGTGCTGCCTGCAAGTGCACCAGCACGGCCGGAACCGACCCCTGGCAAGGTGCTAAAACCGCAGCAGATTGCCAAGTCTCCCTTCAACAAATGATCCAGATGGCATGGAATCGCAAAAGGCTTTGCTGTTTTTTTCAAGCGCTGCGGGGTGTCTTTGCGCCCGGTAAACCTTATAGGCCCAAAACAATTGGACACTTCTGAAAGAGATTCCCAAAAAAAAAGCAACCACATTTTTTGTTCAGACGGATTCAATGACAGGTTCAGAAATCGGGAGAAAACCGAGGAAATTTGGAGGGAAACCCATATACACTGAATTTTACCGTTGAGCTTTCAACTAACATGGTTGAACGTCCAGTGCTCCCAGATCCAGATGATGAAAAATGATGAAAACATTTCTATGAGGTTGAGTTTGACGCTCGTTTCTGCGCTCTGGAGCAGAGAGACATCTTGCCACTGGACGGGGGGCGGCGCAGTTGGTTCGTGGGCCCACAATTCGTCCCAATTGCTGCCAACCTTAGATTGATTGGGGTAACGAAGGGATTACTGCAGTTTCCTAACCATGGGTTGGAAAGTTGCATGGCGCACATTCGGCATCGAACTGCCCCAAGCCTCAGCAATGTGTCGGGTTTGTTGTCTTAGTTGGTTTAATGTAGACTGATGTAGTAGATTGTGGAGATTTAATAAAAGCATATGCTGAAGTCATAGGCTTCGGTCGAAGATGTTGGATAGCAGGCGCCATGTCTTGCTGTTTTTCACGTGATGCCTACTGGCGGCAAAATGGCACTTGAGTTCTTTTTTAATTGCAGCGCCAGGATTTCCGGGTGATGATCAGCAGATATCGGATCATTTCTTCGAGACGGGTTGAGGCAGCCCGGATCTGAGCAAACACCAGTAGCGCCCAGTAGCATTCAAAGGAGGAGTGGATATCGCAGGGATCAAGATGTAAACTTTGTTGAGTTGAACACGAGATCCGATGCTGGAGCTTGCTTCGTGCGTCTGAGTCTAGGTGGTCCAGTGCCAAGTTGGAATCAAGCATACTCGCCGACGGGTACATTAAATATATTATATATCTATATTATATACACATTATCTGACCCAGAGCCGGAACAACAGGAAGCTAAATATCTGAAGCTACGGGATTGGAATAGGTGGAATCTGAGATCACCTAAGTATCTCAAGCTACAGGCTGGAATGTCAGTACCTCAAGCTATGGGGCTGGAACGGCTGGAATCTAAGTATCACAAACAAGCTACGGGCTGAGTATCTCAAGCAAGAATCTGTGTATCTCAAAGTAAAATCTGAGTATCCCGTAAACTTTCGAGCTAGAAGTATCTGAAACTAGAATCTGAGTAGAGTCTTGAGTATCTCAGGATTCAGAGTCCAGAATCTGGAGAATGAGTATCCCGCAACTTCCCGTAACCGCCCGTAACCAAGCTAGAATCTGAGTCTAGAATCTCTAGAATCTGAGTATATCCCGTAACCTCCCATAACCAAGCTCTAAAATCTAAGTCTAGAATCCCTAGAATCTGAGTATCCCGTTACCTCCCGTAACCTCCCGTAACCAAGCTAAAATCTGAGTCTAGAATCTCTCTAAGATCTGCCCGTAACCTCCCGTAACCATGAATTTGAGTCTAGGATCTCCAGAATATGAGAATCACTAGAATCTGAGTATCCCGTAACCTCCCGCAACATCCCGTAACCTCCCGTATCCAAGCTAGAGTGTGAGTCTAGAATCTCCAGAAACTGAGAATCACTAGAGTCTGAATATCCCGGAACCTCCCGTAACCAGGCTAGAATCTGAGTCTAGAATCTCTAGAATCTTCGTATCCCGTAACCTCCCGTAACCAACGTAGAATCTGAGTCTTGAATTTCTAGCCTCTGCATATCCTGTTACCTCCTAAAACCAAGTTAAAATCTGAGTCTAGAATCTCTAGATTCTGAGTATCCCGTTACCTCCCGTAACCAAGTTAGAATCTGAATCTAGAATCTCTTTATAGAATCGGAGCTTCCCGTAACCAAGCTAGAATCTGAGTCTAGAATCTCTCTAGAATCTGAGTATCCCGTAACCTCCGTAACCAAGCTAGAATCTGAGTCTAGAATCTCTAGAATCTGAGTATCCCGTAACTTCCCGTAACCAAGCTAGAATCTGAGCCTAGAATCTCTGTAGAATCTGAGTATCCCGCAACGTCCCGTAACCAAGTTAGAATCTGAGTCTAGAATCTCTATAGAATCTGAGTATCCCGGAACCTCCCGTAACCAAGCTAGAATCTGAATCTAGAATCTCTAAAATCTGAGTATCCCGGATTCCCCCGTAACCAAGCTAGAATCTGAGTCTAGGATCTCTATAGAATCTGAGTATCCGGTAACCTCCCATAACCAAGCAAGATTCTGAGTCTAGAATTTCTAGAATCTGAGTATCCCGTGACTTCCCGTAACCAAGCTAGAATCTGAGCCTAGAATCTCTGTAGAATCTGAGTATCCCGTAACCTCCCGTAACCTCCGGTAACCGAGCTATAGAATCTGAGTCTAGAATCTCTAGAATCTGAGTACCCCGTAACGTCCCGTAACCTCCCGTAACCTCTCAGGCTAGAAGTATGTCAAACTAGAATCTGAGTAGAATCTGAGTATCTCAAGCTAGAACCTAAGTAAGTAAAGCTAGAAACTATGCCGGGTGCACCGTATAGGCCCAAAAAAACTAAACATTTCTGAAAGAGGTGCAAAAAGGCAGCCCCATTGTTTTTCTCAGACGGATTCTGAAACATGTTAGGAATTCAGAAAAGACTTCAGAAACTTCGGAAGGAAACCCAGATACTCCGAATTATACCGTTGAGCTTTCAACATGGTTGAACCTTGTGTGCTCTCAAATCCAGATGATGAAAACATGTCTGTGAGGTTGAATGTGACGAACGTTTCCGCTCTGGTGCAGAGAGCCATCTCGCCACCGGACGGGGGGCCGCAGTCAGTTCTTGGACCCCAAATTTGTCCTAATTTCTTGTGATCTTAGATTGAGAATGAAGGAATAATTACAATTGCCTAACCATGGGTTGGAAAGTAGCATACCCCTCGTTCGGCATTGAACTGCCCAAAGCCTCAGCAATGTGTTGGGTCTGTTGTCTTAGTTGGTTTTATGTAGCATGATGTAAAAAGTGCATATTTAATAAAAGCATATGCTGGAGTCATGTCTTCGGAAAAAGATGTTGAATTGCAGGCACCATGTCTTGCTGTTTTTTCACGTGATACCTACTCATGGCAAAATGGTGCTTGAGTTCTTTTCGAATTGCAGCGCCAGGATTTGTAGGTGATGATCACCAGAACAGTCTTTGATATCGGATCATTTCTTCGAGACGGGCTGCAGCAGCCCGGATCTGAGCAAACACCATTAGCGCCCAGCAGCATTCAAAGGTATTGATATCACAGGGATGAAGATGTAAACTTTGCTGATTTGAGCACGAGATCCGATGCGGGAGCTTTCTTCGTGCGTCTGAGTCTAGGCATTCTGGTACAAATTCGGGATCATAAGCCCCAAAACTGGTCACTACTAAGAGAGGTCCAAATAAGCAGCCCCATTTGTTCTCAGTCAGACGGATTCAATAAGATGTTCAGTATTCAAAAAAAAACATCAAGATCTTCAGAAAAAAAAAGCATTTGAAAAATCTATTTCGTCGAACTTTCAACATGGTTTAACCTCCGGTGCTCCTCGTTTGGTTTTGTTTCAAGATGATGTTCCCCAGATCCAGATGGATGAAACAAATTCTGTGAGGTTCAGTTTGACGGACGTTTCTGCGCTGTGGAGCAGAGAGATGTCTCGCCACTGGGCGGGGGGCCGCAGTCGGTTTGTGGGCCCCAAATTTGTCCCAAGATCTGGTGAACTTAGATTGGTTATGGTCATGAAAAGATTCTTACAATTTCCTGACGATGGGTTGGAAAGTTGCATGCCGCTCGTTCGGCATTGAACTGCCCAAAGCCTCGGCAATGTGTTGGGTCTGCTATCATAGTTGCTTTAATGTAGACAGATGTATATTGTGGATACTTAATAAAAACATATGCTGAAGCCATAGACTTCGATCAACGATGTTGAATAGCAGGCACCATGTCTTGCTATTTTTCACATGATGCCTACTGATTGAAAAATGGCACTTGAGTTCTTTGCCAATTGCAGCGCCAGGATTTGTAGGTGATGATCAACAGAACAGTCTCTGATATCGGATCATGCTTCGAGACGAGCTGAAGCAGCCCGGATCTGAGCAAACACCGGTAACAGCCAGTAGCATTCAAAGGTATGGATATCACAGGGATCAAAAATCCGAGAACCGATGCTGATTTGAACACGAGATCCGATGCTGGAGCTTGCTTCGTGCGTCTGATTCTAGGTTGTCTAATGCCCGTTCGGGATCAATCCTACTCACCCACGGGTCTTCGGAACATTCGCGTGTACTATGCGCATGCACATAAGATATATGTTATTAAATCAAATTATATCT